GAGGAAGGGCGCCCTAGCCCCTGTGTTTTTAGCCACATGCAGCAGACATGGAGCCAAGGGAGACTGAGACATGCTGGTGGCCTGCCCCTCTGGTGGCTGGGAATTCAGGAAGTGGGGAGTCTAGTTCTCTTGGCCATACTCTGAGATTGGAGCTTCTATCAAGCTTATCTAGGGCAGGGGAGGGCACAGGTCATGACTCAAATGCCCTTAGACTCTCCCTGTTCTTACATCTAGTAGGGTTTCTTCAATAAAAGTTGCTTCACGTGCCATGTGTCCTTAAAACAATTGCTACAGATTTAAATGGTTGCTTTTTAAAAATGATTTTCATCAGTGGATGTTTCTCCAGGGAACAGGTCTGCTGAGTTTCTCATGTTTCCATCCTGGAAGGGGTCCTCTGGGCTGCTTCTTGAGGGCCGAGGACATTGAAGGGTTTTCAGTAATGGTGACAGGAGGACTTTAAAAGACCACCGTGGCTGCCATTTAGAGAGCTGGAGGAAACAAAGAGAGATGCAGTAAAATTCTGAAGATGTTACTGAGAAATTCCAGGCATAGCTGTATGTGGCTCAGATTAAGATAGCAACAAATTAAGATAGCAACCATGGGGAACTAGAATGATGAAGTAGTTCAACATGGAGAATTGTTAAGACTTAGTAATTAATTGGCTGGGTGAGGAATTAGGATGGGATGGGTAGGAAGATGTTGCAAGAGAGGTTGGTATTGAAATGACTCATGATCAATCTTTTGCAAAGTTCAAATGCGGAGTCTGATCCAGGGTCTAATAATGCCGTCTCTAAGCTCCTAGGTGATGCCCGTGCTGCGGGTCCTCATGCCCCTGTTTGTATAGCAGGACCCTGGGGGTTCTCCTTCAGGTAACTGCTGAGTGGTAACAGAAGGAAACCACCAGTGCCTGCCTGTTTCCCTTAGTGGAGGGCAGGGATTGTGTCTTGTTCATTGTCCTATCTTCAGTGGCCCATGTGGGGTGACCCATAGGATAGATAAATATTTGTTGAGTGATTTACTGACTATTGAAGGGAAACACAGAAAGAGAAACAGTTATGTGGAAAGGGATGAAGAGCATATGAGGTGCCTGTGGGCGTAATGGTAGGGTAATATATAACCTGCCTGTCTTGAGATCAGAAAGGGGATTTGGGTAAAAGTCACTGACTTGAAAGTCAAAGATTCAGGTGGTAAAGAAAGGAAAGAAGTTGCGATCCTTCTGGGGGGATGTTTAGAGGAAGGGGAAAGCAAGCACAGGCCCGAGCTCAAATTCCTCACCAACATCTGCTTGGGCGGGCACCCCTTTTTACTTGGATACCCCTTTTTTACTTGGTCACCCCTTTCTACTTGCCCATATTTTTAAACACCATTGATTCTTTGTGAGATTAAAACTTTGGTGATTTTTTGTTATAGGTTAAAGATCTCTTTTCTTCTTTGGGGGTTGAATATCATGTCTTGGAACTTGATGAAGCTGGTAAGTAGAATGGTTAGCACATATTGTTGTTTTATTAAATGTCAACAGGATTGACTTCTTTCTGTTTGCTTTGCTCTATTCAGTTGACTTTGTCTCTTTGGATTAGATAGTCCTTTGTTGTCTATATTCAGCCGTGCAGAAAATGAACCTCAATTTAGTGTCAATTTTTTTATTTGTAAGTTTTGTATTTGAGGGGAGGGAGCAGGAAGAAGACGTATAAGCTATTAACTTTGAAGTATGTTAGACATTTCAGATATCTCTGCCGACTTTCTAACAACATAGATCATGCTGTAATAAACGAGGGGAATGCACTGTTATTTCCTGATTGTTTTACCCACAAAGGGGGAACATGTTCATTTTGTAGTTTGAGGCTTTCACGTGCTTGTCACGGGTACCCCACGCACCCGCCAGTGCTTGCTTGCACATGTGTGTGGTTTGCAAGGGGAGATGCTGGTGATCAGAGGAGCTTGCTCTCTGCCCTCACAGGTCTTCACCAACTTATTTTAACGCAGTCAGTCACCTTAATAAATGAACTGTTCTTGAATCTTTGAGACTTTTTTAAAGAGAATACCAGGTAAGTTAAATAGTCATGGCTCAGTTTTATTTTTAGGGATGGAGGATACATTTTGGACCATTAGCATAAATCTTTTTAAAAATGTAGTTGTGGGAAATGTTTCCAGAGTTATTTACTGTGGAAGTGGATTTTATCTTGATAATTGTTCGGAAAAGACAATTCTTACCTATTTGTCTCGGCATCTCATTGAATTATATGTCAAATCTAACTCAGTTTTTTTTTTTTTTTTTTTTTTTTTTTCTTTAAGGCAGCAGTGGCTTGGCCATTAGTCTTTAAGTTCTCCTTTGAAAGCCTGGGTGTTTCCGCCTTGAGTCATCCTTCATAAAGTTATCTAACACTGACTTACATGGGTGTGCGTGTGTGAACTCTGGGGTGTTGTAACTCTTAAGCTCAACTCATCAAGGTGTGGAGGCCTTTCAGTGATTTTAAATATTTAGGTTTTTTCATTCTTTAGATGATGGGGCCAATATTCAAGAAGTGCTGACAGAGATCACTAATCAGAAAACTGTGCCCAATGTTTTCGTGAACAAAGTACATGTGGGTGGATGTGACCGAACTTTCCAGGTAATAATAGTGCTATGTTCTGTAATGCTGCTTCACATTTTGTTTTTCAAAATATTTAACTTAAGAAAATGACTTTTAGGACCTCCCCGGTGGCGCAGCGGGTTGAGCACAGCACTGTGAAGCTGTCCACAGCCTCTGCAGTGCTGGTTCGATTCCTGGCTGGCCAGGGAAAATCCCACATGGCGCGGCAGACCTCTCCTGTAGCGCCCGCTGCTCCCCTCAGCAGTGCTTTCAGTCCATCTGCCTGTTCTGCTCCCCATTCTGTCTCTGGTGAATCCTCTCACCCTCCCACAACTCTGGCCTATATCCCAGCTCTTGTATAAATAAAAATAAATCTTTTTTTTTTTTGTTTTAAGATTTATTTATTTATTTATACAAGCACTGGGTACAGTCAGAAGCACGGGAGGGTGAGAGAATTTACCAGAGCCAGAGCAGGGAGTAGAACAGGCAGACGACAAAGTGCACTGCTGAAGGGAGCAGTGGGCGCGGCAGGAGAGTTCTGCACACCATGGGGGACCCTCCCTGGCAGCCAGGGATCGAAAGGCGCTGCAGAGGCTGCAGGCAGCTTTGCAGCCCAGCACTCAACTGCTGTGCCACTGGGGAGGCCCCAAAAATAAATCTTTAAAAAAAAAAAGAAAATGACTTTTAGGGATCTATTCATTTGTTGTTTGGAAGTTGTAAGATGGAAAAGCTTGCAGCATGGTTATCAGATAACTTGATTACTTTAAGGGAAATTAGCTTTTCTACCAGCTCAAACTTCAGAAGCTAAAAAGGGGAAGGTTTTGGGTGAGGTTGCCAGGACAAACAGGTGGGCCACCCTGGAGACCTCACTGTTTTTTTTCCTCCTGATGAGTGAGAAAAGGGCTATTCCATCTTTCAAATTTTAGTAAATGAGGTCGATGCTAACATTCTTGTCAAGTGTAAGCAGCCCTATCAAGGTTGCTAACTCTGTGAACAGGAATCATTCAGTTAAGTAGTGAAAGAGAGAAATTGATATTAAAAAATGCCCTTGTTTCAAAACTACTTACTTTTATTAAAATTCTGCTCTTGCTGTGTCCTTTATATCTGTATGCAAGTGGTAGTAATCAGTGATTGATTAAATACTTCTGCTTGAGATTTCAGTTGGAATTGTATTTTTGTTGGGGGGAAAAATGTCTACATTGTTTGTGAATCTGTTGTCAATATGGCTATCTAGTAAAAGTCTGCCTTATTAGTCCTAGAAATAACCCAACTTACAAGTGCTGGTCTTGCCCCTCCTTACCTGGAAAATGATGTCAGAGGATGAATCTGGAGAGGCTGAGATAGTACATTGATTCCAAAATTAAAAGGGGTTTTGCCTTGGATGGCAGGTGCTTGGGAGATAGGGGTTCCTGCAGGTACCTAAAAATATGTAAAATAAAATATATAACAAAATAACAATATAAATAAAAATTTAAAAATTAAATAATCCCAAAAATTATTAATGTATAAGAAGAGATTAATTAGACATCACATTTACAAGCAGTTTAAGATCACTAAATCCCTCTGTACATATAATAAAAATAAATATTTTGGATTCTCTAAAAAAAAAAAAATAAAAAAAGCAAAGAGACCACAAGAGTCCTCCATACATGTGCCAAAAGCCTCTGCAGACATAGCTCTTCAGGACACACCTCTTCAGTGGGCCATCTGGTGGCTGCAGAGTCCCAGGGTTCCAGAGCACTTCCCGTGGTTCTCGGGATGAGCATGGCGTTTCTAAAGCCAGTATAATGGGACGGAGCACCCAAGTTTGCATAGAGAATACTTGCTGAATCACATTGATTCTCTCACCTTGTCTAAGCCACTTCTGATCACAGGAGTGTCGAGTGAACTAGAGACTCCAGTGCAGAGACAGCCCCCTGACCACTGCTGAAAGAAAAAGCAAAATGTTCGTGTTATATAGGAAGCCCACCGGCAGGCTACAAAATTTAGGTCATTTATGAAAAACCATGACACAATTGGAAACACTTATTCCTGCTGATGTTGCATAGCCTGGTTTTCAAAACAAAGCCTAGCACAGGCGAACAAAATAAGGAAGATTTTGAAAAATGATAGTTGACTATTTTATTATACTAGGTTATAATATTTTGATGGTTAGACCAAGGGAAATGACCTGATCTAACAGCTCTGAAGCCATGAAGCGAGCCATGACCTCTAGGTGTGATAATGAATGAAAGTACATAGACTTTGGCAGATACTCTAACTAGTTGGACCCTATTTGAAGCCATCCAATTTACTGTTCCAACTTACATGAATTATAGATGAATGGTTTCTAAGATTTTTATAAAAGAAATCCTTGCTGGTTAAATGTAGGGTGCAAATAAATAGTTTCAACCCAGTCATACTATATTTTCTCCTTTTTTTCCTCCACAGGCACATGAGAGTGGTTTATTACAGAAGCTCCTTCAGCAAGGTGGAGCATATGATTATGACCTCATTGTCCTTGGGGGAGGTTCTGGTGGCCTTTCGTGTGCTCAGGTATGAAAAAAATGAAACTCGAAGATAGTTTTCCTAGTGATTGCCATAAGCTTCCTCTGCTACTTAAAGAAAACCAATTTTGATGTTATAGTCTGTGGTTTTATTGTAACAGCTGGTTTAATAAAGCGTGTTATGACACCAACACAGTCTTTTCATTTAGGGGAGAGGAAATAGGGGGAGTGTCAAGAAAATGACAAAATCTTCCTATGCAGTTTTTCTTTTTTTCTTTTTGTAGGAAGCTGCCACTTTGGGGAAGAAAGTTATGGTGCTGGATTTTGTGGTCCCATCACCCCAGGGCACATCATGGGGTAAGCTGTCTTCCTGGTTGTTGTGATTATTGTTACTCCTTGCTCTGTATGTGTGTGCGCTTTGTTCTACCTCCTTTATTCCTCCCAACAGTCTCAAGAGGGTCTAACTAGCCTGTGTCATAGGGGAGGAGACTGCATCTCAGTGAGTATAAGCATGCTAAGGTGGCTTAGTTAGCAAGTGGTGATTTGGAAAGATAATGTAAAAACAATGAAGGAAGGTTTGAATAAAAAAAAATTCTCACAAGCCCAATATCCCAGCACTCTGCCTTAGTCATTTTTGCACACCCGCTAGCATTTTCACTTAGTTGTGGTCACGGGGTAAACTGTGTCACACTCACCTAAGTTTGCCATACACTTTTCTGTGTTTCTGCATCGATTTCCTAACTCTAATGGTTGTATGATAGTCAAGGTAGCGTGTGTGATCATTTCAGGTTAGTTTAGTCAAAAGCACAGTGAACTCCCAGCCCTGAGACTTGGCTGCAGACAAGAGCGCTCACCTTCCTGTGTTTTACTATCAAATAGAACATGGAGATTTGGTGCCTTGTGCTTCAAATCTGTGCTCCATTGTCTCTGCTCTGCTCTGTGCCCAGAAGACTGATGAGTTGGGTGGCCTTGCCCTCTAGCTTCCAGCTGGACTCACCCAGGCTGGGATAATGAAAAGAGGAGAGGGGAGAGTGGGGTTGGAATCTTCCTTCCTCCGACTCCTTCCCTCCTGGTCACTGCACACTGGGCTCCATTCCCCTAAGGAAGACCACAGCTCCTGTCACCCCTGTCCCCCTTTGGGGGCTGGTGCTCGTTCAGTGTGCTTGCCTTGTCCCCACCTTGGTGACAGGCCCACTGTTCTCCCTGCCCACACCCCTGTAATAATTGCTTATTTACCCAGCTTGTAGGTGTCGTCAGTTTCTCTGCTACAACCCTGCCAAAAAAAAAAAATTAAAAATTCAGACTTAAAAATTTTGCCTAGTTTTTATATAGAAAAGCTGATTTACCTTGCTTTTTCTCAGAATATTGGTGTGGTGTGAGCACATTTGTCTCTTTCTTTCTCTCTGTTTCCTCTTTTCTTCCTCCACTTCTCCCTTCCCTGTTCAGCAGGAGCCTCTTACCTGGATTACCAGGAAGCCATGGGCCAAGCGAATCTTCAGACTCGTACCCTGCCCGGGGCACAAGTCCTTGACTGTTCTGTGGTGGTCAAAACTCAGGGTAGATGTCACCAGGCAGCTTGAGGGGGATACACTGTGGCTCAGAGGAGTCAGTTTCAGAGAGGAAAGGCTGGAGCTGGGCTTCTGGCCCTTGGTGAAGTACAGGCCTAGTTCATCAACCTACTTCTCTTCTTTTTGTGGGTCACACTCAAGAGGAAGTTTTGGACTCTGCCCCCAGAAAACTATTCAAATGCACATCCATAGTTTTGCTCATCCTCAGGCCTCCTTCAAGGACCCTTGCCTGAAAAGTTTGGGTTAATCATTTGCATTATTGTGGGGTGAGGTGTTGACACCACAACCATTTAGATTTGTCATTTCCACATGCTTTTGATAACACACACTCCGCATGTATGTAAAACCACATGTATAAATACATGTGGAACATTATTAAAACTGTGATTTTCTTTCTCAGGTCTTGGTGGTACATGTGTAAACGTGGGCTGTATACCCAAGAAATTGATGCACCAAGCTGCCCTTTTGGGTCAGGCATTAGCTGACTCGAGGAAATATGGCTGGGATTATGGTCAACAAGGTGGGTAACAGTATATAAAAATAAAGATTGGGAGAAAGGAACAAAGAATGAGTTTCTTAGAGAAAGACTTATTTATTTGTATAGTTGACTCCAAAATTCATTTAATAAACATCAACTAGGAGCCCACTATGTGCTAGCAGGGCACAGAAGGCCCAGAGATGACTCATTTAAACATGGCCCTGTTCTCATGAGCCTGCTGCCTCTAGAGGGATTTTTGCAGCTACAGCCATTCCAGACCCTCAGCAGTTGTGAGAGATAATAATCACTGTTTTCTGATTTCTTTCAAGTTTAAAGAAAGAAGTATAGTGAGGGTGATTATTTGAACTTTAGCCATTGTGATAACATTGTCTGTTTTATCAGTGGTTATGTATGTCTTTGGTTATTGAAAGATGAAAAACAAATTCATCTTATAAACACTTACTGGTTAAGCTATGAGGGCGCTATTTGCGGAAATATGGATCCTGCCCTCAGCAGCACATGGTCTGAGGGGAAGAGAGAAGCCTTCCAGAATGCTGCCATCCAGGTGCTACTTGAAGCCTCGACTGGAGGGGCACTGGAGGGCCGGAGTTGGGGCTTGACTGGAGACCTGCATCCTGGAGGTCACAGGGAAGCAGGACACGTGAGACAGCTAGTTTTTGACCCAAACTACGGGAATGTGGCGGGGGGGGGGGGGGGGGGGGGGGTGGGGGTGGGTGGGGGGTAGGTGGCGAGTGCTGGAGCGAAGAACCGGAGCAGCATCGCTGCTGGAGGGGGAGGCATGTTTTACTCCAAAGGTACTAAGCGTGTGAAGAGTTTCAGCAAGAGAGAGAGGCCCAGGAACCAACTTTGGATTCTGTATCCCTCTGGTGGCACCAAGGAACTTAGAAGGCCGGGGGTAGGAGGGGTGAGGGCAGGTCCTAAGATGAGGGGGTGAGGTGGTGCTGTTTCATAAACCAGAGGACAAGTGGAGAGGGTCACCTTGGACTGGAGGGTACAAGATGGAAGTAGAGAACTTAAGCATGGTATGGACAGGTTAGATGTGAAATGGTGATTTGGAATAACGTGTGGAGTTTTATTTTTTTTTTTATTTTTTTTTTTAATAATAAATTTTATTTTTATATTCCTCATACAATTGCAGCCCCCCCATTCTGACCCCAATCTCTCCCCTCCCACCCCCGCCCCCTTAAAAGTGTCTCTGGTTCGTTGTTTTTTGTTGATTTTGATTTTCACTTTCTTATAGTTATTCGTTTTCCTGGTCCCTTATTTAAGTTTTCTAGATTCCTGCTATGAGTGAGACCATCCGGTATTTCTCTTTTTCTTTCTGGCTTGTTTCGCTGAGCATGATCCCTTCCAGCTCCATCCATGTTGCTGCAAATGGCATGTGTTTATCTTTTTTGAATGCTGAGTAATATTCCATGGTGTATATGTACCACATCTTCTTGATCCAGTCATCTATTTTTGGGCATTTGGGCTGTTTCCAAAGCTTAGCTATTGTAAACAGTGCTGCTATAAACATAGGGGTGCAGGTGCTCTTTGGAATTGATGTTTCTGTGTCCTTTGGGTAAATACCTAGGAGTGGAATTGCTGGATCATATGGAAGCTCTATGTTTAGTAGGTCCAGAAATCTCCACACAGCTCTCCACAGTGGTTGGACCAGTTTGCACTCCCACCAACAGTGCAGAAGAGTTCCTTTTTCTCCAACGTGTGGAGTTTTAAAAAAAGATAGTGGCCTGTCTCTTTCCCCAAAGATTGTGATCCAGTAGATCTGTGCTACTTATTTCAGGTTTCATCTGAGTCGTGGGTAGGGAAGGAGGCCAGGAGGGGCACTGGCTAGAAATGTGATACGTGTGTTGAGAGTGAGAACAGGCAGGTTTCGGGCAGTGGCTGGGTGACCACTCCAGTGGTGGGGTTCAGCTTAACAGAGTGAGGTTGGACATGTTTTCCCAGACAGTCAACTCCAGGGAAAACTTTTGGTCAGGCCGGTAGCTTCAACTGTTGTAAATAAGATGAGGTCTCTCCACTTGGAAGTTCAATTTTCAGGTAGAATTCACTTTGGAGAATCCTCCTCTCTGATTTTTCATCTGGCCTGGATGTTTCATGTAAGGTCCCTTGGAACGCCCTGGTGGGGTTTGATACCCAAGCGCTCAAAGCAGGTCTGGGCCAGGCCCAGAGTTTTAGAGCCACAGCGTGTAGGTGAAGGTTGAAGACTTAGGAATTGCTGAGATGGTCTTGGGAGAACATAAGGATAGAAAAAAGTAGAGGACAGAGACAGAATCCTCAGATATTTTAATACCCAAGGTAAGTGGGTGAGGAAGAGGGGAAAGCAGGAGAGTTGTGTCACGGAAACCTGGAGGGTTCTATTTTTAAGGGCAAGATTTAGGACTCAGGGAGTCTTAAAAGAGCACCGCCTTGAGAGAAATGGGGCAGGAAGGCTATAACTGGCATAAAAAAGATTTAAGTTGCTAATTATCTTCTGTTTACTTCCTGATCTTAAAGCAGTATATAGTACGGCTCACATGTGATTACATATAATTTACCTTTAAAAATAAAATTCACTTAACACCTTTATCCTGCTTATTTATTTTCAGTGACACACAACTGGGAGACCATGAGAGAAGCAATTCAGAACCACATCGGCTCTCTAAACTGGGGCTATAAGGTGTCTCTGCGGGAAAAGGCTGTGACTTATATCAATTCCTATGGAGAATTTGTCGACCATCATAAAATAAAGGTACCATGTGAATGTTTTTCTTCACTGCATGTCCTTACTCTTGCTTGTGCTTGCCTTGAATGGAATTGCACATTAAGGACTGTAGCTTGGGGCCTCCCTGCTGGTGCAGGGCTTAAAGACAGCGCTATCAAGCTATATTGCCAGCCACTGCAGCACAAGTTCAATCCCCGGCCGGCCAGGGAGCAACCCACATGGCACAGCAGACCTCTCTTGTCTCGCCCGCTGCTCCCTCAGCAGTGTATTGCAGTAGATCTGCCTGTTCTGCTTCCCACTGTCTCTGGTGAATCCTCTCTCACACACCCCACCTCTGGCTTACACCCCTGTTCTTATATGCATAAATAAAATCCTTTAAAAAAAAAAAAGGACTCTGGCTAGCAGGTGTGTGCCATTGTGCACACTCCACACCTGCGTGTGTGTCTCCTTCATTGTCTGGGTGCCACATGTCTGAGTTCCAGAAATTGCTTTTTAAAGAACTCTTAAAAGGGTTATTTGCCTTTTGATTTCATTTCTTAAGAGAAAAAATGGTTAGTCTAAACAGATCAAAATTCAAAAGACTAAGAAGAGGAAGCCTTATCCATAGCTCCAATATATATTATTTGTAAAAGCATTAACAAACGTAGTATCAGAATTAGTGTATTTTATAAGTTTGTTGTATCTTACAAGTGTTACAAGATCAATAAGTAAGGAAAATGAGATCATTTTAATGGACACAAAAATTTGAAATTGAAGTTAGGAAGCCCCATCAACTATTACCCCAGCATTAAATATTCTTGTGGTTGGCTCTTGCAGCACAGTATGGGGTGATCTTGATAAGAGCTGAGGTGGCATTGTTGCCATTTGTTGCCTCTGGAAAATGATGAGGTGGACTGCTTCAAGCTGCCCCATATACATGGGCCAGTCTGCATTACATTATTCACGAGAACCATACTAGAAATACAAGGCAGTTCATTGTATTTCTCAAGTCGTAGTTTGCCTGTTGTAAGTAGTAAGTGGTAAGTAGTTGCTCCTTCCCAACCAGACCCGCCTCTGCTCACTTCTGTGTCCTCAGTGAGTGATACCACTTCTTCCCACTCTCCAGCTGGAACCTCTGATTCCTCCCCTTCATGCCCAGCCTGCACTTGTTTGTTTCTCTCAGGACCCTCCTGAACAGGTCTCCACATTTCCTCCATGCAGCTGTTAAACTATCTTCATTGGTATTCATTTTCATTCTGAAAATGAAAATGCCTTTATGATTTACTTGTATAGTTGGAAATAAACATGTCAACCTTATTGATTCCCCATAGACTAAATTTGTAGACGGACACATGAGGATTTTACTCTTGGCTCTGATCTGTCAGTTTCACTTCACCATGACACGTATCCTCATTTCATGTCACTTTTGGCCACTTGCTGTTACTCAAACACCACTGGCTTTCTGGCCTGGGTGCTCTGATGCTCTGTTCTCACTCCAGGTTGCCTTCCTCTCCACTTCATCTCACTTCTTTTTCACCACCTTTGAAGCACCTGGACGGGCATGCCAGCCCTCTACTACCCTGCTGCTGTGGGCTCTGGTTGATATTTTGTAGAGACTTGGTACTAATACATTCTTTTTACATGACTGTTCCTGTTGCTTGGGAAGTTCTGTTGGGTAAGTTTGTCCAGGTACTTTAGAGTGTGTGTTGAAAAAGGTGACATCTGCTTTTCTTTTTTCAAGGCAACCAACAAAAAAGGACAGGAAACATGTTACACTGCTGCAAACTTTGTCATAGCAACAGGAGAACGACCACGGTATTTAGGGATTCCAGGAGACAAAGAATACTGTATTACTAGGTAAGATTAACTAGGCTATTTTAACTGTACGTCATGTTTTTATGTTCCCAATGTATTTACTCCCTGTCTTTTTGCACAAAAGATTTGAATTGATGACAAAGGATGTAAGAAGCTAAGTAGAGAATGTAATGGAACAAAGAAAACAAAGTTAGGGAGGTAATAAGTTCAAGTTTATGAACAGAAGTATCCTGTATGCTTCTAGGTCCTTTCTCAAGGTGGTCTAGAAATTTGATTGTAAATTTCCTGGAGGCCAAAGCAAAGAAGAAAATACACTTAGCTTTAGGGGTTAGTGTCTGTGTAGTAGTGACCTAGTTGATCAGGAGAAGTGTAGCTGTTTCTCATAAAGAGACTTAATAGGCATTTTCCCTGCATGGTTATAAAGAGGACATTGGATAACATAGTACAACACTTTTCAAACTTTTTTGACCTCGTGCATATTAAATCATTTCAGGTGAACACCTACATGCTAAAACAAACAAAACAGTATTTCTTGTTATCACATATTTTCTATTGTTTTTTTTTTTAAAGATTTATTTTATTTATACAAGAACCGGGGTATAGGCCAGATGTGCGGGAGGGCAAGAGGATTCACCAGAGACAGAGCAGGCAACAGAACAGGCAGACTGACGAAATACACTGCTGAGGGGAGCAGTGGGCAAGACAGGAGAGGTCTGCTCTCCATGTGGGTTGCTCTGACGCCGGCGGGGATCAAACCGGCACTGCAGAGGCTGTGGACAGCTTCACAGCACAGCGCTCAACTGCCTGCACCACCAGGGAGGCCCTCTATTCTGGCTTTTTCTTTTTTTTTTAACTTTGCTTGTGACCCACTAATTTGGAAAAAAAATGGAGATAAACTTCTTACTTCACAGTCGACAGAGTTACAAACCCAAAAACACCATTTATTTTAGCATTTCTTCATTCAAGCACCAAATTGCAATTCAGTCCATGAAAGACTAGTATACAGCAAAACCCTGATAACTCATTTCATTTTTATTGTCTAGATGTTCTTTATTTTTATTTTTCAGCGATGACCTGTTTTCTCTGCCTTATTGCCCGGGCAAGACGTTGGTGGTGGGTGCATCCTATGTGGCCCTGGAATGCGCAGGATTTCTAGCTGGCATTGGCTTGGAGGTCACGGTCATGGTGCGTTCAATCCTTCTCCGTGGTTTTGACCAAGAAATGGCAGAGAAAGTGGGATCCTACATGGAGCTGCATGGTGTTACGTTCTTAAGGAAATTTGTGCCTGTGAAGGTGAGTCCACATGACCTTTGGGAGTCTTTACGCTCTTTCTCTAGCGTTTTACTTTCTCCCCTCCTTACTTCATTCATTCAGTAAACTAGTGTACACTCAATAGAAAACCTTAAAGATAGTGCTCTCGGCCCCCAAAGCTGCAAGAGTGGCCCTCGTTTGTCCCTCTCGCCACCTCTGTTGGGAACCTGATGTCCTTGTTCCTGCTCACACATGCACATGTGCACCCTGTGACAGTTTTCTGTCATCTTTAGATAGAATTGTTGCATTACTTGTCCTTCCTAGATTCAACAGTTGGAGAAAGGTTCACCCGGAAAGCTGAAAGTAGTGGCTAAATCCACTGAAGGACCAGAAACTTTTGAAGACACATATAACACGGTAAGTTTTTATTTTCTCAGCAGTAGTCAAACAAGTTAGCACAGGTGGAACTTATGGGAAGTTACATCAGACTTAAGTTTTAAAATATTTTTTGTAAGACTATCCTTTTTCTGACTCCATTGTTCTCACCTTTATTTTGTTAATGTGATGAATTGTATTGATTGATTTTGGGTGTTAAACCAAATTTGTATTTTGGGGACAAACCCGAGCTAGTCATGTAGAAGTATTCTTTTTATGTTTTGCTATGTTTGATTTGCTAACATTTTGTTAAGGATTTTTCACCCATGTTTGTGAAGCATATTAGCTTATAATTTAATATCCTTGTCTGACTTTCATGTCAGATGTTTATGCTCATCTCATGGAAAAGTGTTAGAAAGTGTCTCTTCTTCCTGTTTTCTGGAAGAGTGTACACTATTAGTATTGTTTCTTACTAAAGTGATGGATAGACTATTAGTGAAGTCATCTGGATCTGGAGTTAATTTACACATGTGGATTCAGTTTCTAAATCCATCATAGACTGGGGGATATAGGCAACAGAAGTATTGGGTTGTCAGAAAAGCAATGACATGTTTTTTCTGCATTTTCAGGCAAAATGTGTCATGACTTTTCCGACAACCCAATATCTTCTGAGGCCATTGTCCTTGGCTGGGACGAGGCCGCCTCCTCCCTGTGTCCTCAGTGGATCAACCCTCAGTCTGTACTGTCTGCACCCTAATCGCCTTAACTTAGTAGACACCAGTCCTATTAGATAACAACATCATTTAACCTGAACCACTTCTTTAAAGGCCCTTTAAAGGTCTCCAAATATAGTCATATTCTGAGGTACTGGGGTTAGGACTTCAACATATGCATTTAGCGGGAACATACTGAACATATAATAAATAGGGTTATTCAGATTTGTGTGAGTGTGAGTTTTGTGAATCATGTCTTTCGAGGAATCTAACTGACCTCCGCTGTCAAATATATTGGTATATTTGACCAATATATTGGTCATAATATTCTTCTTTTCATAATATTCTTCTTTTACTATCTGAGGGATCTGTAGTGATGCTTCCTTTCATTCCTAATATTGACCATTTGTGTTCCTGACCTCTCTCTCAAATAGGTTCTATTAGCAATTGGCCGTGACTCCTGTACAAGGAAAATAGGTTTGGACAAGATCGGTGTCAAAATTAATGAGAAGTAAGTGCACGTGGCATCATTCATTGCCTGACCCTGCACAAAGCAAATGTTTCTACAGATCACCTTCAGCAATTCTCATTGAATTATGAGGACACAGAATTTTAATGCTTTATGTTTATTTGATAATAAGTAATGTGTCAAGCTCTGTATAATTTTTTTTTTCATTATCGAGTCAGTAACTATTGCGTGCCTTAAAGAGTACACAACAACAGTGATTTTAAGAAATAATTGGAAATATAGTCACTTACAGTCTGATTTAGGTGATTTTTTTTTTTTAAGATTTATTTATTTATACAAGAACCGGGGTACAGGCCAGATGTGCAGGAGGGTGAGAGGATTCACCAGAGAGAGAGCGGGGAACAGAACAGGCAGACTGACAGAAATACACTGCTGAGGGGAGCAGCGGGCGAGACAGGAGAGGTCTGCCCCACCATGTGGGTTTCTCCACGGCTGGCAGAGATTAAACTGGCACTGCAGAGACTGCTGACAGCTTCACAACACTGCACTCAACAGCCTGTGCCACCAGGGAGGCCCTGATTTAAATGAATTTTTGTGTCCTTGGTCAGTCAAGAAAAATTTCAAAGATCTATATGTGACTCTAGGGGAAATCTGAAAATATCCTTGACATCCAAAAACTGAGTGTGGTTTCACCAACCAGAAAGGTGTTTTCTTAGGAGCTATAGAAATTCCTGGTCCTTTAAGCCATGGGGCTTATCGACAAGCGATGGATAACGTGAAGTGCATGTTTCTTCCAAGGAGGTCTTTTCTCTGTGTCTTAGGCCTTTTCTCCTGAATTGCATTAGTCATCCAGCAGCATAGTTAGTCATGATAATTGTCTTCTTTCTAAAACTTGACAGGAGTGGCAAAATACCAGTAAATGATATGGAGCAGACCAACGTGCCCTATGTGTATGCTATTGGGGATATTCTGGAGGGTAAGCTGGAGCTCACCCCCGTCGCCATACATGCAGGCAAGCTGCTGGCTCGAAGGCTCTTTGGGAGCTGTTTCGAAAAGGTAAGTTTCTTCCTGTTGTTTTGAGGTAATATTTGTATCCAAAAAAAGCTGAGGCTTTCCCTCTCACCCTTTCTCTATCGATAGGAAACAGCAGTTAAAGGCATCTCTTGAGAACGGGACCTCCCCTGTGAGCCTTGGGATATGGGGGTCAGTGCTGATCAGTGAATGCATTGGTGGACATTGCAGGGCCTGTGAGGAATCAGAAAATGCTAAGGCAGTCCCCACGGTTATCTGATTTTCTCTAGCCACATTTGAAAAAAAGAAAAAAATTGCCTGACTTACACATGCTTTGCAGATTAACAAACCAGAAGTTGTATGAAAGCATATAGGTTAAAGGATCTAAGCTAACTGGGTGGCAGTTCTGCAGCTGGGCTTCTTCCTGTGCCTACAAAGGAGGGAATTCGACTAGCACAGCTCCCTTGCTCTGCATGGACACTGGCCAGTGTATGTGTGTGATCACTTTGGGTTAGCTGTCCACCCCTGACCCAATCTCGGTAACCAGCTGACAGGGCTTGGAATGCATGGAGTGCAGTAGGCAGTGTTGATCCTTGAGGGGCTGTGGATGGGCAGCACGGTGACCTTCATCTCTGGCTTTACCCTCTCTGCTCTGCCCATCACTCTGTCCATACCCGCAATGGAGCCGTGCTGCCAGTGCGTTCAGCTCTTCTCCACACAATCACAGAGACGTCTCCTCAGGTGGGGTGGCTGCCTGTACTCACGCTGCTCTCCCATCTGGGGACTATGTGTGGGCTCAGTGACGTGCTCCTGTGATGTGCACACATACTCTGCATCTGTCTGTCAAGGGCTCTGAAGAAGTTCTGTCGTAACCATAGCCGCCCACCTATGCCATCTCCCTGGGATGGTGCAGGCGGTTCCTGGGCCCAACCCCATGGGCTGCTCTACTTGCCCACTCAGTGGCAAAGCTCTGTGAAGTGACCAGGGTGTGTCAGCTCCCAGTGCAGGATCATGCAGATGGAAAGAAAACACTTTAGAGAGCGTTTACAGGGCTGCCTCCACCTCTACTACTTGGTTGTTCAGGCCGGAAGTTGGGGTCTAGGACAGCCAGTTCCATTTGTTGGCCATGACCAATGCATGGTCTCTGCCCTAGAGTCACCGCTTCACCCCATTTCCTTCATATAACTTAGAATACTCCAGCATGGTGACGTGTAAGAATCAGTTACATGGAATTGGACTTACTTTTCTTTTGTAAATGTACACAACTTAGATGTTGGCTGTAAAAAGTCACAAAATAAGAAAATGTAATTTGTTTCTCTTTCAGTGTGATTATGTTAATGTTCCAACTACAGTGTTTACCCCCTTGGAATATGGCTGCTGTGGATTGCCTGAAGAGAAAGCTATTGAAATACACAAAAAAGAGAATCTAGACGTAAGATTGTGTTTCATTGTTTGCTTTTTTAATAATTTCTCCTTCAATCAACTGTCTTAGTAGTCACTTTTTTTTGTTGTTTTACAAGTTACTATATTGTTATGGGGAATCACTTCTATTTTAGGAAAATTAGAAATTTAATCATTTAAAACCCTTATCTCTAGCAAAATATAAAAAAGCAGTTGGGGAGAGAGGGACATTGAGGCACAAGTAACAAATGTCTACTTGAGTCCCTATACACAGACATTGTTCTAAGATCTTGGGGGAAAGCAGGGTTGCCTCAAGGCCTTAGGAAGGGCTAAGAACCAGGATCTGGAGAACCGCCTGGCCTCTGTCTTTCCCTTGCTTGCAGTCGGCATGTGTCAGTGCGTGTGCGTGTGGTGCATTCTCTTTCTGCAGGCAGACTCTGCCCCTGGAATACACGCAACAGCCAAAATAGGACCTTTCTTGTGCTGCCAAGTTTATCTGAGGAGGAACCATTTAACTCATTGTTTCTCAGTCTTAATTCCAAGCCACTGGGCAGGAGGTTGGACTGGGCTGAGTGGGGCCAGCTATCCAGCCACTTCCACAGCGGCGGCCAGGTTTGCTCCTCCCCTGGGGCCCACATGCTATGGCCTCTGGGTAGGGAAGGTGGGTGGTTTCCAGGGCTGTCAACCTGCCCAGAGGTGCCCTCCCGCTTTGCTTCCACTTCACCTTCAACCCTGGCCTGTCCAGTTGTGGCCTTATAAATATTTTCTTATATTGTATTTCAGTGGGTGCTTTGAGTACCTTTTTCATACACATCCTCCCAACATAGGAGGTCATAGGAGAGTTAGAAAGAGTTGGAGGATTATTACCACTTGATGTTTTAAGCAAAAGAGAATTAAAATCTCAGTCCTCTCCCTTGAAGGCATTTTAATTTATTACTGAAAATTTCTCTAAGCCTTCGCACGAATATTCCCTAATTAAATGGCTTAGTGACTTATTAAAACTCTTCTTTACATTTCTGGCATTGGGAAAATAGATGATTAAAACTTTATGATGTTATTTTAGGTAGCTATTTTCAATGAGGAATCTGTTTCAGAGGACATTATTTTATCAGTGTTTATAATTAGCTCCTTGTAATAATGACCCATTCTTTCTGCAGTGGTGAACTTTTACTTGGGTCTTAGAAAATTGATGATAACAATTATAGACTTAACACTCAGTTGGAAGACTTTCTGAAATCAATTAGATGTTAAGATAGAGAGGTAGGTAAATGAGAGGAAGAATATGGACGGCTGTACTCCACATAAAAGGAATATCTTTATAGGAAAAAAAGTTCCCCTAGCTTGAGGGTTCCTTTAAGGTCTCTTTTTAAGGTTCATTACAGATCAACTCACCTATTTTATATATTTATTTATTTTGCACTTGACAGGACTGAAATGTGAACATAGACATGTCCTAGTTAAGTTAGCCATTTATAATAGACCAAGAATCAGCCTGATAGCAGCTTTTTTTTTTTTAACAATCTTCCATGCCAAGGGCAATAGAGTGATAGGGAAGGGGTTTGATTTTTAAATTAAATGCCCAAGGGTGGGGAAGATAGGAGAAGAGACAGCAATGAAATTTAGGGGGGAAATGCAGATAGATGAGAGGTCAGTACCCAGCAGATAAAAATTTCTAAACAGGCATTGGGAAAGTCAAGAAACCAACCAAGTCAAAAAACCAAGTCATCAAAGCCTGGAAAGTCAGTGACTTCATACTGAACATGTAGGGATGTGGTGTCCCATCTGTGAAGCAGCAAGTATCTTACCTCTGCAGAACACTTTCTGCACACTGGCTTATGTCTGGAAGGTTATTTTCTGGAGAGGGTAAAAAACAAGGGTCTGTTGACTAGGGGTACTGGGTCCAGTGAAGGCCCGGATGTTATTCCAGCACAACATTTAAGTAAGCAAATACTGAATCTTAAGACAACTGCTCCCACTCAGCTCTCAGAACTCTGGCAACCAGGCTTTCCTCCTTATTTGGCCAGGGCTTGGTAAAGTTTTAAATCTCGGGGGACTCTAACAAGCCTTCAGGAAAGATCTAGAGATACTGACTGATGGTCCCCAAATAAATTTCCCAGTTAGTGAGGTAGGGGACACCCTCATCATAAAAGTATGGCTCATTCATAGTATAAAATGAATTTGACAGAAACCATCCAAGAGGAAGCCCAGACATTAGAATTATTAGTCAAGGTTATTAAATCGATTGTTAAGCCAATGTTAAATCAGGGAAATAGCATCTGAATAAAATATGAATATGAGTAAAGAGATTATAAAAAGGAACCAAAGAGAAATCCTGGAGCTTAAAAGTATAATTGAATTGAAAACCTCACTAAAGTAGTTCGACAGCATGTCTAGACGGCAGAAGAGAACATTGTGAACTTGAAAATAAGACAATTGCGGGGCCTCCCGGGTGGCGCAGCGGGTTAAGTGCTGCGCTGTGAAGCTGTCCACAGCCTCTGCAGTGCGGGTTCGATCCCGGCTGGCCAGAATCCCACATGGTGCGGCAGACCTCTCCTGTCTCGCCCGCTGCTCCCTTCAGCAGTATATTTTGTCAGTCTGCCTGTTCTGTTCCCCACTCTGTCTCTGGTGAATCCTCTCACCCTCCCACGCATCTGGCCTGTACCCCAGCTCTTGTATAAATAAAAATAAATCTTTAAAAAAAATAAACTAAATGTGAAACAGGCAGTAATGGAGGGATGGGGGAGTGAAAAACATACAAGACTTAGAGAAAAGAAAGGAATGCACAAGGAAAGCCTTCTTTATCAGTAGCTGTTTCCTCTCTGTCTGTGATCCAGTTTGAGGTTTTGTATATTGTGTGAAGTGGAGGTCCAGCTTCATTCTTCTGCATGTGGGTTTCCATTGGTCTGTGAATAACTTTTACCTAGTAAAGGAAACACTAGTATTGACTTAGCTCTGCACATGACTGTAATTGAGAGGGTGGACAGGAGGAGGGCATGGGCTTGAGGGTAGATGGCAGGGAGATGCCGAGTGAGGTAAGAGCCGGGGAAGAAAGAGAGCTCAATCAGATCAGTAAAGCCTAAAAACAAAAAGGTCAATTAGTAGTAATATAAGCATGTTATTTAGAAACATGGAGGTAAATAACAAAATAAATAAAAGGTGAAAGTGATTGCCCGTAAGAAGATTGAAATGGGTGGGGAGAGCAGAGATTGCTGCTTTTCATAGCAAAGCTTTAAAAACCCTACCTGTAATTAGCATGCGTGATTTGATGAAAATTAAACAAACAAAAAGAACAAGCAAAAACAGGAAGATTCTAAATAAGAAAAGTAGTGGGGACGTGGCGGGTAGAGACCAGTCCTGTAGGAAATTAGAGTTTATGATGTGTCAGCCATAGTTAAAATTGTGCTGTGGTGGCATATAGATGGACAGCAGCTTAGAGAAACAGAACATGAAATCCAGAAATCGATTCAAATGCTTAAAAGAATTAGTATGTGGTAAAGTCTGTATTTTAGCTCAGTGGGAAAAGATCTTTATTTAAGGGTGATGGAATAAATGGACAGCCATTTGGGGAAAAAGTAAAGCTGAATCCACACTTCACACCCACTTTGAACCAGGAGGATTAAAGACTTAAATAAAATCTTCATAGTAGTAGAAGGAAAAAAGCCACACTTAACAAAAACCGGGGAGGGGCGGCAAGGGCGTGGGAGTGCTCGTTTTCTTGTTCTTTATAGCAGGGAGCCAAGGACCTGTCAAAAACGGAGGCTCAAGGTTTAAAAATCATGTTTAAAACCTCAGAGTTTTCACCATCTCTTTTCTTAAGCCTTAGCGGTGTATTTTAGGAAATAATATCTTAAAGAAATACTTACAGAGTAGGCACAGATTGAAAGGTTTATATTAAAACACATGGAAGAGTTTCTGTTAAATGCAGAGTTTTAATTATATTTAAGTAGTTAAGTAAGAGTTTAGTGTTTTCATTACAAGTAATTAAAACTATGATAACTTTAAAATAAAAATTTCATCTTTAACTATGACTATACCAGCTATTGATGCTTCCCTAACATTTAAAATGGTTATTACTGGATAGTGGGTTTTTTTTTTTCCTTCTTTACTCTGTGAATTTCTGTTCTGCATTCTTCTTGTATAAACTTGTATCTTTTTATAAAAACAAAGCATTCAAAATATAAAATACATAGTCTTATTAAAGAGTAGGATTGACATCCCTCTAGTGTGAAACATAGATGAGAGCACAACTCTTACCCTGGCACTGAACTTTAACTCATCGCCTTCTATATGTGGGAGGAGCAGTCTGAGGGAGGCGCAGGCTGGGGAAGTGCAGCTCAGGCACCAGCCCTCGCTGGTGTGCTCTGTCCCTACAGGGGTGTGAGCCAGGCTGAGGTGCCTCAGCCATGAGCTTGGGCTGCAGTGAGAGCTTCCCGGTATTGTATCAGAGGTGATATTCCTGATATCTTTGAATGGCTATACCTGCTTTATTTTTCCTGCTTTTCCTAGATTTGGTTTGAATATGAATCATATAGGTAGGTACCTATATGAGTTGTGAACTCACTGAGGCAGGAACTCAACTCGTATTTGCTGCTGCATCTCACATAGGCCCTGGTTCTTGGCCTGGGGAACCAGTGCTCCATGTTTGAAAATGGAATTTACTTAGGAGGGAATAGTAGAGCAAAAGACAGTAGAGCAAAAATATCACAGTTTTACATCTTGGGAGTTCCAGCCCAGAAGCTCTCATCAGATACATAAAATTGGGATCTATAATTTCCGAAAGCTGGTAGATTATCCTCTTTCTATAATTAAAGAGTGCAACAAGGAGTGATTTTCATAGACACTAATCTTGACCCCTCTCTTTCTCTTCCAGGTATTTCATACTTTGTTTTGGCCTCTTGAATGGACAGTGGCAGGCAGAGACAACAATACCTGTTATGCAAAGATAATTTGCAATAAATTCGACAATGTATGTAATAGGGTTGGAAACTGAAATGTTGTGATTGTAATGTAGCTTTTATTCTAGAGATGGGCTTTTATAATCTCCTGAAAGAAAACTTTCAGAACAAAGCAGAAATCCTTCAAATCCTTACCCAGTGAATGTGTGCGCACAGGTTGAACCAGTGACAGATTGACAGATTGTAACTGAAGTTGCCTCCTCCCAGAGCTAGATCATCAAATAATGAAACATTTCTGTTTTGTGCATGTTTGTAAATGGGCTGAGTGTGTGAGAAGCCTGCAGAAGATGTTTCACCCATAGCCGCGTGGCCTCTGACTCCCTGCCCCTCAGAACAGCCTCTCCATCCCTGGTGGGCTGCCTTGAACTGTTGTTCTTTCTGCAGGATATAGGGAAGCAAAAATTGCTGCCTCTGCTGCCCTTTTCCTTTCTCTCCATCTGTTGTACAGTTTTACTGTGAAGATCAAAATGAAAGAATAGAATCTGATGAAAAACATTGACAAGAGGACAGTCTGAACATGGTGTTAGCTTGGAAATACCCTCATGTTAGCTCCCTGTCACTTGTGCCCACTAGGGCACCTCGCACCTTCCAGCATTCAGCTCTGGACACAGGCCCTGCCCGGGCTCCCGTGGTCTGTGATGTTAGGGGCCAGGCCGCTTGCTTCCTGTCAAGGAATCACCGCAATTCCTATAGAACCCGCTACCCTAGCACTAACCCAGCACCGGGCTGTGATTCGATCTGTGTTCTTGTTGAGCACCATCTCAGCGTCATTTGGAAATTCACATCATACTAATGAACTCCTTCATGCCGTGGGCACATTGCTTGTTCTAGTAAATTTGAGTGCAAATTAACTCAGGATGTGCATTTACTGGCTCATTTAACAGATTCTTACAGTGGCTCCCTTTCGTGGTGATGTTCTCTGCTCACTGCAACAGCTGAGTTCCTGTAGTAGATGCTGTAAATTTTAACTGTGAACTTGAAATGAATGGATTCTAATCAGGCCATTAACGTCCTGGGCTTCCCTTTTTTCTATTTCTGTGTTAAAGGACCGGGTGGTAGGATTTCATATTCTTGGACCAAACGCGGGTGAGATTACCCAGGGATTTGCAGTTGCCATGAAATGTGGGCTCACAAAGCAGCAGCTCGATAGCACCATAGGAATTCACCCCACATGCGGCGAGGTACAGAAACTTTATTTTTACCTTCAATGGGCATACTTTGAAAAATGCGCTGTCACAAAGATGTTATACTAGTAACTGCTTTGTTTATTTCAAAGGATAACGTAGGTGTAATATTTTGAATGGGTTTTCTTTAAGCAATTCTGAAATATTGATGGCTAAATATAAATGTTTTCTTCCTTTCAAACAGGTCTTCACAACACTGGAAATCACGAAGTCCTCGGGACTAGCTATCACTCAGAAAGGTTGCTGAGGCTAGGCCCGCTGCTGTTTGGTCTTCCTTGTCATTGTCCCTTGTCTTCTGAGGATAGCGAGGGACCTGGCCAGCTTCTCTGCATGGCCGGACATGAGAATCAGACAAGGAGACAATCAGACAGCAGCGGGCGTCCGCCCAGCTCAGCCGACAGGAGAGGCAGACAGACTGCCTACGTGACGTCTTAGCTCGGAACCTCTCTTTGAGGTGAGCCAAGATTGATGCTCTTCCAAGTCAGAACTGAGCTTCCCTCCCTCCCAAAGACCTTTAAATCACACAGCTCGCCTAAGTGCCTTTTCCGGTTGCTAGTGTGTAGCCCCTTGCTTTGTTGTGCCTATGAAAATATTTTCTCAGTGGTGAAAGTGACTAGTGTGGTGGTGTCCCAGAGCCTTGTGGCTGTGAGGGCGTCATGGAGGTGCCCCTGCAGGCTGGCTGCAGAGGCCAGGAGCATGGGTGGAAAGTGTCCTCGCTGCAGGGCTTAGACGGCTGTCTCCCCCTGGAGTGCATCCCCACCCCACCCCCACCCCCGCCTCCCCTCCCCCCCCCCCCCCATCCTGGTGGTCTCAGCTTTCAGGCCCTCCTTGGAGGCCCCGGGCTGCTCCAGGATCTCATGTCAGAAAGAGATGCTTGAATTTCCTTTTCATGTTGATGGTGATATTAAAAGGTTTTCAATATTGTGTTCTGTGAAATCTAACTAATTTAAAACTGTGTAAGATGATTCTATCCACATCTATTCAATCTTGTCAAGCGCCATAAAGGAACAGATGACTTTATGAGATTGCACTTGAACTTACACACATGTCAGCATCTAAAGGGCCCTGAAGAAGGAAGCCTGTCCTCCTCGACATTTTCCTTGGGGAGAACCGCTTGTTTTCTTGAGGTACCCTCTGCACGCTGCCCCTGCAGGCTTCAGATGATGCTTTTGGTGGATTCAACTAAAATGCTAGATAAACTAAGTTTTTAAAAAATTATGTTACTGTGTTGCTAAGTACCTTATACACTACCAAACATTTCCAGAACCCTAAATGAAGTGAAACCAGGAACCCTGAAAATCTTATTTCTCCTTTGCATTGAACATTGGGCAAAAAAGCTTAATCCCAGGCCTGCCCATGGTAGACTTTTTAATAGGAAACCTTTGTGTAAAGCTGGAACCCCAATGGGCTCCACCCCTGGTGAAAGGGGGTGTACAAAAAACAACTCTTGACTCAAAGAGGTGGCAAAGAAGCTTGCCTGCTTCCTCACTGGCATGAGTGGAAGGGAATGATTCACCCCCAAAATTTGTCCAGGTGACAGATCATTGGAAAGGCTTGTGATGTTCCCTTTGCAGGAAGGACAGGCTACCTGTAGTTGTGTCTCTCACACCCTTTCCCTGCTCCCTCTTCATCTTTTCCTCCACCTTCGTTTTCTCAGGGAAAGGTGAACCCAATGTAATGGTGCAAAATTAGTTTTACCTGGAAAAGAAAACCTGTATGCATCTAATAACATACAGTGCTTTCAGGTATGCAAGGAAAAATTGACAATCCTTCTTTAGAGTGGAAATTTTACTATACCTCAGTAGTGTATTAGATCAGAGAAAAAAACAGTAAAGATATAAATTTGAATAGCATAATTAATAAGCTTGGTTTCATAAATTTATGAAGAAGGCTATACCCAACATGAAAACCTCATTTTAAGCACACAGAATATTTATGGAATTTTCCATGTGGTAGGCCACAAAGACTAGGCTCAACAAATTTCAGAAGACTGGTGTATAGAATGGGGCAAAAGGATTTCAGCTGTGGGACTAACACTAAGACCCCAAAGACCTTAAATCCATCCAGGAGAATGGAAAGTGGAGTGTGGAGGTGTGTGAGGTGAGTGAAGGGTTGGTGGGCAGTCAAGCTGGAAAGAGCCAGGTGAGCCAGGACCCAGTCTCAGAAGCAGGGAATTATGGGAAGATGGTAGATCAAAGAGTGAAGATTTGGGTATATCCCATGACTTCAGCTTTGTGACAGAATAAGTCCTTTAACTTTTCCTGTTACTCCTTAGTGCAGAGAGTACTGCCTGATTCCCAGGCCTCTAAGAATTGAATAACATCATGTTCCCAGCATATAGCATGTTGGTTCCCAGCTTATAGCATCTGTGGTGGTAAGGAAAGTTCTTATAGACACAGTATGGCCGACAGACAGGCAGATGGGACTGTTGAGACATCAGTGCTTTGTCCGATTTCATCGTGGTAGGCAGTCTCTAAGTTGGCCCCCAAGTTGGACCCCCCAACGTTTGGTATTACTTCCTTGTGTTGTCCCCTCTCCATTATACTGAGATTGGCCTGGGTGGACAGCAGCATATGGCAGATGTGATAGTTGGCCACTTCTTAAAATTAGGTCATCAAAAGACTAGCTTCGGTTTTGGTCACTGTCCTTCATCTCTTGGGTCATTTGCTCTCGGAGAGGGTAGTTGCCCTGTCAGGAAGACTCAGGATGCCCATGGCAAGGCCCAGATGGTGAGGAACTGGTCTATAGGTCTGCCGGCATCCGTGTGCATGAACTTGGAAGTGACTTAATCCTGCCAGCCTCCCCCCAGCCAGCACCTCCACTGCAGTCTCTCAGGAGGCTGGGCCAACCAACCTGGTTTGGCCATTTCTGGAGATAATAAATATTTATCTCTCAAGCTGCCAAATTTTAGAGTAATGTTTTCCATAACAATAAAGATGTTTACCAATTAAAATTAGTATAAATCTGATCAGATAACTAAAATGTCTTGGGGACTTTATTCCTAGAGCAGACAAAACAAACCTCATCTAGATTTGGAATTTCAACAAAAAGGTACAGGAACACAGTATTAACTCTGAACTTATCTCATCATTGCAAACAGGGAACCCCAAGTGGAGAAGCTCCAGGGGCCTCCGTGGAGGGCCTGCTGAGCAGCGGGCTTGCACTTGGCAGCTCCTTCTGAATCTTGGAGCATCCTTGATGGAGAAAGCGCCCATAAAAGATGACTAGGGAAGCCTGTTCAACATTCAAAGCTGGGCTAGTTAGATTTCGCAAGAGAGAGCTCTGTCCCGGCATTCTTGCTGTCCTATCAAACGAGAGTGAGGGAACAGTACTTGTGAGCATTTGGGGGATAACGGTATATGACAGGCTAGTGAGTGAGGGGTAGCGCTGGTTAGATCTGGCTGCTGGAGCTGCATCCAGTGGTCTTATCTTAAGAATTGGGGCTTATGGAATCACGCAGCTCCTGTTACTACAGTCTTCTCCCGGAACACAGAGGTCAGTGAGCTTGTGTTGAAACAGCTCAAACTGAGATAATTTGTTGTATGGTGTGGTTTAGTAGACTCCATCTGTTTTTGAGTAATGTTGTTTTTCAAGTGGCAGTCTGTTTTATTTCCTAATGGAGAACCAAGCGATGCTTCTGAGCAGGGAGTGACAAAGAGACCTGTTAGGAATTTATTGCAAGAGAACATTAAATATTTGTGGAGATCTCAGCCTTCACCCATGCTGGAGTAGCAAGCACTGGGCGCAGTGCCCCTCTATGACAATCAGACAGGAGGAAAGAGGAAATGACAGCGTTCAGACGTGAACAACACACAGTGCACCTGTGTGTGTGTGTGTGTGTGTGTGTGTGTGAACGTCCAGAAAATCTGGAAACATGGTTACACCTCCTGTGGGGCCCAGTTCATTACACCAGCCCAGACTCACGTTACCAGATGTGTCGGCCTTACAGGGTCTCTGGGCTTCACCCCAGGCCCCTCCACTCCAGGGACTGGGAAGAATTCTTGGAGCCTGCTGTTGCTGTGCCCTGTGCTGCCACAGGATGGCACCAGAGAGCCAGCAGCCACAGCCGCAGAAAGGGCTGGTCCCAGGAGTGCTAGGGGAGGGGTGGGTGTGCCTTGTGCAGAAGCCCACAGGCTGCCTTGGCCTTGGGCTCCCAGGACACAGCTCTCAATCTCAGCACCACTTCATGACGTTTCTTTCTGTCGTGCAAAAGTCTTCATAAGTCAAGGGTCTCAAATCCGTGTGCCTCTGGGGCCAGGCCAGGTGCAAAGCTTTTCCACGCGGCAGGTGCAGGTTCCACTCAGCCCCGCCCACTGTGGCCACCTGGTAACTTGGGCCAGTGGGGGCCAGACTCCCTCAAATGGTGAAGAGAAACAGGGAGGTCGTGTTTCTGTGTGAATCTCTTTCAAACAGGGGCAACAAACTCCTTTTTCCATCAGCTTAATTGAAGTAACCACCGCCATGGCTACATTAAAACGAACAGTTCTGTGACCCTAACAAAGGTGCCCACTTGAAGCCCACCCACTCCACCTCAACACTGACCCCTGGCGGCCTGTTCCCATCGCTCTGATTTTGCAAGTAGCATCATATGGTCTGTGGTGGCTCCTTCTGTTCATTTGACAAGATGCAGCTGCAGACTCCCCACTGCTGTGGGCGTCGGTGGTTCCGACCTTTCCACGGTCGGTGGTGTTCCATTGGAGTAATCACACGCCAGTTGTCCCCCATTTGACCAGTTCAAGCTAGTTCAGTGCCATTTTGAGATGTGCTTGTCGTTCTTTGCTCACTTTCCTGCTCTCTGGCAAACAAGGCACGTGCGTGTGAGAGTGTGTGTGCTTATGCAGGTAAATCCACATAGCATAACCATTTAAAGAAGACTATTCAATGGCATAATGCGTGCACAATGCTGTTCAACCACACCGATGGCATTCCAAAATTTACACCACCATACTCACTGATAATAACAGCCGCCTGGCAAGGGCCTGTCTCCTCCCTTTAGGGGTTTGGCAGAGAGCCTCAGACTGCTGTTCCCCACAGGGCGGTGGAGGAGGTGCTGTTCTCGTTGCCGCTGGCCACTGGGGGTCTGGCCTCTTCCCAGCCCCACCACTGCAAGGATGCACAGGCACCTGGCACCCTGGCACACGCTGCGCACCTGGGCAGCTCTCCATGGCCCTCCCAGACCCTGGTGCCCATGCCTTGGAGGTTGGCATCCAGCTGCAGGCAAACCCAGCCCCATCTGCAGCCTGATGGGCCTTTTTGGTTTAATGCTTCACCAGGATTGTTCTGAGCACTGAGCATACGGGACTACAGTGGGTGCCAGGCAGCAGTGAGGGGACACAGAGGCACAGAGAGGTTGTTCACTTGCTTGAGGCCACACAGGGATGGACGTCGAAGCCCTCGCTCTACACCACACCTTCCTGGGCTCAGCCCCTCAGCCCATGACTTCCACAGTGGAGTCTCAGCCAATGGTGGCCAGAGAAGATTTTCTGCAGTCATAGTGCTTTTTAAAAGCTATTTCTGGGCTTTCTCTTACGTTTCTAGAATCTGAATCTTGCTCCTTGCCACATAACATGGCAAGTGGATTCTCCTGTTTAGGGTGCCCAGGCGGGAATACCTGCCAGCCCCGGCCCATACGCTGCTGCCCCTAAGCCACTCCCTGGGCCAGAGGAGCTTCAAGCTGGATTCTGAGCCATGTGTGTCACAGATTGTGACCTCAGGGACTTCTGATGTCGCAATGAGCTTGTGGGCTGAGCATGACAGAGCCCTGGGCTCAGTCCTCCCACGTGGTATGGCAGCCAGGACCATGGCCGGCTTCCGCCCCTCTGGCGTCACTTAAGCCAATCTGTAAGTAGCTGTGGGTGCCTTGCTCTCTCCTTTCTCGCTGGAGGCTCTAGACCCCCAGCTTGTGCCTCTCCACTTTCTGCTGAACTGTCGGGCCTTGCTCCCATGAGTCCTCCCCCTGCTGGGACCTGCCTTGGGGGGTGGCATCTTCCTAGGTAGGGGCAGTGCCAGGGGGCTCTGCCAAGCTCTGCCACCCAAGTCACTGCCAGGATTTGGGAGCAGTGGTGTGACTGGGAAGGACCTCCCGAGTGAGTTTGGGCAGCAGCAGCAGAGTGGCACCTGGCACAATGGCCATGCTGTCATAGGGCTGCCCTGGGCCCTGCTCAGGACTTCCTGCCCCCACAGGAACCCGCCTTGTCAGACATAGTCGCAGACACAGCCTCCAGTGTAGAGGCAACAGCAGGCATTTGTATGGGGACACTGACAACATCTATTCTAAGTCCCAGCCTGAAGTGCTAGCGTGTGGGTCCTGCTCCTGGGGGACTTTCTGTACTAGGAGCCAGCCCCTAACTGGAGCTACCCTGCCAGCTCAGGAGTCCAAATATAGAAAGTGGGGAGCTGGCAGGGGTTGGCATTGTCATAGTGAGCTTTAAGATACTGTGTTGATAAGACACGGGCTGTTTTGACCACTGTAGATACATTAGCCCAGTCACTGGTAGGCAGGAGTCGGGAGATTTGAGGGCAAATGAGACACCTGTGGTCAGCTCTCAACCCTGACTTTACTTTCACTGGTGCTTTTAAAAACAATCACTCATACACTGCTAGTGGGTATGTGCAACGATCCAGATGGCTAATCTGGAAAATTGTTTAGCAATTATTTTTAAATCTAAAAATGGACTTCCCACGTGGCCTAGGAATTGCATGCTTAGGTATGTATGCCAGTGAAATGAAGACTTATTTGCATGCAGAATCTTGTACATGAATAGCCATAGTGGTTTTATTGGTATTAACCCCAACTGGGAATGGCCCAAATGTTTTCTTCAATAGGAGATGATTTAAAAAAACTATGGCATATCCATGCTGAGTAGTGGAATACTACTCAGCACTGAAAAGGGAACCAACGTTTGACACAATTGGGATGATTCTCAAGGAAATTATGCTGAGAAAGAAGTCAATCTCAAAAGGATACCTACTGCATGACTATTTACATAACATTCATGAAGCCACACCATAGAGACGGGAATAGATTGGTGGTTGCTGGGGTCAGGGATGGAGTAGAGGTGAAAGTGGCTGTGGAGGAGAAATGTGAGGGATTCTTGTTGAATAATGCAGTTGAGGTTCTCAATTGTAAGGGCTACATGAAGCTGCATCAAGGAACACACATTCACACAAAATACACTCATACAGTGGCAGAGGGTGTAGCTCAGAGATAGAGCATTTGACTGCAAATATACTCTCTCACACACACAGTCGTAACACACATATACATGTACATGCACATACATGATCACACACATACACAGAAACATACACTAACATACACACACTCATATGAGAGTAGATGTGACTGGTGTTGTGTGGTGAGGCCAGGGCACCGGGGGACAGGCCATATGGCCCAGCCCTCGCTCAGGACCATGCTCCTGTGTCCATGTCGCAGACGAGGATGCTGGGTCCCCAGTGAAGCCACGGACCTCACCCAACTCTAGACAAGCTTTTCCCATGGGCTCCCTCCATTTCTCTTCTAGCCATGGTCAAAAGGTGCACCACAGTTTAACCCCCTTCCCTGATGGACACAAGAGCCCCCAAGAAGTCCCACCAGCGTAAGAAGAATAGGACCAAAGTCCAGGAGAAATTTGCCAGTAAGATCTCATACAGGTATAGGCCCCAGTCCCTAGGAGCATGTGCTAGGGCCACAGGGGTGAGAGCTGGGAGGGGGTCTCTTGCACAGGGAGTTCCCTGAATAGCTCTGAACTCTGTGACTGTCTGGGGACCGCCTTCTTCACCCCTATTCTAATCTGAGCCGAGGGTCACTCAATAAATGCCCAGGCCCCTCTGCGTTCACAGAGCCTGGGCTGGTTGCTTCCCTGGCCCACGCCCCCAGGTGCTGGGCTCACAGGTCCAGCAGCTTGGGGTCTCAGCCCGCAGGGCCAGTTAGGAAATGGCCTGCTAGGGCAGGCTAAAGCTTGGAGTCTTGCCCTTGCTTGACTAACAGGGTCCTGGATAAAATACAGCAAACTTGGAGGGTTCTAGGTGGCCCTACTTCTTAAAACTCACCTCAGAAACAGTCGAGGTGGGGCCGAGGCTGCAGGAGGCTAAGAGCTCTGGTGCTTGGGGAAGACAGAGTCATGTGCTCCAGAGAAGGCCAAGGTGCCCGTCTGCCTGTCCATTGACAGCATAGAGGGACATGGGGCATGTGTGACAAAAGCCCGCCCCCTCCCCCTCCAGGACAATCTGGAACAGAGTGTGATCCTCAGTTTAAACAAGGGAGACTAAAACTTGGGGGTTTGGGTCCCCCTGTTTTGGGCCACTTGGCTGTAGTGGCTAAGATGTGACTTCTGGGGCAGGTGGCAGGCCCATAGCCCAGCTCTGCCTCCTCCAGCTGTGTGGTATTGGGGAAGTCACTTAACCTCTCTGCACATCTGTCCTCATTTATAAAGTCTGGGCAACAATAACTACTTCATAGCCAGGTTGTGAGTGGACGCGGAGGTTAATGTTTGTAAAGCACTTAGAGCAGAGCCTGGCAAATGGGAGGTTCTGGGTGAGCGAGAGCCCCTTCCTGGGCTCGGCAGCCACAGGCCACCTAAAGAGGCCCAGTGCCTATGTAGGTTCTCTTGGCTGACGGAGAGCACCACGGAGTTCCTGAAGCCCTGGGAGACACTGAGCAACTCACTGCGGGAGCAGCTGCCCCTGCAGAAGAGCTTGGTGCCAACACGGTCCATCCCAGTCAGAGGGTAAGTCACAGGCTCCAGATGCTGATGGTTGCCCCGCCCGCTGCAGCTCCACACGTACTGCCTGGCCAGTTACTCTCCTGGATGGTTAAGGCAGGTGGCAAGTCAAGTGCCAACACCTCCCTGAGAGGTGATGGGGAGCTTTGGAAGTCTGGGAATCAGGAGGGTGTGCCGAGACCTGCGTCCATTCAGCTGCCGGCACAGGCTGAGGTGGGGGTGAGCTCGTGGGGTGGTGGCTGCACAGTGGCGTGACGTGGAAGGCACCCTTACTGGGGGGGGGGGGGTCAGACAACGCCTGCCTCATGGCCAGGTGGGCCTGGGGCCCAGCCCACGGGAGGCACCTAGGGCCTGCTGGGTTCTGGCCTGGGCGACTGGGTGGGTGGTTGGGGGTGGGCAGAGGCTGGGTGTGGGGCCCTGGGGGTGTCTGGGCCGAGAGCAGAGACTTGCTTAAGGTGCTGGTCACCTTCTCTGGACATGCAGGGCTTCAAGGGTCAGTGCGGACTCTGTGTGGCTTCTCTAGGCTTGGGGCCCCAGATTTTTCATCAGTGTCCAGGCTCTACCCATCACCGCCATCTTCAGCCCCAGTGAGGCTTTGGGAACTCCAGCTCCTGAACCGCCGCTTTCCAAGGCCGGAAGGCAGCCCCGGCCACCCCTTCACAGGCCTCTCCTGAAGCCCACGTCTGTGCCACCTTGCCCCTGGCGCCCCAGGGAGAAGAGTGCTCCCTTCTGGGTGGCAGGGGGTGGGAGTGAAGGGATGAGTGGCCAGGGCAAGTGAATAAACTTTGCAAGTTCAAATCCCGCTTCCACTAGGACTGGTCCCTTGCCTTTGAGGTCCTCCTGTATAAAATGGGGTAAGCATGTTTAATCTCGCCAGGCCGTGCGAGCATTATAAATGCCTTCCCAAGAATGTACCCCAAAGATGGACTCAAACATGGAAGAGAAGATATTTGCACAACAATAGTCCTTCCAGTCCTTAGCAAATAGCAAAAGATTGGAGACCACCCCCAAAGCCACTACACAGGGGGGCTGATAAATTACAGCCCAGTTGCACCGTGGAATCCTGGGCAGTCCCTCTAATGATGAAGCAGCTTTTACGTACTGCCTGGATGACAATGCCACAGAGTAAAACAGAATAATAAACCAGAACAAAAGCCAAACACCATAACTACAAAAGCCTGGAAACATTTTCCTGACGATGAAAGGCAAAAAAAGCAAAAGTGTTGAAATGGATTTTAAACAAGTCTGTGTCATCGAGTCCCCGCGCCTCCTGGGAGGGCACCAACCTCCACAACCCCATCCTGAGCTACTGAAAACTGGGAAATAAAAGACAATTGGGGTAAAATGCCTGTGACCTTCTTTGTGCTCAGTCCCTTCTGGAACCAGCACGTGTGTGATAAGTCCAGGGCTGAAGGGGCCCAGCAGCAGACCCTGCCTGAAGCCCTCGCTCCTAGCCCAGTTCTGTGCGTGAGGCTGTCGTCCTCAGGCCACCCCAGCGCCCTGGCGGACCCTGCTGTGTAGGGGGGGGGGAGGCCAGCCTGCCCTCTGTAACCACAGACACAGCCATGGCGCAGCCCACATCTGGCTGGGTGTTGACTTTCAGCAAACAGGTCACACCAGAGGTGGTGTGGGTGCTGAGTGAGCTCGGGACCAAGGACCGTGTCACCAGAGCAGGTGTGTCAGTACTGAGGACGATGGGCGTGTGACACAGGGCGTGCAGTGCCTCTGAGGAAGTGTGTGGATCGGGCACCTGTGAAGCACAGGGGCTCCTGGGCGTGTCCAGGGGCCTAACCCACCACCCTCCTCATCCTGGTAACCGTCCAGGGCCCTGGGCTTTGTCCCCTTAGTGGGGCGAGGCTTCTCGGGGAGCCCAGTGTCAGCAGCAGCCCTTTCCAGGTCCACACGAGCACTGACACAGCACTGGTGGGATTCAGAGAGGGATGTCCTGAACGTCCCGGGATCCTCAGGAGGAAGGACCCGTGCCGGCCAACCTGGGTGCTCACCACAGGGCAGTAGGGGGCACCATAGCTGAGGGTGGCCTCACGCCTGCCTGAGGAAGCTGCCCTTCCTCAGTTGTGTTCTGATTCTACTTTTCAAAACCTAAGCATCCCAAAACTCTGGCATTTTTATTTATTGTCCAAGGAAACTGAGAAAAGACACCATATATAGTCAGCCAGTCACTAAGGGGACATTCAGTTCCTGCCAAGGAATTCCAGTGGCTGGCTGTCTTCCAGGGGAGGGCCGGTGGGCCATGATTGCCAAGTAGCCCAACACACACCCACACCCACACCCACACCCACACCCACACCCACGGGTGGGAGGCAGCCCAAGGACCAGGCTTTGCTGTGCTGGTGTTGCCTTTAATCCTGGGCCCAACATAGAGTTTCTCCAAGTTGTCATGTTGCCCCTGCAGGCAGACTCTAGCACCCCCACACGCGGAGCATCCCCTCCCCACAAAGGCCCTCACACTCGTGGCTGCTGGGAGGTAGCCCAGGCTCTCCACCCCTCCTGTCTGATGTACAGAACCACCTGGCATCCCTGTGCCATTTGACAGTAGGGGAAACTGAGGTGCAGAGACCTGGTGAATTTCCTGAGATCAGACTGCACCACGCAATTGGCAAAATGAAGCATAAAAATCCCCAAATGTCAAGAGGTAACAAAACATATTTATTTTAAAAAACATGGGCTCCCCTGCCAAGCGAGGTCCTGTAAAACCTGCCACCTGGTCACTGTGGGCACACAGACCCCCTAGCAGTTGGCCAGACCGAGACCAAGGGGTTGGGGGTAAGGCAGTGAGGGAGAGGATCCCTACTCTGTGCTGGGCAGCCAAGAAGGCAGTTTCGGGTGGCTCTGCCCAGCAATCCTAGAAGGGTGGTCCTACCAAGGAGGGGGCAGCTCTCCAGGCCAGGGCTGTCCCTGACCAGGCTGGGTGAGCAGGGGAGAGCCTAGGCTCGGCCACAGGCCGCACAGCAGGCCATTCTGCTGTGTGGCACCACGGACAGGTTCAGGGGCAGAGTAGACAAAAAATGCCCTCACAACCTAAACAATGCCCAGTCCCCCTCCACTGAGGGCCCCCGGAATGTGCTACAGCCGGAGTGATTGGAGGAAGCCTCGAGTGACAAGCAGGACGGGCGTCAAGCACGCAGACGCACAGCCACCCGAGGCTGGCCGCACCCAACCTCAGCCGGGCTGGATGTCACCCTGCAGGGCTGGCCGTCCAGGGAAGTGCGGGTGCAAGGGCTCTGCGTGGAGAGGGGCGCGCAGCAGCATGGCCACTGGTCAGAAACGCCCCTTCTCCGGCCCCACCCGACCGTGACCCGGGTCCTGCGGCGCCCACGAGGCCCGGGGGCGCCTGGCGGCCTAGTGCAGCCGCAGGTAGGCGGGGGCGGAGTAGTTGAAGAGCAGAAAATCCATCCTGTAGAGCTCGTACAGGCGCCGCTGGTAGAAGGGGCTGATGTCCCTGAAGAGGCGCGCGGCCTGGTCGCGGGCCCCGGCCGCCTGGGGCTGCGGCGGGGCGGGGAAGCGCAGGCCGGGGGCCCCGGCCAGGCCCAGCACGAAGGCCGCGTCCTCGGCCAGGGTCTCAAACTTGCCCACCACGTCGTAGCGCAGGCGGCACGGGTGGCACAGCGCGTGGGCGCGCTCCCAGTGCTCGTTGAAGGGCTCGTGGCGGCGCGTGCGCGGGTCCAGCAGGTAGGCCAGGAACTCGGCGAAGCGCACGTCGTGCCCGCGGGCCAGGGCCTCGGGGCGCGCGCCGGGCCGCAGGCGCCGCACGATGCGCGTGCCATAGAGGCGCTGGAAGGCCGCGCTGTAGGGCTGCGCGAACTTGTTGCGGTAGGCGGACGCCAGGCGCTCGAAGGGCTCGCGCACGAAGAGGAAGGCCAGGTAGGCGCGCAGCCGCCGGTTGATCTCCGCGGGGCTGAAGTCGGCCAGCGAGGGCAGGCGGCCCGGCGCGTGCGCCTCGTGCGCGGGGATGGCGAGGGGGTCGCCCCGGGCGCCGCCGCTCAGCACCAGCAGCACGCGCTTCCAGTTGGTGCAGGCCACCTTGGGCACGTAGCAGTAGAGCAGGCCGTGCGCGTCGTCCACCAGCACGTGCCGCAGGTCCTCCGGCTGCAGCAGGCGCTGCCGGCGCGTGTGGCGGCTGCACGCGCGGCGCAGCTGGTCGCGCCGCTGTCGGTGCACCTCAGCCAGGCCAGAGCGCGGGCCCTGCGGGCGACAGGGGGACGGTCAGGACGCTGCCCCGCCTGCTGACCCCCAGCTGGGCCAAGGCTGGGTGGCTGACAGGGTCCTCCCCGGAACCCCACCCTGGCCGCCAATCACTGCGTTATTTGGGGCCCAGGAATCTGACCTGGACCTAGCTTGGGGGCAGGATGGCATCCGCCTTGTCGAGCCCCGTGGGAAGGATGTGCCCAATCACGTGCTGGTCACTCGGGGCCGAGGAGGGCCTCATGGCAAGTAAGACCATGTCGGAGTGAACCCGAGAAAGAAGGAGGAGGTCCGAGGGCTCACCGTGCGCGCAAATTAAGTATCTGCGCATTGTTGACTAAATGCCCATGGTGTGCAAGAGCAGCAGCCTTAACTGCATTTAAATTGAGTTGGAAAATGCAGCGCTGGCAGACTTCCCTAACAAAATAGCTGCACCTGGGTTGATGAGCTGACCTGTGTCTCTGGGTCTTGATATTTTGCTGTTCCCCTCACCCGCAACAGATTCTAATCTGAGTGTCCTCTCTGGGCCTGCGCCTCCTCTGTGCAACAGGGACATCCAGCATTTGTCTAGCACTTGCGCGCCAGGCACCTTGGGTGCCCTTTACATCTCTTTGAGTGGGGCAGGTTGGGAGGATGGGGGATAGCCCCCCACCCCAGCTGCCTCCTGCAGGACCCCCTCCCTTTCCTGAGGTCCTTTCTGTCCTAAACAAGGTCTCCACCTCCAAGTGTGCCCTCAAGGTCCCTGCCTTTCTGCTTCCTGGTTACTGGTCTAAGAGTCCTTAGGCAAAAGGCATTTTTCAGTTCTGAAAATTGCATTCAAAGCCTTTAGAATATAATATAAAGGACAATGACAATTACCAGTGAGCATGCAAAGAACAGGGGACCTTCCCTCATTGCTGGTGAAGGTCTGACATGGTCCAGCTGCCGGGGGAGCAGTTTCACAGTGCCCCCCCAAACAGTAGACATCTGATCCAGCAGTTCTACTCCTGGGTATATACACCCAGGAAAATTAAAAGCACACGTCACACAAAACCTCACACACAAGTGTTCACAGCAACGTGATTTATAATAGTGGGTCAAAACAACCCACATGTCCATCATCTGGTGAAATTGACAAATACTCTGTGGTATATTCGTACTATGGAATATTATTTAATCATAAAAAGGAGTGAAGCACGATAATCCTGAAACATGGATAAACCTTGAAAACTGAGTAAATAAGCCAGACCCAAAAAGCCACATGTTGTGTGAATCGGCTTATGTGACATGTTCAGACCAGTGCTGTGGAGACAGAAAGTAGATGGTGGCTGTCGGGGGTGGGGCATGGGAGGGACTGCAGGTGGGAACTGGGTGTCATTTCAGAGTGGTGACAGTGCTCGAAAATCAGATAGTGGTCGTGGTTGTGCAACCTTGCAAACATACTGAGAACCACTGAACTTTATACTCAAAGAGCGTGCATTTTGTGGTATGTGAGTTATAACTCGGTTAAGAAAATCTTCTGAGTGAGCTATTTGGGAGCAGCGTCTGCCATGGCAGGACACTCTATCAGCGCCTGCAGGAGGTGGCCTGACATTGCAGGGCAGGGGGTTGCTGGACTCTTCTCGCCACGTCTGCAAATGTTTGAATTTTTCAGAATGAAAGTTAAAGCCGAGAGGACAGGCGTACCTGTGGGTGAGGTTCTGAGGAAAAGCAGAAGCACGTGACAGAACATGTGCCACGTGCCTCGAACATGTCTGGGAGACACACAGAGAACTATCGTCCCGGGTAACCAGGGCCAGGGGACAGGAAGGGCCTCTTCACTGACTGTGCGTTTATGGCGTGAGGACGCCCTTTCACTGGTTTATATGACTTTTTCAAAAACTCACCCTGGGAGAAGCTGCCAAGTTCAGCCATGGCTATGGGAAGCCTGAGGACACGCAGAGGAGCCCATCCCACCCTTTGAGGCACTGATTCACAAGATTGGCCCCAGAAGTCTGGCTCCGTGTGGATGCCAGGAGGAGGCTCACCCAAGGGCCCCACAGCCATGGTCTGCTTTCAGCTTCCAGACAACCCCTCGTCTCTGGCAGCGGGAAATGTTGGACATCCACCCACCTGCCAGCTCCCCTCCTCCCTTGCCAGCAGACCCCAATGTGCTTGGCATGTGCCCAGCCTCGGGGAGGAACCAGTCACGGCAACCTCACATGCCATCACTAAAGCGCTGGGTGTAGGGGTGCATGTCTGGCCCGCCTCTAGCCATGGAGATGTAAGGAGAAGTCTCTGCTGGATGGCTCCTGGGAAAGACTTTCCTTCAGGTCAAAAATGAGAGCTCCTGAAGGGAAAGAAAAAAAAAAAAGCCTCTGTCCATCCCCTCCCTGCCTGCCTGGGATGCTCTCCTGTGAAATGTCCGGAGCCCTGGCAGTCATCTTTGCAGGAGTGAGGCAACAAGTCTATGACTTTTGTCTATGCTGTGAAAAGGGGCTGACGTCTCTGAGCATCTTGGGGAGAAGCACTCCCTCCTCCTGAGTTAGAGCAGCCTCAGTCAGCCTCTCTGTTGCTTGTGGTCCTATAAATAACAACTCCGTCAATGCTACCTCCATTTTCAAGTGAGAAAACTGAACCTCAGAGGAGATGAGGTGCCTACAGTTCTGAAGTCAGGAAACTGGGGCTCCAGCTTGGGTCCCACTCAGAAGCCTGGGTTGTGCCTGCTGGTCCCTATGAATGCCGTGACCTTCTCTGGGTCCTTGGTTTCCTCGTGCCTCAGTTTCCTCATCCGTAAATGACTAACAACAACCCCACCTTATCAGATTGTTGTGGGTTCTAAACGAGTTCATAGAACTAGAATGCCTGGTGCACAGTTAGCACTTACTAGCCAGACTACTATTATTTCTCCAACTGCAAAGTGTAGAACTTCCAGGGCCCTGATGCCCAGGGGTCACCGGGCCTTCAGGCTGTGAGGGGCTGAGTGAACCCCATCTACCACGCAGAAATCTGTGGAGCCAGTGAAACCTGGGGCCCTGCTGAGGGCCTGGCCTGCTCTCAGCTTGCTGCGTGGGCAGGACCAGCCAGTCACCCTCTCTGAACCAAGGCCACCTCATCCATGTGCCTGAGTATAGTGCAAGGGCTGGGGCTCCCTGCATGTTTCTCAACCAAATTTGGGGGTTCACTTAGTTATTTTATCCCCACTAGACTGTCAACCCTGAGGGTAGGCAAAGCGTCTGTTCTGTCCCCTTTCATATCCACAGCGGGTAGAGCAGTGCCTGGCCCAGAGGCTGCTTCTGTGTAGTGTTGGGGAGGCAATCGGTGGGTCGATGGGTGGGAGGGGCCCAGACCTCTCAGCCTGCCTCCAAGATGCTCTTGGCCCGGTCCCAGGCATTTTCCTCTCTGGGCAGAGCCTGGGTTTACAGAGGGAGCCTCTCCATGCCCCAGAATAGTTCCGGTCCCATTCCAGCAGGTTTAACTGGAGTCTCAGGTTCATGCCTGGAGGTACAGGAGGGCATCCCTGGGCCTATGTCTGTCCACCTACCTGGTCCAGGTCGTAGAGCATCTGCAGGGGACTCCGCCTCTCCCCACTGAGCCAGCCAGAGACCAGGGCCCTGTTTCCAGATGCTGTGGGGCAGAAAGAGACACGTCACTGCTGTCTCCAGTAAGGCTGTGGCTAAGGGCTTCAATCGACTCACTGAGGGCACAATTGCTCCATCTACAGGACTTATTTCCCTCCTGTGTCATGCCTGCCTCTGCGGAAGCTTGGTGGAATGTGGGGGGCACTAACAAGGCCCCAAATCTACCAGGGCAGTATGCCCGCTCCCATGTTCTGCCCTCCAGGTTGGAAGGTGCCAAACAGGTGGTGGTACCCGCCTGCAGCTCTGTGGAAAGGCCTGACCACCTTAGCTCTCCACTCTCATCCGCTGTCACCTCCTGCGGCGCTCCTGCCCACTCCAGGCCACAGCTCTGAGGGGCCGAGGGGTTAGCCAAGCTGCCCCTCTATTCACCACCCCAAATCTCAGTGGAGGCAGCCAGAAAGGGCGGGGCCGAAGTGGAGGATAGCAGAATACCCCCAAATCATCTACAGATTCGGTGTAATCACTCACAAAATCCTCGCTGCCTTTTTTTCCTTTGCAAAATTGACAGGTGATTCTTAAATTAATGTGGAAAATCAAGTGATTTAGATTAAGAATGTCTAAAACAATCCTAATTTCACAACTTACAACAAAGCTATCGTGATTAAGACTGTGTGGAGCTAGCAGAGAAGAGACTCATGGATCGATGAAATAGGATTCAGAGTTCAAAAATAACTTTTACATTATGTTGATTTTTAATTAGGGTGCCAAGGGAAAGACAGTCTTTCCAATAATAAATCACATTTTATCTACAACGCCCCTCAGGAACACAGCTGGGGATGAGAAACGGCTGGTGTCCTGGGGGATGTGGGGGCGCCCCCGGGACAGAGAAGCAAACCTAGGCCTGTCCACCCCAGGGTGTGGAGGCGCAGAGGCACCACCCAGCCTTCCCGAAACACCAGCCCTTGCGGAGCATCTCTTATTTCCTGGCCAGACCACAGCCTGCAGGAAAATGGGTCCCTTACCAGACTCCAGGGGCCTGTGGGTGGAACGCGACAGAGAGCAGACAACAGAGAGGCCCAAAATAGCTGTGGCCAGTGATTACAGGGCCGGGCTGCCCCGCCCAGCTCCACCCCTGCCCACCACACAGATCGGAGGAACTTGGGTCAGGGAGATGCGCAGGCCAGCCATGGAGGGGCAGATGGGTCTGGGAAGATCAGTAGGGGGATGTAAAGGCCCCAGGGCCCAGCCCCTCACTCTGGACAGCCAGAGGTGATCTGAGAGTAGAGGTGGGCCCCAAACAGGGCCACCTTGAGGCATCCCCAGCGTCCACTTCCATTGTCCTAAGCCCCCCTGGCCTGAGTCCTCTGCCCCGCTCTAGACCCCCGTCCTAGGTACCAGGGAGAGCCAGATGGCAGGTCCCAGCTCGTGGCCAGGGAAGGGCTGGGCCAGCCCAGGGCAGCCACAGGCAAAACCACAAGGGCTTCTGCTTTGAAGATGGAAACAAAAATAACAGGAGGTAATGGAAGGAGGGAGAAAGGAGGGTAGAGGGCCGCAGAAGGGAGGGCAGGAGGGACGGGGGACGCCACAGACACAGAGGGCTGGAGACCAGACGGAGTCCTAGCCGGTGACCGGCACAGAGGCAGGAGGAGCAGAAAATGCCAGAATCAGGGGGATAATAACGATGAAACAGGGGACTCTGGGAAGAACTCAAGGCAAACCAGCAGGGTTGGAAGGGGAGGGAAGAAATCGGGAATGAGCTGCCTCTAGACTGGGGGTCCTGAGCCTGTGCCCACAGGGGTCCAGGCTGTGGAAATCACAGGCCGCTATTCTAGCCAGCAGGCCAGAGTGAGAACCCTCCGCTGAGTGTGCTGCGTGGTCCTCAGCACAGGCTTTGGCTGGGGATGGGGGCGGAGGGGGACCCGTGCAGTGGTGCAGGTGGCAGCCAGGTTCGTGGAATGCTGGGCAGCTGAGCCTGGCACGAATCTGTGGTTCGTGCTCACTGATGCTCTTCTTCTGGTACAAACCATCACGATCCCCATTTGACAGATGGGAAAACTGAGGTTCAGAGGGCAAAGAAACTTATCCTAAGCCTCCCAGCACGTAACTGCCGGCAACAGGATTTGCCCCCAGACCGTGGTGTTTGTCCCGAACGCCCTGCCGTCCCAACTCTCGGACACCCACTCTGCCCGCACGCAACTGCCTGTCCTCGCAGCACCCACGGGCCCCTCCAGGTTACTGGTGAAAGACAGCGCACCAGTTGGGGGGCTGGCCCCCTCCGGGCCACACGGTGTGGGATGGACAAGAGGCTGCAACTGTGGCGGGAAGCTGCTTTGTCAAACATGGTTGTTGGCGCGAGGCCAGCAGGGAGGCTGCAGCAGAGAAGCCCCACAGATGGCCCGCCGGTGGCAGGCAGAAGGGCTCCGGCCCTCCTGGCAGAGGCAGGGCACCAGTTGTTTTCTGGGCGATTTGAGGCTTTGCCACTTGGGGAGTAACAGCTTGGCGATCCTCAGGCCAATGAGCAAAGATTACGACAGGGGTCTCTGGTTAATGAGTCCCAGCGGGCTCGTGTTGCAAGACCAGCCAGGAAGGAGCTGAGGGCCCAACAACACCCTGACCTGGCCCCGGGCCCTGGCGGCTCAGGCTGCTGCCCCCATCCTGTCCCCCATGACCTCGCCCTCCTCGGGGATCCGCCTCCTGGGGTCAGGGACATCCTGTCTGGTGATCAGCCGAGGAAGGAACACCCTTATAAGCCCTGCGCAGGTGAAAAGCAATTCTGCCCTTTTGGGGAGAAAGAAGCTTGTATCCAAGACTCAAAGTCTATTCGCAGAGCTCCACAAACCACTGGGACTGAGCCCCAGTCTGACCAGATCACGCTTGGGTATAGTCATGGCAGTTCTGCCTCTGGAGCCCTAGGAAGCCCCCCGCCCCCGTGGCTGCAGGCCCAGGGCAGGCCCCACTGGCTCTGCCCCCACAGTCTAGGGGTCTCCTCACTAGGCGCCTGCTTCACTTGCCCCGCCTTGGTGACCTTAAAACCTTCATGGCTTCCTCTGGCTAACCACAGATTCGGTGCCTGGCCAGGGCCCCTTCCCTCCCCACTGGCGGCCTCAGCTCCAGCCACACTGGCCTTCCTGCTGCTCACCGAACATGTGACCTGCACCCCACCTCAGGGCCTTTGCACTAACTCCTCCTTCTGCTTGGGGCGCTCCTCCAGGAGCCTTTACACTCTAGGGTAGGTTCTCATTCAGATCTCAATTCAAATGTTCCCTCTGAAATGAGAGCTCCCCAAAAAGCTCCCCCCTCGACCCCGCACCACGATCCTTCCCCGGCTCTCCTTCAAATGTGTGACACTTGTCACTGCTGAAATGATCTGAGTTGTGTGGAGGCTGCGGGTTGGCTGTCCCCAGAAGGTCAGCACTGTCAAGAAGGGGGCAGGCTTGTTTTCTTGTCGCCCCGGTACCTCACCTAGCTTCAATTAATATGTACCTAAAGGGCAGTGGCCCCTCATGGCCACAGGGAGAGCACCCCAATTCCTAGCTGGCCACTCAAGGAAACTCATGACTAGTACCTTTCTGGCTGGCCCCTGCCACTCCCTCTCATGAACCCTGATCCCTGACCACACACATCCCTTAACCCACCAGCCCATCTCACTCCTTTGTTCTTCTGCCTGTGCCATTCCCTCGCCCCAAAATTCCCTTTCCTCACTTTCCCATCTGGCAAACTCCTATGTAGCCTTCAGAGCCCTACCCAAATGCCCCTACCCTGTAAAATGGAAAATATAAGATTTAGACTAGGATTTAAAAACTGGTCCCCACACTTCCTAACTGGGTGACCTTGAGCAAGTCACTTCTGTTTTTCCTGACCTTAGTTTCTTACTCTGCAAAATGGGATCACCCATCCCTACTCTGGTGAGCCGTCCATCTTGCCAGTTCACAGTTTTTCATGGTGCTCTGGTGGCCTGGATGTAACTCTGGATACTCTGAGTACCTGAGAATGAACAGCAGCGTGTGAGCAGCTGTTGATTAGGCTCCCAGCAGTCACTGCCCCTTTTGTTAACCCACCTGACTTCCTCTCAGAGCAAATCTGCTCACATATATTCAGTGCCTGTGATTCTAATACGCTGCCCGATGCATGCCCGTTACTGCTGAAATAGGCATGTGACCAGGCCTGGCCAATCAGAAGCAACGCATGGAAGGGGACTGGGGTGAATGTGGAGGGTGGGGTGATATAATGGAATGGGGGGGCAGGGGGAACAAAGCACAGGAGCCTAGGGCCTTGATTTTTCTGGGTAGAGGAGGTGGCCGGAGAGGTGTGTTCAGATGGAGGAGATACGTTTTCTCCCAGGGACACAGAGACTGCAGTCCCTGCAGTCACCCAGACATGCCCGCTCTCCGCAGACACTCTGGGGCATCTGTCCCCCCCAACACGCACACTGGGGCCCACATTATCACTGGGGCCTTCCTCCCTGGGGGAGGGACCCTCTGTGCCTGCCCTGTCCCAGGTCCTGTCATGTTCACAGACACACACTGAGACCTGAGCATGTCCCCCCAAACCAGGGAGCACTCCACGATGGCCAGGTCACAGGGTGGAGAGTGCCCCAGCTCCCTCCTGCAGGCTTGGGGCAACTCTGTCCATACCTGGTGGGACAATGTAAGTGAGGGTGGTAGGGGAGACGTGATGAGCCCCAAGGAAACCTCTCCAGCCCTGCTTGCTGGAACCCCAGCCAAACCCTGGCCTCAGCCCAGGGGCAGTTAGGGAGGGAGAGCAGGAGAAGGAAGCCCCTCACCCCAGGACAACAGCAGCACAGTGACCCCCTGACAGGGACAGCAGTACGAGGAGGAGGAGGATGGGGCCAGGCCTCTTCTGTCTGCCAGCTCATTCACTGAACCTCCAGGAGCTGCACCCCACTTTATAGATGGACAGAAGACTGTGGCATGACTGGGCCACCAGCCTTGACCCAGCGGGACCTTTCTTGGGTAAGTGCAGCCTGAGAACTGCCTCTTCAGCCTCATCCCACAGGCCACCCCCTCCCCGCTGGCCCTAGTCCCTGAACACCCCGGGGCGGGTTACTCACACAGGTGGGACTCAGTCCACAGGTCAGGCAGGAGGGCAGAGACCCCCCCCCACACACACACACATCACACAGGGGAGAGGTCAAACAGCGCTCAGGAGAGCAGGCACAGCTGACTCCCTGCGCCTGGGCCAGCCTGGAGGGAGGGTCTCTGGCCTCAGTTTCCTCCTTTGTGAAGTCGGGAGGAAATGACAGGATCAGCTTCTCAGAGTGAAGGCTCTAAACGCGCCTGGCACCCCGAGGAGACACAGCTGGCTACCTCAGTTTCCCCAGCCAGACCGTGGAGTGACGCAAACGAGCCCCCAAGTCCTTCCCAAGAAACCTGAGCACAGAGCAGGGCCAGCAGCCTGCGCCCTGGAGGGAAGGGCCACCCCCAGGGGGTGCCGCTTACCCGAGGGGCTCCAGGTAGCTGGGGGGTGGGGGAGAGCCACAGCAAACGCGGCTGCCTTGCCTGGCAGTTCCTGTTGCCACCCACACCTGACCTGGGTCTGCAGACAGGCGGTGCAGTCGGCACTCCTGAGCTGGGAGAGCGGGGCCTTGAGCTGGGGCATCTAGTCTTTTCCCGACCGACCCACCCACCCTACTCCCCAGCCAGGGAGGAGACAGCAGGTGTCCCACCCCCTCTGAGGGGTCGGGGCGGTGGGGCAGCCCTGGGCGGGGCGGACACTCACCAGGGCGCAGGGCGCGGAGCGCGGTGCCAAGGAGCAGGAGCGCGGCGCCCAGACACGCGGTGGCCAGTGCGCGCCGGGGCCAGCAGCGCCTCCCCATGCTGTGCGCGCCGCGGCCGAGGTGAGGCCGTGGGGGCGGCGGAGTCCCGACCAGACCCGCCCCGACCCTCCGGCGCCAAGGCCCGCCCCCACCTCCCCGCGGGGGTGCGGCAGTGCAGGCAGCCGGCCCCTGGGGGAGGGAGGCTGGCAGGGCGGGGAGTGCGCCCACCCAGTCTCCACTCCCCCGGCTTGATCAAGTGCAGGGGAGGGGGGCAGCCGTCTGGGCATGGAGGGTGGAGGTTGTGGGACGGAGCCCTGAGGCTGGTGGGGCCCCGCCCCCTGCAGTTGGCCGGGGTACCATCCTCCAGGGAACCCCAAGGAGCCCTGTTACCAAAGCCCTTGCCTTTTTGCTGCCTGACACGCCAGAAATCCTGGGTCTGGTATAGGGGAGCAGGACATGACTCTCCCAGAGACCCCGCAGCCAATATCAAGCCCAAGGGTAGAACCTCCTTCCCCCAAAGCACTCTTGTTCCTGTACCCCACCTGCGGCCCTGCATGCTCCTGGCTCCTGTCCCAGCCTCTACTTGCTAGCTCTTGCTTCTGACTCCAGGGGAGCACTGGGGACTCAGAGGATTCCTGCATGGGCTGTGATGAGAGCAAGATCTGCCTTTGAAGCAAAAACCTTCCAACTAGCCTCGTGGTGGGAAGGCCAGGCCTTCCTGCCCACAAGTCCCCAGGCCCCTGCATCTGGGGCTGTGTGCACAGGTGTATGCACCCCAGGGCCAGCGTTGGGTGGTGTGAGTGTGTTTGTTAACTGCTCTTGAAAAAACTGGTGATTTCCAAAACCTGCTGGTGCCACTATCAGCGGGTGCGAAATCACCCATACCTGTGCCTGCCCCCTTCTCTGCACACAGGAACAATACTAGGCTATGCACATCGTATTTTGAGAATTAAATGAGATGTGAAACACTTGGCACAGTGGAAGTGGCACTCAGAGAGTGCCATTGAACTACTTGGTGTTGGTAATTTATGTGCCAGTCACTGCCCATTTATGGTTAGTGCCTCTGGTTTCAGTCACAGCAGTGATATATAAACATTCCTACTGTGTTTATTTTAAAAGGCCTGTTAAACAAAGAATAATAATATGTTATAGTTCTCTTGGCTTAAAGACGCAGCTTCAAATGATGATGTTAGGGCTGCATTGGCAGTGGACGGAGAGGTCCAGGTTAAACCTGAGCTAAAACCAGAAGCTCCTTAATAGAACTTTCCAGGTGACCTGCACACGGGTCTTTGGGGATCCTCCGACTCACCCTGAGCTCTGCTGCTCTGAGTCAGAATCCGGGGATTTCTCCGTCATCCACACCCCCAGCCTCACCCCAGTTCTGGTCTACACCTGCTCTCAGCCTTTCTCTGACTTGCTCTTGCTGTGTGAAGCCTGAGATCCTGGGAGCCTCAGTGCAGGCGTCTTGCCCTCCTGGGCTGCCACCTAGTGGCCAAATTTGAGAACAACATCTCTCAGCCCATCCTGGGCCAGAAGTGTCCCTGGGGACCTTGTTCCTAAAGAACCGTGGGGAATTCCTTGCTGGATCTTGGGGTGGGAGGGCGAATATTCCTGGCCAGAGGCCCACGATCTCAGATTCTTCTCTGAGAGGTATCCTTTGCTTCCATCTGCCTTCCCACAGGGGCTCATACAATCTCATTCACTCGCAACAGATACTGAACACCCTCTGTGTGCTGAGGTGCCATGGAGGGAACAAGGCAGACGTGCTCTCTGCCCTGCAGAGTGTGCATTATAGCTTGGGGAGAGTATAGAAAACAGGGGTAAATGTATAATGTCTGACACGTGGGAGCTGGCGGATGAGGAAACCGTGCAGGATAAAGGGGTGGGAAGTGTTTGCATAACAGGGGAGGGAGACACTGAGGGGTGTGAGTCAGATGAGGCGGAGCCGTGCAGGTGTCTGGGGGAGCAGATTTCCAAGCAGAGGAACAACCCTGAGGCGTGTTCCAGTGGCTGTGACTAAGGAGCATATTGCCCTACAATTTAGCAGCTTAAAATGCCATTTAAAATGTGCGGGTCAGGAATTAAGGAAGGGGTCCCCCTGGGTGCTTCTCACTGGGGTCTCGTGCTCTTGCATCAGATGGCAGCAAGGATTGTCACCTGGAAGCTGGCCCCAGCTCTCTCATACACTGTTGCTCAGAGGGGCAGTGACCTGCGCACACCTCAGCTTGGGGTCCTGGGGTGCTCTGACTGCACCCACAGAGCCTCAGCTGCCTTCTGTGGGATCCCCAAGAACCCCTAAGTCTGCCCAGATTCAGGAGGCAGGACCGCACCCCAGCCTCCGCCCCGACGTGCAGGCAGGCTACTGGCGTGAACACGTGCTCCTTGAACTAGGAGCTGAGCGGGAGCCTCTGGGCTGGGTGGGGAAGGGAGGAGCCGGAGAAGCCTCCGGAGTCTGGGCTGAGTGCTCCTAGACTGGAGGTGGTCGGGGAGATTGGGGCCAGCAGAGAGGGTGGGGGTGACCAGGGTGGGATGGACTCAGGGTCCAGGCTGTGTTTTGAAGGCAGAGGGCCAGGGGTCAGGGTGGCAGAGTGCCTGAGGGGATGGTGGGGGCTGGGAGCAGGCAATGGCCCAGGGTCAGTGATATGGCCTGGCTTGGGAAGGCCAGCCGGATGAGCGGGGGAGCCACCAAGATCCCGCCAGTGTGTCCTGGATGGAGGTGTCGGAGGTGTGGAGGTGTCAGGTAGGCTAGAGGTGCTGTTGTATTGCTGCTCCCTAGGTGGCACTGGGGGTGAGGCCGGCTGGGACAGGAGCAGTCACTGCGGGTGACTGCGGGAAACTAGGACAGGCCTTTGGTGCTGGAGAGCGATGGGCCTGGGCCACATCAGGCACCAGAGCGCCAGGGCTGAGGGCCCGAGGAGGCACCCCCTGGGAGTGGCTTGCAGTGCCAGCCTACCCAGTCAGGGTCTCCTTCTGCCTGTCTCTCCCCAGACCTGCATTCCCTTCAGCGGGCCCCTGACATTCACTATTCTTGCCTGTTTGGTGGAGGCAACACTGGAAAAACCACGCTACTTTCACGTCTCATCTCATGTAATCTTCAGACATGAGGTAGGTACTGTCATTGTCTCCATTGTTTGGAAACCAGGGCACAGAGAAGCTAGGTAACTTACCCAAGGACACACAGCTTGTGAGTGGCATAGCCAGGCTCGGAACCTCACCGCCGCCATATTTGACATATGTAAGAGCCTCATGCCCTTAGGTAGCTTGTGCACTTAAAAATAAAATCAAACTATTTGGGCATGTTTGTAGATTCACAAGCAGTCATAAACAGCAGAGCCACCGTCCGCCCTCCTGCCCCGATTGCAGGACCCCATGCGCTGTCACCACCAGGCCACTGACATGGTGCATCACCCATCTTGTGCAGTGCTTCTTGCCATTTTAAAAAAATGTTGCAAACTTTTAAAGATCGTGAGTGCTCAGAGAAACAGTTTGATTCTGGCTTCTCCTGAGCCATCAGATGACAAGGTCTGTCTGAGTACCAGATCCGAGGGAGATAGTTTGCAGGGGAGCTGTCTGTGGGGGAGTGGGGGATGAGGTGGGAAGGGAAGGAACTAACCACGCTGCAGTATGGTGGGCAGCTGTGGGGCCAGGGGGCCAGGGTAGTTATCCACCGGCACCTCCCCCAGCCCCCTGGGATGGCGCCGTCAGCGCTCCAGCCGCTCCAGCCCGCCTCTGAGGGCACCAGAAACAGCCCCAGAGCAGAGAGCTGCATGCAGGCTCCTGGTAGTCAGGGCTGAGGACTGTGCAAGTCCAGAGGCGGGCGGGCAGCGCTGGTACCAGGACTTCCCCGCCAGGGCCGCAGCAGCGCCTGGGGCGAGAAGGGGCTGGGGTGGGGAGGCATAGGTGAATGCCGGACAGCAAACACGCCTGCCTGCCTGCTCATCAGCCTTCGAAGCCGCCTTCCTGCGCCTGGTGACGAGCGAAGATGCCCATTCAGCCCCCCTCTGTGCCAGCGAGAGCAGCGTCGTGGGGGTGTTTGGAGCCAGACCTCTGGGCTCTGAGGGTTCCGACCCCCGCTCTGTCCCTGGCCAGCTGTGCTGTGGCTTTGGGCAAATCCCGTCCGTCTCTCTGGCCTCAGTGTCCAGGCTCCAAAGATGGGGCCGTGAGTCCTGCAAGACGAAGGCAAACGCAGTGTGCTCGGAAGAGCAAACAGTGAAAGGTGTTAGCTGCTGTTGTCACCTCGAGGGCTTGCACAACCCATTTGTGCCTCCTGGGTGGCAATTCCCACCCATGTGTTTTGATTGGGATGCGGCCCAAGGCCACAGGGCAGGACATAAGAGCTGGGTTCACACCCAAGGGTGCTGCTTCCACTGGGGCTTGACTGCTGTCACCTCCAGCCTGTGGAGTGAGACCTGGGCCTCAGTTTCCCCATCCGTAGCACAGGGCTCAGGAGGAGCACCTTCTGGTTGAGCTGTCAGTGGGGCTGGGGGTGAGCTTCATCTCCCGGCCCTCCCCAGAGAGCTGGGTGGGGCAGCACACACCTCAGGGGCTGGGGGAGGGCACCCTGCTGCTGCTTGGGTTCCCATCTGCCCTCACCTCGCGGGTGGCAGGAGGAAGGGGGCTCAGGGGAATGCTGCTTTCTGCACTGATCCCCCACTCTGTGCCAGGTTCACTACTGCACGACTCCCCATCACCCAGACACCAACCCCTACACTGGCCCCCTGTTGTTACTCCCCCATGAGGTCACCAAGGGCAAACCTACATTAGAGTGGCCCCAGCTTTCCTAGAAAACACAAGCCCTCAAGGTGGACACCCCACTAACAGGACAAATGGACCCCACCTCGCCGTTTCCCTGCTGGAGCCTGCTGTCCCCAAAGCACTGCCCACCCCCACGGCCCGGTCAACACTGTAGGTAGCCAGCCTCGGGGCCAGTGACCCTGTGACGCCACATGGCTCCTTCCCCAGGCGCTGGACCCAATGAGGGGCTGGAGGAGGCGGCCCTGGGGCCGGAGGTCCCCACCCAGCTGGACCTTGACAGCTCAGCCTCTCCTCAGCCTCCCCCAGTGCCGGCCTCTGCCTGCCTCAGCCAGACATGTCCAGCCTCCAGGAGCTGTGCGCCGGCCTGCCCCTGCAGCCTCTCCCTGAGAACCGGGGACGCTGGGCTGGGGTGCCCCACGCCCCCATCAGAACCCCTGGCCTCAGCCCTGCAGAAGAGCAGGTAAGACGCGGGGTCCCATTCCTGCTGGGGCCGAGTGCCCTCTGCGTGCCCTGAGTGGTCCTGGGGAGGGATCGCCCCTACTTCCTGCTGTCTACAGAAGCTGCAACTCCTTGCCTCAACCCCCTCCCGGGAGCTCCCAGGGAGCTGGTGGTGGGATGGGGGGCAGTGTGCCGGACCCCATCACACCCGATAACCCTCGTTCTCGCCCCAGTGGCCATCGCTGGGTGCAGGGTTACCGTATCCTTCACAGATGAGGCCCCTGGGGCTCAAAGTCACCCAGCCAGTAAGTGGCAGCACTGCGGCTGCCCGGGGGTGGGTGGGTGTGGAGTGCCCCCAATGCACAGCGCAGAAGCCTACCCCCCCCCACACACACACACGTGTGCCTGCTTGAGCTCTGCTCCTCCTGGAGGCCGCAGGCCTGCTTTCCCTCCCGCGCCGCCACCCCAACTCCGGCGCGTTTGCAGCTGCCTGGCTAGACCCTAGTGAGGGCCCCTGCCTCACCTGGTCAGCCAGACCTGACCCCCCAGGAGCCGCAAGGCAGGGGCCTGCGGGGAGAAAGTCACTGCCCTGTAGGATGGAGAGGAAAATCCTGGCAGGAGGGAAGGGGGAGATGAAAGGAAGTGGGCCACCGGCTGCAAGGCCTTGTCGCCTGCCTTTCCCGTATTCCAAATAAGTCTAGAAGTTAAGCTTGAAAGAGAATCCACCACACCCTCCCTCCCCCCACCCCACAGGTAAAGACAGGTGCCCTTTGCTTGGTCCCTAGACCTTCCTGCGAGCGCCGCCCACAAGGGCAGACAGGGCTGGGTGGACCTGGGGGCGCGTGGGGCCCGGGCCCTGGGAGGGCGGAGGGGAGCTTGGGGGACAGGTAGCTGGGCAGAGGGGGGAGGGGTTGCTGGCCAAGGATGCCTCAGGGACGAGGGGAGAGGACCTGACCCGGGTGGAGTGGGGCGGAGCCGGGGGCGGTGGGGCGGCCCTGGGAGCGGGGAGATGGGGCAGCCGGGCGTCTCCAGGGCAGGGCGGGGCGGGGCGGGGCAGGACAGAGCAAGAATGCAAGTCGGTGCTCCACTGTCTCCTCTTAGCCTTTCTGTCCCAGCCCAGGAACGTCAAAGCAAAGGGTAACGTTTCGGCCCCCAGGTCACCTCCTGGCTGGGCGCCAAGGCCTTGACCTTTGGCTAAGAGGATCCGAGGGCTGCTCCAGGTCAGCTTCTCAGGGATGGTGACCGCGTGGCTAGTGCTGAGAGGAGAGAGGAGGGCAGCTGGCCCTCCTGGGTTCTAGGCCAGCAGTCTTGAAGGCGACTTGTGGGTGTGGGGAAGAAGCTAAGTGTCTTGTCTGGGTGCCAGGGCCAGCCTGCCTTCAGCTGGGAAGCCGTAAGTGCAAAGGCCCTGAGGTAGGACCAGGAACAAGAAGATATGTCTGGAGAAGCGTAAGGGCATGGGGGTTTGGGCTGCTTTCCTAGTTGGATGAGAAGCCTTTAAAATGTTTCTCCTTTTTCTTGGCTTCCTTTGCCTGCTTACCCGGTTTCAGATTCACCCCAGTGCCTCCCTAGATCCCACCAGATCTCACTCCCAGAGCTGCACACGCTCCAGCTATGCACTGCCCAGAGGTTACTTGCCAAGCTGGGTGCTGATGGGGGCACTTTTCTGAGCTTGTACAAGGTGACTGGACCTCAGCAGGTCTCCCTCCCTTTGAATCTGCATCTCCCACTGGCCACAAGCCTCAGCATAGATCCCTCTCTGGTCTTTACCTGTCAAACAGCCTGATCCCCAGTAGGCAAGGAGAGAGAGTGACTATACCTCTGGCTACATGAAAGGGGAGGACAATCAGGGAAGGCTTTCTGCAAGAGGTGACATTGTAGCTGAGCTACGAGCTGGGAATGAGAACCAACTAGGCAATCCTCTGGGTGGGGCCGTGGATTTCCGAGTGGAGCAGAGGTATTTTGGTAGGGAAGGGTGGCCCAGCACGGACGCTTCAGGATGCTGGGCTTGGCACCTACTCCCCCCTCACTGTTCTTCCCCCCACCGCAGTTGGCCCTGAAGAATGCCTTGCGCTACTTCCCCCCGGATGTCCAGAAGCTGCTGGCGCCTGAGTTTGCACAGGAGCTGCGACTGTACGGACACATCTACATGTACCGGTTCTGCCCCAGCATTGAAATGAGGTGAGTGCTGGCAGGTGCGGCTTCCATGGGGCCCCACAAAGGGTACTTCTGGGAGGGAACTCTCTAGAGGTCAGGAACCCCAAGAGTCAGCAGCTGGGACTAGGGGGTGGAGGAATTCAGGGTAGGAGGCCCAGGATGTGGCATGCAGAGGGGGTGGTTGTCATCCGTGGAGGTCTGGAACCTAGAGCTGGCTGCAGCCCCCTAGCCTGGCCAGGAGATGGGGGCAGGGGTCCTTATCAAGTAGGTCTCTCTGTTCTGCCAACCTGGCCAGTCAGTCCTGGACCTAAATTGTCCGCAAAGTCCCTTTCTGAACCCCACATCTTGTCATTCTACCGGGGCTCTGTGCTTCGGCGTCGCCTCTGCTGGGAGCTGAGGGGCAGTTCTTCAGGAGGCCGGGTCTTGCTGTCCATGCTGCTTGGCCAGGTGCTGCGCTGTGGCCATGTGGTCCTGGAAGTAGCAGGAAGGCCCCTCGTCACAGCTGCTGGCTGGTCTCTCTTGCAGGGCCTACCCGATCCAGCAGTACCCCTGCCAGACGAGAGCCGCTGCGGCCATCATGCACATGATCATGAACAACCTGGACCCCGCGGTGGCCCAGGTAACGCAGGGAGCCAGCCCTGCCTGGCAGGGACATAATGTTCCCAAGATTTTTATTTAGAAATAATGCTGGGTTCTCAGGAAGCTGTAAAGACGGGGCAGAGAGGCCTACAGAGAGGCCTACGGGGCAGAGACCCTTCCCCTGTGACCACGGCCTCCAAACCAGCTCATCAGCCCTGGTGCGCTGGACATACACGTTATAGAAAATGTTCTCAGAGCCACGTGGAAGAGTGAGAAAAAGCAGGTTCATACTGCATTGTGTTTATCCCCATCCAAAGTACTATCAGTTTAACACAATCATAATAAAACACATGGAGATGTTTTTCCCCTCCTTTTCCTCCTAAGTCTGAGATCAGGACTGCATTTTGTACTTAGACCGAATCACAGTTTGCTCGCGCCGTGGTCCTAGAATAACTACTCCTCTTAGTGGCGAGAACGCCCTTACCCTGCCACCTCACCCCAGCATGTGGTCACAGATGGGCCCCTGAGGTTGGCCCCAGGCTGAGCTCCCAGAGTGACCCCAGACCCAACTCTGATGTTCACCCCAAGTCCATCCCTACTCCCATCACAGATAGGTCAGCGCCCCTGGGCCTCACCCCTCTTGCCCCTCCCCTCCCCACTGCTTCTTTGAGGACCATCAGTTACCCTGCCCCATTGGCCCCAGCAAGATGGGGCCCCTTGCGTTCCCTGCCCTGGGCTCCACGGTCCCCATCTCAGACGACACCGTGTCTTCTCCAGTTTCCCCAGGAGCTCGTGACCTACGGAGGAAATGGGCAGGTGTTCAGCAACTGGGCTCAGGTACGCCCCCACGCCCTCTCCCAGGCCTCTCCCATCACCTTGTTCTCTGACCTGGAAGGACGGGACTCAGGTCGGGACTCAGGTCCTGTCTCCCTGATGTCTGAGATGCCAGCACCGGAGACTGTTGGGGGCTGTTGGAAGTCGCAAATTTGGGTGGGGCTGCCTCTGCTGGAGTTTCCAGAGTGTCATAGAGTACCAGATGGGGTTACTGGGGCCTGTAGGACCCCCTGGGCCTGGGCAGTGACTGGGGCCCGGGGCAAGGCCTCCACTTAAAGCGCTCTCCACGCTTTGCTCCTCCCTGCAGTTCCGGCTGACGATGTCCTACTTGTCGCAGATGACAGAGGAGCAGACCCTGGTCATGTACAGTGGACACCCAATGGGTCTCTTCCCGAGCAGTCCCAGTGCCCCCAGGCTGGTCATCACCAATGGGATGGTGGGTCCCAGTGCTGCTGGACACGGTGCCTGCTGCCTGGGGGCTACAGGAGGGCCAGGTGCCCCCACACCTGCTTGGCCTTCGCTGCTGAGGGCTCTGGGCTGCCCCCCAGGCCTCGACTCCTACCCCTCTTTTCCAGGTCATTCCCAACTACTCCTCCAGGGCCGAGTATGAGAAGCTCTTCGCCTTGGGGGTTACAATGTAAGTTGTTTTTTCAGTCTGCTTTACTGCTTTAGCCTTGTTTTATTATAAGATAATGCAGCAATCTTCCATATAATTTTGAAAAACAGAATTGCAGCACTCACGCACAATTAATTTAATTTTCACTTATACCCTAGTAGTTTTTATGGATATACCCACACTTTCTCTATATAGGTAGATAAATACACATTTTGAATTGTGCTTTTTTCCCAGTGTTTTATTCTGAACCATTTCAAACATAGTGAGAATGGAAAGAACTAACAGTTAACACCAAGTTCCTGTGGTTATCACACTATGAAACTTCCTTTCTCTGTCCCTCCATTCATTCAACAGAGCTGTACCCCTGCTTCCACAGCTCTCTGCCTCTTTCCAGCAGGTAGATGCCCCACATGAAGGCCATAGACTGTCCTGTGAATGGAATCCTGCAGAATGTTCTCTTTCAGTTGTGGCTTCTCCACTCGGCCACATGGCACACAGCAGGGCTTGGTTCTTTTTCTTTGCTACATAGTGTTCCATTCTGTGCACATACCAAAGTTTCTCTGCCCCCTCCTGGTGATTTCTGTGCTCCCTTCCTACTGTTTCAGGGCTTGGCAACCTGCCAGCAAAGCATGATGAACTGCCATGTTCTTGAATTTCTACGGGCTGAGCCTGGGAGCAGAAGTGCTGGGGTGATCTTATCAATTACGCTGCAGTTTTTAAGAGAAAGAAACTTGTTTGGAAAGGTCTAGGGAGCCAGAAGGAAGCAGAATTTGGGGACAGCAACCTTTTCCATAATGTTTTGTTTTTCCAGGAGAATATATGAGTACATTTGGGGGCAATTAAAAAGGAATTTGCTTAAAAATTCAAGTTCTTTTATTTTTAGAAATTTTTTCCCCACCACCACCTCTTATGGCTCTTTGTCCACCCCCCTCACCCTCAGAAGTCTTACTTTGTCCACTAGTTTTTGCAAGTAGTTTGCTTTGTCGAATCATCCTGCTATGTATACATCTTTGTCATTCTGACTTGCTTTACTAAATATAATTCCTTTGAACTCCAGCCATTTTGCTGTAAATGGCAATAGTTCATCCTTTTTCATAGCTGCATAATATTCCAGGCATGCAGAGACCACATCTTCTTGAGCCAGTCCTCTATCAGGGGGCACGTAGGTTGCTTCCATGTCTTAGCTATTGTAAGTGGTGCTGCAATAAACATTTTTAGAAGATGTAATTAGATGCTTTTTATATTCTTCAGATACATACCTAAGAGTAGATGACTGGGTCATAAGGTATTTCCACTTTAAGTTTTTTAAGGTAAATCCACATCACTTCCAAAATGGTGTCCTTGGCTTACACTCCCACCAGCAGTGTACTAGGGCTCCTCTTTCTCTGCATCCTCCCAGCACTTGTTGTTGAGGGTCTTCTTTTTTTCTTTTTTTAAAGATTTATTTAATTATTTATACAAGCACTGGGTACAGTCAAAAGCGTGGAGAGGGGTGTGAGAGAATTCACCAGAGCCAGAGTGGGGAACAGAACAGGCAGACTGACAAAATACACTGCTGAGGGGAGCAATGGGCGCGGCAGGAGAGGTCTGTCGCGCCATGTGGGACCCTCGCCGGCAGCCGGGGATCGAACCGGTGCTGCAGAGGCTGCGGGCAGCTTCGCGGCCCAGCGCTCAACTGCTGCGCCACCAGGGGAGGCCCTGCTGGGGGGGGGGGGTTTCTTAATACATGCCATTCTCTTGGGTGTGAGATGATATCTCATTGTGGTATTGACCTGCATCTTCCTCATTAAAAGTGATGATGAACATATTTTTCTATGTCCATGGGCCTCCTGGATATCCTCTTTGGCGAATTGTCCATTCAGATCTGCTGCCCATTTATTGATTACGTTGTTTTTATTATTTAGTTGAATAAGATTTTTTGCATATTAACCCTCGTTGGTTGTATAATAGTTTCTCCCATAAAAAAAAAAAGTGGAATTTAAACCATCTAATGTGGGTGGCTGGGGGGAAGCTGCTCCTGGACTGGGCTCACCCCTGTGGACCTTCTCTGTAATCAGGTACGGCCAAATGACAGCCGGCAGCTACTGCTATATCGGTCCCCAAGGAATCGTCCACGGCACAGTGGTGAGAGATGGGGCCTGCCCGCCTCAGGGGAAGGGAGGCAGCCCTGCTGGGAGTGGCAGCCAGCACCTGCCTCCTCTCCCTGCAGCTCACTGTGTTGAATGCCGGACGCCGGTACCTGGGTGTGGAGGACCTGGCCGGGAAGGTCTTTGTCACCTCTGGGCTGGGCGGAATGAGTGGGGCTCAGGCCAAGGCCGCAGCCATTGTGGGGTGCATCGGTGTGATCGCAGAGGTGAGCTCGGTGGGGGAAGACAGGGCAGAGCCTCTTTTCTCTCTTCCAGTCTTCAGTTCCCCTCCACAAAGTCTCATTGTGTGGTTCCCAGAGTGTTTGCCTCCTGCCTTCAAAGTGCCCATCTCTGTCCACGGTCAATGCCTCTTGATCTTTCACCAAACTGACCTCTGGGGACGCCTCTTTCTCCCACCTAACCCCTGGAACATAGCTGGAAGATTCTAAATGGTGACTGAGTGCACGTGGACTCTCTACCTCAGAGAGTTCACAGCCAGCGGGGCGCACAGACGAGCTGTCTGTCGGCAGAGGGTGTCCAGGCAGCTTTCTCAGGAAAGGAGGCGAGGGACTCTGAGACAAGCCTCGCTGGTACACACCAGTGGGAGGCACACTTAGTTGTTTCTAAATCTCAGTCCTATTTATTTGTACTTATTAGGAGCCCATTTGGCTGCAGGTGACAGAAAACCCAACGACAGAAACTCACAAAAAGAGGGTTTTGTTTTTTCTTACATAACTGGCAACACTGGCACTCGTTCACGGCTCAGTGATGTCAGCAAACATCTCTAGAGTCTCTTGGGCTCCCCTCATGGATACAAAATGGCTGCCCCAGCCCCAGCCACCTCATCTACATTCATGGCAGGAAGAAAGGCGAACAGGAGAGCCATTTTAGCAGGAAAACAATGTCTCAGAGACCCATTCTTTTCCCTCATTGGTCAGTATTGGATCAATGGATGTTTGCAGTCTGCATGGGAGACTGGAAACCGCAGAAAGGAAAGTTGTGATGAGCTTGGAAGTGCTTTACCTCCTGGGGCTGAGCACAGTGTTACCCTGAACAAAATCCAGGTTCTATTGATCAGGAAGTAGGAGGGGGAGGAATGTGGGAAGTTGGATAGTCTGCCCTGACACCGTGTTATCAAAGTGGGTGATCTGTTGTTGGTCAGGATGTGAAGGAATTGGAACCCTGTGCACTGTTGGTGGGAAGGTAAAACGGCGCAGCCGCTGTAGAAAACAGTATGGAAGCGCCTCAAATAAATAAACGTAGAATTACCATATGACTCAGCAATCCACCTCCTGGGTATCTGCCCAGAAAAATTGAAAGCAGGGGCTCAAAGAGAGATGAGTACACCCATGTTCACAACTGCATTATTCACAGTAGCCAGGAGACAGGAGCCGCCAAGTGTCCTTTGGTGGATGAATGGATAAGCCAAATGTGGCCTACACACACAGTGGAATATTACCCAGCCTTGAAAAGGAAGGGATTCTGACAACTGCTACCACGTGCACAGACTTGAGGACATGGTGCTGAGTGAAATAAGCCAGACCTGAAGTAACAAATACCGCATGATTCCACTTGTATGAGGTCCCGAAAGTAGTTAAAATTATAAGACAGGAAGTAGAATTGGCAGCCTTGGGGACCCAAGGGGGAGTGGAGAAGGGAAAGTGGGTGTTTAATTGCCATAGATTTACAGATGCTCTGGGCATGGGCGGTGGTAATAGCTGCAAAATGTGAGGTATTTAGTACCCCTGGTTAAGAAGGTCCACTTTTAATGTGTGTTTTAACTCAATAAAATAGGTGATTTTAAAAAATGGGTGACCTCTGTGGAAGCCTAGCACCTTCCAAGGGAGGTGACGCACTCAGGGTGATTTGTAACCAGACGACCCTGTGTCTCGTGGTCCCAGGTGGATAAAGCAGCCCTCATGAAACGCCACGAGCAAGGCTGGCTGATGGAAGTGACCGACAGCCTGGACCAATGCATCAAAAGAGTCAGGTACTTCTGAGGCGGGAGTAGCAGAGACTGGGGCCCTGGGCCACTCCATGTGGCTCCTTCAATGCCTGACGCTTGGGCCACAGGGGGGCGCTACACCAGGCACTGCTCAGAGGCCATCCCTGGAAACATCCCAGGGTGCAGCTCCTAAAATTCTGTTTGGGGCTCATCATCACTGTCTGTGTGAGGGACGCCCCTGGGTTTGCCTGCTCAGTGGATACACTTGGTTCTTACGGATTCTCAGCCGTTCTCTTGGTACTCCCTGGACCCAGCCAGAGTTTTGCAAAGGATGTGGCTTGCGTTTCATCGTGGTGGCCTTAGTGCCCAGCCCAGGGCTCCTGGCGTGTAGTAGGTGCTCATCTAATCTGTTGGGGAAAGGGAGCCTTTGAAGATGGACCTTCTGCTCAGTGTGACCTCCCCTCCCTCACCTTTGGGGTCTTCCCTGCTCACCTGCCCTGTCCGTGGAGTGTCAGAGCACCTTCCCTCCTGTTGCATGTCTTCTGGGGTGTCTAAGTGTGAGGGGGGAGGTCTGCTTTGGAAATTGCCCATCAGATGCCATTTTTGAAGCCTCCTCTCAGTTAACTGGCTTTGAAGAAGGGAACCCCGCTGGGGAGGGCTCCATCCTAGTGAAAATTAGAATTGGTCTGGAGGCCTCAAGCCGGGTGGGAGGGGAGCTCATGTGAAAATGCTCAAAAACACATAGACTTTGAGACCAAGTCCCATTACCAAGGCAATACTATGTTGACATAAATCTTTCTAAAATACTAGTTGTGCCGCGTCACACCTCTGTTTAAAACTCAGATAACCTTTCAACAATTATAGGGGAAATTCCAACGCCCTGGGGTGGCATTGAGGGGTCTCGCCTGATGTGGCTTCTGTCCTTCTTCTTTGTGCTATTTAGCTTCTGACCACACTCACATTTGCACACTCACACATGTGCACACTGGTGCATGTGCACAGACACCCTCACAATACTCATATACCTGCACACACACACACATACACACATCAGTTTAACGAGTGGCTCCAAGCAGCCTGGCTCCTATCCTGCTCCCTGGGCCTTAGAGGACAGAGATGGGGTTCATGGTTCCCCTGAGGACCCCTAGGCTGGATTCAGTCCTTCCCAACACATCAGGTGTGGGCCAGCCTCCCTCACTGCTTGGGGGACAGACACCTCTCTCCTGTTCCCTTAACCACCCTGCTGGCATCTCTCTGCCAGGCTCGGCCTTCAGTCGAGCTGTGTCCTCAGCAGGTGCCACCCGCCCCACTTACTGCTGCTTGTTGGTGTCTCTCATACCCTTGAGAGTTCTTACATGTTCAGAGCTTTTATTCCAAGATAAGGCTTCCATGTTTCTAAACAATAGACACTTCTACAATTCTAGGATCACCTTGAGTGAATTCTAGAAAGATCCCTGTTGGAGTTCAGCAGCAATAGCCCTAATTCTACCAATCAGGAAGGGTTGCCATATTGTCACGTCAGTCCATTGGTGCCTGTTTCCCTTTACAGCTCCATGTCCCCAAAGGCCTGACCTCATGGTGCCTGCCTCTGAGTCCCTGAATGTGTATACAGCACCTGGGTGGCCTCCTGGGCCCCCTGCTGGGGAGGGCTGGGCCTCGTGGGTGGGTGTGATGACCGGCGGTGCTGCTCCTGTGTCTTCCTAGGGAAGCAAGGAAAAAGAAGGAGGTGCTCAGCCTTGGTTACCATGGCAATGTGGTGGATCTTTGGTAAGTGGGGGGGCTGGAATTGGCAGCCTTAGGGACCCCAGGTGCAGCTCCCCTTCAGCCAAATTCCTGATGCAGGACAGGGGCTCCTGGGACACGAAGCTTCAAGCGCTGCCTTGAAACTCTGCTCCCAGCCTTCAGGGCCTGATCCTGGCCGGAATTCCTTTTCGGGCAGCTTTTTCCACCCAGCCCAGCAGCCCCCAGCTTTCCAGGGGAAGAGGGGTGGGCAGTGGGGTGGGCTGGGATTTGTACTGAGACCCCAACCCAGCTGGGCCCAGAGGGTGCTGCCCTCAGCTGATGGTGCCGCTTCCCCAGGGAGCGCCTGGTCCATGAATTGGACACGACGGGGGAGCTCTTGGTGGACCTCGGGTCAGATCAGACATCCTGCCACAACCCGTTCAACGGTGGCTACTACCCCGTGCAGCTGGGCTTCACAGAGGCCCAGAGCCTCATGGCCTCCGACCCTGCTGCCTTCAAGGGCCTGGTCCAGGAGAGGTAACGCAGGCTCTGGGTCTGCTCTGGGTGTGGTGGGGGAAGGGTAATGGCCCCAGGAGCCTTTAGCCAGCCCTGGCTCCTCCAGCTCTGCAGTGGCCCACTGGGAGGCCCGTACCCTCCTAGGCCTCTGCATCCTGTTCTGTCAGAGGGGGTCGTGGTGCACTAGCTTCGTGGGAGTATTGGGGACAAACTGGAGTGATATTTGTCAGACACCCAAGCAACTCGCGACATGTGTCGGTGCTGAGTCAATGCTCACAGAATGGAAGCCTGAAAAGCCTTCTGGAAGAGGGTGTGTGAGCCCAGGCCCTGGTGCCCTGCAGCCCTTGTGCCTCTGTGCCTCCCCAGACCCTGCCAGTGCTTGCTGAGCAGGCTGCCAGTGGAGTATGGAAGGCCAGAGAGGACTTAGAGATGGCAGGGGCTGGGGCATCCAGGCAGGAGGCCCTGGCGGGGAGAGGTGAGCGTGAGCGGGAGGAGTGGGTGCTCCAGGCAGTGGAGGTGTTTGAGCTCTGTGGGGGTGACAGCCATGGGCGGGGTAGAGGCAGGGAGGCAGGGCTGGAGGCTGCCCTGGTGACCCTGACCTCTGGCCTATTGCAGCTTGAGGAGACACGTCTCAGCCATCAACAGGTTGGCCGAGGAGAACTTCTTCTTCTGGGACTATGGCAATGCCTTCCTCTTGGAGGCCCAGCGAGCAGGTGAGAGGAGACCCGCTTGGCAGGGAGAGGGAGGGCAGTCCCCGGACTGGGGTGCCAAGCGCTGAGCAAGTTTCCTTCTCTCCAGCTGGGGTGTGTGTATGAGGGGGAAGGGGAGAGAGGCCCCCCAGTGAGTGCTCAGGGGCCCACAACTGTCGCCTTCCAAACACTGATGCTTCTGCCAGGTCCTTCCTGGCCTTTGCTGGGCCTCAGTTCCTCCATTTGCTTTGGGAACATAAAGCACTGTAAAGAGAGTAGGGCCATGGCTTGGGAAGGAGCTCCAGTGCAGCAGGGCAAGAGCAGCTTTTCTTCCCCACGAAGGACTCTTCTTTTTGTGAAACAGGTGACTTGTGCATGGAGTGTAGAGCGCAGAAGGCACAAAGAGATACAAGGAAGCCTGTTCCCCTGGGGCCCTGCAGCAGCCCCCCTCCTCAGGAGGGCGCCCGTCTGGTGCCTTCCATGCAAGTGGCTGCTGCCCCTTCGTTCTCTCCTTATACCTAAAAAGAGGCCTTGGTGATGCTTCTCTGTCTGAACAGAGCCCTTCCAGGGACCCTGTGTTTAAATCGCCATCTGGACGGCTGGCTGGGTACAGGTGTGGCCCCGGCCCCCAGCCCCGGCCCTCCTGGTGACTGTGTGTGGGGCTCTGTCCACAGGGGCCGACGTGGAGAAGAAAGGAGCCAACAAGACAGAGTTCCGCTACCCCTCCTACGTCCAGCACATTATGGGGTGAGTGATGGGGCTCCTCCTTCCAGCTTCCAGGCCCCGGGCGTTCAGGTCAGAAAAGCCCCAGCCTCTGACCATGGCTGAAGCCACATGTGGGTCTGAGGCCTTCATGTGGGTCTCGGATTTCTGCCACAAATGGGGGTGAGAAGGAGCCTGGATTTTCTGCGGGAGCACCTGATGTGGAGGTCACTTCCCAGTGAACACCCCAACTTTTGTGTGTCTATGACCCTGAACACTGTGTCCTGAGAGCGGCCACACCAAGGGCACTGGCATGAGCCCAGCGAGGGTGGCTGACAGTGTGGTCCATGTGGGCAGGACCTTGGTCCCCTGTGGCCTGGGTGCCTACTGGCAAGTTGCATGGGCAGGTCTTGGGGGGGATGGGGCCCAGGACAAGTCTGGAGGCGCAGAAGTCATGAGAGGGGTCTCAGGCTGAGGGTGGAGGCTTAGAGGCCAAGCTTCAATCTAAACAGGGGAGGGGAAGCCTCGCAACACTTAGAAGATTCGCCCTCTGTGTGCAGAAGGCCACGGGGAGGGAGGCAGGACAGACAAAGGGTCCTGCACAGCTAATTGTGGACAGGGAGGCAGACGCAGGGGGCTGGGCCATCAGCCACGGTGCAGAGGACAGCAGGGGTCTCTGGGAAGGGGAGTAGGAGGGCGACCCACCAAGGAGGGCCCTGTTGTGGTGGGCGAGTGTGGGACCCCAGGGAGGACCCAGTCCCCGCAGCCCTCTGCTGGAGCCAACCGCCTGAGAGCTGGGTCACCCAGGGGGGCCAGTTCATATGGGCAAATATGGCCAAGTCCCCAGGGCTCCCTCCTACCCTTCCCAGCAGGGGGCACAGCCCCCCAGAAAGCCCCAAGCTCCTGACGCGTTCTGTCCTTGCAGGGACATATTTTCCCAGGGATTTGGGCCTTTCCGCTGGGTGTGCACATCGGGGGACCCCCAGGACCTGGCGGTCACGGATCAGCTGGCCACGTCTGTACTGGAGGAGGCCATTGCCCGTGGAGGTGATGAAGCGGGGCGATGCTTGTGGAGTGGGCAGCCCCCCAAGGCTGCTGCCGCATGCCAGCCTCCCTGCCAGTGGCGCCCCTGCTCCTGTGACAAGTGCTGTCCCTCTGCTGTCCACTTTGGCCAGGCCGGTCTCCTTGTCCCAGCACCCCCAGTCGCTGTGGCGGCAAGGACACAGCTGTTGCTGGTCCTGCCATTCCCTGTGGATGGTGGGGGTCCTCCCGGATCTCCCGTCCCGGCCCTTGTTTAACCGCAGCTCCACCTCATGTGAGGGCGTGACCGGTCACCTCCCCGGGCCAGCCGCAGGCGGTTACTGTGAAACACGCAGGGCCTTCAGTGCTCCTGTCTCCGCAGCTCTTGGCTCGGGGGTGGCCTCTCCGGTTCTCAGTGAGGGTCCTTCAGCCTCTGCCGCTTGCTTTGAACCCACAGGGACCCGGTGCCTCTGACACCTTCCCTTCTCTCCCTGCAGTGAACCCGTCTGTGAAGCTGCAGTACTCGGACAACATCCGCTGGATCCGGGAGGCCGCCAGGCACCGCATGGTGAGTGTAGCCGGATTGGGGCAGGGCTGGGCCCTGGGCCGCCCACCCAGAGGGGAGGTGCTGCCTGCTGTGCCCAGGCGACTAGTCGCCAGGAGAGTGCCAGCACGACCTTGTGGGACGGCTTAGGTGGCATTCACTGGCCTCGCTCATGGGCCACAGGACGAAGAAGTCAGGGGCCTTTTGAAACCTGTCCTGAGTCTTTTGACACTGGATGGCTGCCGGGGGAACATGTCACCTGTGCACCCCTGCGTCTCACAGGCCCCTGAGCAACTCTGCTCGCTCTCCCCACAGGTGGTGGGCTCACAGGCAAGGATTCTGTACTCGGACCAGAAAGGCCGTGTTGCCATCGCTGTGGCCTTCAACCAAGCCATCGCCCGCGGGAAGATCAAGGTCAGGGCCTGCTGGGGGAGCACCTGCTCTGCCCCTTCCCCAGCTCTGTGTGTGTGTTGGGGGGAAGGCTGATCGCTGAGGGCAGGGAGTTATGAGGCCTGTGCTCAAACCCAGGCGCTGACATTGTCCCTTGCTGTGTGCCTTTGGGCAAGTCAGGTGCCCTCTGTGAACCTGAGTTTCCATCTCTGTGCAAGGAAAATAATAACCTCAAAGCATGGATGTGAGGATAATGCAAGTCAGCTCCCCATGAGTATGTCATCCATCTTTATCACATCACCTTGTTCAAGCCACGACAAACTTCCCCTGCTTTTCCCTATTTAACTCGAGTCAGCCTGGCCCACCTCGACCTGGCCAGCCTGGTCGAGGACATGGTGTTCAGGGCACGTGTTCCAAGGGGCCTCTTTCCCCTCCGTTGCATAGTCTCACGCCACAGAGTTCATGTTGGCAGCCCTCTGGAAGTGCCGTAGTATTCGTGATCAGGTATAAAAAGGAAACCAGGACAGATGTGTGTGAAGGCCATCACCAGGGAAGGTTCACGGTGACGTGGACAGTGAGGTCAGCAGCCCCCAGCCCTGTGCAGAGAGCACCCCAGAGCACTCAACAGCCCGGCCAGACACCCCTTTGGGCTTACCACATCCAAGCTGCAGTCGCCGGCAGGCAGAGCTGGGCATTGTAATCCGTCCACCTGCTCTTTTATTCATTCATTCGACGACACCCACCCAAAGACCTCCTCTGCCCAGGCCTGTTCTAAGAGAACATGCTAGACAGGATCTCCACCTGGCATTACTAGTAAAGGGAAGCTGATGGCATACAGCTAAAGGTATGAATTCAGAGAGCATTTCAGATGGCAAGGAACACTGCAGAAAATGAATCAAGGTGACTAGGTGGGGGTGAGCGGTCACTTTGGAGGGAGGGGTGGTCAGGGCAGGCCTTTCTGACTTGCTGGCATAAGTAAAGCTAAGCCTGAATATTTGGAAGGTGCTAGAATTCCTGGGGGTGGGGAGAGGAGGGCAAAGGTGAATAGGTGGGAGTAAGACTCAGGGGCCTGGCTGCCGGAGTCTAGTGCGCTGTGTGGGGGTCGAAATCCCTGCCTGTCTGCTTTTCCGTGCTGTGACGCTGAGCAAGTCTTGTTCTCTCTGGGCCTTGGTCTTCATACGTATAAAATGGAAATGTTTGTACATATCTGGACAGATTATTGTGAGGCCTCAGCGAGGTTCCTTTGGGATGCCACTTAATGACCAGAGCTAGTCACCAGGGAACCAATCTGGTGACTAAAGGTTTAGGCCTTTCCCAGGGTCCTCCCCGCCCCATCTCCCAGGGGAGAGGGGCTCCTGAAGTGTAGGAAGTGCCAAAAGCAGTAAAATGTGCAGCTAAATTTCAGAATGTCTGTGCTTCCTCTTGCTAAAGGTCTTTTTCCAGGGGGAGGGGTTCATGGGGCTTCTGGGATGGCCTGACCCTTGACCTCTGCCCTCCATACACACCATTGGCCTTTGTATCACACCCAGGCACCAGTGGTCCTGAGCCGAGACCACCACGATGTGAGCGGCACGGACAGCCCCTTCAGGGAGACCTCCAACATTTACGATGGCTCTGCCTTCTGTGCAGGTGAGGAAGTCAGTGTTTTTACAAATCCCTTTCAAATGTTGGAACTGGATTTTATTTAAAAATGGGCTGATTCATTCAGTCATGATGTTGTGACTGAGAGACTGGGCATAGGGTGCCCAGCCCAGGAGGGAACAGGTCCGTCCCTTTTAAGTCTTTGTTCTTTCAGGCACTTTATCTGCATTCGGTACCAGAGAGCGTATCTCCAGGGGAGGGAAATAGCAGGTGGCTAAGTATTTGTCAGTTTCTGCTTCTTCTCAGCTCCGCAGACACGGGTGATAGCCCTTTCTGCAGCCTCCTGGCCTCAGTTCCCTATCTGTCCTTCAGGCCTCAGCCAGTGGGGCCTGCTCACCCACTGTCCACTGTCCCCCGGCCTTGTCTGGCCTGCCCCTCCAACCCTCTCCATCAGGGACTGTGTTTTTGCAGACATGGCTGTGCAGAACTTCGTGGGAGACGCTTTTCGTGGTGCCACCTGGGTGTCTCTTCACAACGGTGGGGGCGTTGGCTGGTAAGGAGGATTTGGAGAACTGGGTGGTATGATTTGGAGCTCGTGTGAAGTCTTGAGGGTGCTCTGCTAGAGGCTTCTGTGCCATGTTCTTCGCATGAGCTAGAAATCGGAGGGAGAGCATGTGGAGGCCTGGGGGCACCTGCCACTCTGCCTCTTGGGATCTCACCTGTCACACAGGTAGTTGCTATCAGCACAGTGACCACCCTTCCACAAGTGTTGTATGGGGAATTCGCAGAGTGCTGTCTAACCCAGGTCTTTCATTCCCCCTGAGGTTTCCAGGTGGCTGGGCCACAGGTGGGAGACAGGATTCTAGGCTCTCCTGGGTCCTGGACTCATAGCTCTGCCCCTGCCAGGTGTCCTGGCTGGCACCACAAGGAAATTGGGGTTTCTGGGAGGGTCTCATTCCAGCTGACAGTGGCAGTTCTGTCATGAAGATGCCCGCTGTAATTCCTCACCCCAATTCCAAACATGTGGGGAGTTTCCTGACACCACCAACCAATTTTAGACATTGACTGGACGTTCTACAATCTGAATTCTGAAACTAGCCACCCAGAGAGAGAGTCAGATCCACAGGAAAATGGGCTCATTCTCCCAAGACCACTTCAGACATCCAGGCGGTCTGACTGAACAGCAATAAATCAGAGGTTCCCACAGCCCCTTCCTCGCGTTCCATGAATTTGCTAGAACGGCTCACGGAGCTCAGGAAACCCACTTACTCGCTAGACCACTGGTTTATTATAAAGGCTGTAAAGGGATGCGAATCAATAGTCAGATGAAGAGATACAAGGGACGAGGCTCCAACAAAGGAGCTTCTGTCCTGCTGGAGTTTGGGGACTGGCCCTCTGGCTCAACAAAGTCTTCTGGTTCACCATCCAGGAAGCTGTCCAGACCCCTTTTTTATGGGCTTTGTATGGCGACTTCATTACGTAAGCACGACTGATTAAGCATTGATCATTGATAATCAATTCACCCTCCATCTTCACACCCCTTACAGGAGGTGGGGCAGGTAAAGTTCCAACCTTTAATCACAAGGGTGGTTCCCCTGGTAACCAGTCCTGGTCTTTAGGTGGAATCCAAAAGGAAGCTCATTAACTTAATTATTGCTCCATCACTAAAAAATCCTGAGAGTTTTAGGAGTACTTCCAGAAACAGGGATGAAGACCAAATATACATTTCTTATTATCAATCAAAATCTCACCCCCACTGCTAAGAGTGATTGCTTAATATTTATTGTACATAAATCCTATGGCAAACATTTGCTAATATTTTGGAACCCATTCTCTTGCCTAGTCTTAGAAGGAAAATCATTTCAGAGATAAGGAAGCAGGGGCGCTGGGAAGTTATCCAGCCGCACCTGCTTTGAGTCAGCTTCTGCCCCTGTCACCTAGAGAGGCTCCCAGCCCAAGCCAGAGTCCTGGGGGCTCCGAGCAGCAGGGGCCGCTGTGGCTTCAGGGAGGACATCTGCCCGGGGCCTGACTACCTCTGAACTGACCTCGCAGCTGTTTTAACTGGATCAAGCCTGGCCTTGCCCTTCAAGAGCCAAGTCCTTCGGCACTCGGGCTTCCTGGAGCATTCCAATGGGCTGGCTTGGCCTTGTGCCTTTCAAGGCCAGAATTCCGAGCTGCAACGCAGTCAGATGGCTCTAATTAATGGAAAATGTGACCAGCGCGTGTGTCCTTTCTGATACACCAGCTGGATAAAACCAAGACGGAGAAGAAGGCCTGGTTCTTGAGTAATTGGTGTTTACGGGCCAGTCGGTCCTGGAGGTGAAGAGAGAATGACTCCGAAGGAGGCTGAGTAACTTGCCCAAGGCCACAGAGGTGGTGACGGAGCCGGGATCTTGACCCAAATCTGCTGCCTCCCAGGATCCACACACCATGGTCAGCAGGACAACAGAAGGCAAGAAAGGGCAGTGCAGGGCTTGATCCAAAGGCCATGGTGCAGGGATGCAGTGGCAGGCTGCACGCAGGACACTGCTGGCTGGTGCCCCGCCGCTCACGGGTTCCTGAGAGGAATGCTCTTCGCAAACTCCCGAGCTCTCTCATCCCACGGCTGTCCCCAGAGCACTACTCAGAAAGGATAAGCAACTTTGCCCAGACTTCGCAGCGAGCTGGGGCTGCAGCTGGCCCAAATGCATGTGCTAATAACCCCCCACCAGTCACTTGTAAAGGAGCCAGATCAGGGCCTGGCACGTGGCACACCTCCCGTAAATATTAACCTTTATCACGTGCATGCCAGTTACGATCACAGGTTCCAAACAGGTGGAGGTTTTAAACTTTGAAAGCCACCGCCAGTTTTCCTAAATAAAAATTCCTATCTGCATGACCTTATTAACAGTGGCTATTATCTCACTTTTAAACATGGGAACTGCCAGGCTGGCGGAGTCACAAAGAAGTAACAAATCCTTGTTTTGTTTCAACTTGCTTAAGGCCAGGTTTTTTGTTTTGGAGTCTTGTGCTTGTTCTTTTGGATTTGGGGGCATTCTTGAGCTGTTCTGGATAAAAAAAGTGCAGGCACTGGGTGCTTGTTGCCTTTGAACTTCCTTAATTGTATCTGTGCCGGCTGGTTTCTCCAGGAGGCAGATGCAGAGGAGTTAGGAGTGTACAAAAGGCTGGGAAAGGAAAGAGGGGGCAGAGGGATTGAGCCGGGGAGACCTCAGTCTCCTCACAATGCAGCAGCCTTGCCAGCCGCCAAGGGTCTATGGAGCCAAGGCGAAGACCAAGCAGGCAGGCGCCAGGCCTCTGGCATTAGGCAGTCTCTGCATGAGAAGGACCCTCAGAAGTTCCGGCTGTGAGCTGTGAGCAAGCCACCTTCCCCACAGCTGGGCTTTCTGGAAGGGGTGCCCAGGGAGGCCCTCAAGCCACAACTCCCCACACAGCAGTGCTTCACAGCTTTATCTAGTGATGCTTCTATTCTGGCTCTTAGTGTTTTAAATTTTGCTTTAAAAGACCTCCCCTCCTGAGTTAAGGAAAACAAGCTTCTAAACTATAATTTTCTGAATTAAGAGAAGACATGCTCCTAAACTTTATTAATCTTAAACACTTTGAACAGTTTCTTCTTTAGTACACTTGGTGTAAGGGCAGGACTGGCCACAGTGCAGGTTTTCTGATCCCATGCAGACCGGGTAAAGGAGGAGTCAGAGTCCTCAGGGGTTTTGCAGGCTTTTATTGGGATTACCAGGTACACGGCAGGCAGGGGTGCTGGGGGGCCGGGAGGCTGGCAGGCTTCCCAGCCCCCAGCAAATACGCACTCTCTCTGGGCTCTCTGGTGTTCTCTGCTTCTGCTTCTTTGCTTCTCTCTTGGCTTCTCTTCAGCTTCTTGGCTTCTGCTGGCGCCCCCGTGACGCCGCCCTTAAAAGCCCGATCTTAGCCCAGGTGAATCCCATCTACCTAGGCCCACACCCTACTCCAGGTGCCCGCCATCAGGCATGCATTCAGGACCGCAAAGATCCATCATCTATCCTGATGGCGGGAGGGCAGAAAAGCCTGACATTTTTCCTTACCCTACACTTGGCATTTATTTTTTCTTTGTGTGTGATGCTGGGATTGACTTGCATGTTTTTCTCAAAGACACAGTGTCCCGACCCCGTTCGTGAGTACCCCAAGGCCACACCGTCAGCAGGTCTGCCGCTATCAGGCCCTCTTCCTGGGCCAGCCTGCCTAGGGTAGGGTTGGCTTGGATTTCTGACCAGCTGGGACCCAGGCTCCCTATACCAAAAATATAGTTCTAATTTCCCAAAGACCTCTCTGGTCAAGGGACTCACGAGTGTCCTGTGTGGCTGCCACTCCTGTCTCCTAACACCTGGCCTCAGCCTCTGAGAGGTGAGCAGGTGCCAACCTGAAGTGTGTCAGGAGCACCCTCCAATCTTAGTTTGTGGGCACAGGACTGCAAGTGCAGGGACCCAGGCCAAGGGCGAGGCAGGGCAGCCCGCATATTCACCAGAGGTGCTCAATTCCTGCCAGGGTGGGGATCCCAGGGACCTCCTGAGACAAAGGAATCCTCACCTTCTCAGTGGCCCTGGCTGACATTGTCAGTCGGTGCAGGAAAGGCAGAGAAGCAGGTAAATCTGGATGGGCCTGGAGGATCTGAGACTGGAGAAACTAGGTGTACTTCTCAGGTGTGGGAAGGAGCAAGGGCAGGTTCACCGGGAGTGGGGCTGAAAACTGGGTTGCAGGTGCCCCAGGGGTTCCTGTTTGGCAGCAGAGTCCTGGCCAGTGCTGCCAAGAGGAAGGGAACTTCTTGTGTGTGTGTGTGTGTGTGTGTGTGTGTAACCAGAGGAAGCACATGGGTGAGGGGCGTGGGATGCGAGCTGAGCAGGCCAGACGTGGGCAGCGCACGCCATGAGACGAGAACGTGAGAATGGACGTGGAGGCACTGGAGCGCCTGTGGTGCTGACGGAGAAGCACGGCCAGGCAAACCCGCAGGAAATGGAAACCACATCCACACGCTTGAGAGCCAGTGACATCTATGAAGAGAAGGAACACGGAGTACAGCAGGTCTGTGAGAGGGGGGCGTCGGAGCAAACCTTGGAGACGTGCATTCAACAGAAACAAGAAATACTGAAAATAAAGGAACTCTGCCTTCAAATCCAGGAACCAGGACCCCAAAATGCACCTGAAGCAAGCAGAAAGAAGGGTTTAGAAAGATAAGAGGCAATCGGGAAGGCAGCGCAGGAGACTCCCGAGGACGCTGCCTGCCCCGGAGGCCACATTGCACTTGCCACATCCAGGTGGTCAGGCCTGCAGATGGCTGGGGGCCGAGGAGGTGAAGCTGGGGGCACGAGGGGGCAGCATAGAGTTCCACCCCCAGGCAGGAGCTCCCCCAAGTCGCCCATCCTTATTTCTGACTACTCCCCACAGGAGTAGGGCCCATGAGTGACCTGAGTGGCCTTTGCTTCTTGCAGGGGTGAGGTGATCAACGGGGGATTTGGCCTCGTGCTGGACGGGAGCCAGGAGGCCGAGCAGAAGGCCAGGATGATGCTTGGCTGGGACGTCTCCAATGGGGTAAGTCACCCCGGCCTCTCCCCTCGTCGTCCCTCACTGTCCCTTCAGATTGGGGACCGAGCCAGAGCTCTGGCTCCTTTTTCCCCAGAAAATAGGCGGGGCGGGGGGGGGGGGGCGGCGGCCCTGCAGCGCTTCCTGCTTAGTCATATCTCTCCTGGTCAGATGTGGGGGTTGTATGTGGGGTGAGGGTTGGGTTGGCAAGATGGCAGCGTGGAGATGGGGGAGAATGCGTGGAAGGATGGCCAGTTACAGAGCAGAGAATAAAGCACTTGTCCATAGTCTGGCCAAGAGAAGGGGAGAGGTGAACGGGGCGGCTGCAAAACACTGCTGGCTTATTAGCACAAGGTCCCTGAAGCGGAGGGGCCAGGGGCCTTGGAGCCCACGGAAGGGTGCCCAGACTGTCTTGTTGGGTTGATCTTGGAAATGAGGTGATGCTGGTGCCAACCCGAAACCACTGCCTCTCCCTGCCCTGCTGCCAGGTGGCCCGGCGTTGTTGGTCTGGGAACCGCAAGGCCTACGAGATCATCTGCCAGACCATGCAGGAGAACAAGGGCTTGGTGGTGACGCTCCCGCAGGAGGTGGTAGATGAGCAGATGCTCCAGCAGGCCCTGCGGCAATAAGCCAGGGCCCGGGCCCAAGACTGGCCACCTTGCCCTCACCCGCCTTGGTCTCCTCCACCCACTGCCCACCCTCCCCACACCTACCCCGCACACCTGCAACTCGTGGTCTCAGGAGCTGTGTACACACACCTCACCACGCCCTGGAGGGGTGCCACACTGTTCCTAATTCAGGCACGAGCCAGTTGTGCCTGGGGGGCCAAGGCCAGGGCCATGCTGCTCCACAGGAAAGTCATAGAACAGACTCCAGGAGCTGTTCAGGGGTGTCTGTCAGATGAAACTGACTGAGCTGGGCATCCACCAGGCCCCTGCTCAGCCTCCTCCTATTCCCTCTGCCACCGGGGGGCCGGGTTTTATCAGTCACCCCGTCTGCCTTGCATTTACCCCGAGACTGTGTTTCTGTCTGTTAGCCAGTCTGTGGTGTGTGCAGTGCCCCTGGCCCTGGGTACACAAAGAAACCTGCCCAGGCCCTGAACTTGGAGGGTCCAGAAAAAAAGACAGGGAAATAAAGGTTTGACCAGAAGCATTTACAGTGTCGTGGGCAGGGTGGGCCCGGTGGTGGGAGGGGGGCAGGCCGGGCTCTGCCCTAAGGGAATAGAGATACCATGTTGGGGGGAAAAGAGAGGAGGGGCTCCCCACGGCCAGGCATCTTGGGACACTGAGAAGCGCGGCTGCGTCGCTTAGTACAGAAGTCTTCCAGGAAGCAAGTTGGGCCTGAGGCTGGATTCTTGAGCCTTCCCCCCGCCACCCCCAAAGTCCAGTAACAGCTGGATTCATAGCCCAACAAGGCTATGGGTGCAGCGGCCCCAGCCAAAAGCAATTACGTAGCCCTGCTTTCTTTTTGTGACAGTTCCCCACTATCAGGCCCCCTCCCTCCACCTCCCTGACCCATAGCTGCCCGATGCCCCCTCCTTGTCCTCTCAGGGTGCTGCAGGCTGTGAGTGGCCTTCCCCTTGTGACTGTCCAGCTCTTGGGCTGAGCCTTGGAGAGGCACAGGTGGCCGCAGGTGGCTGTAGGGGGAGACCCCCAAGGAGGGCCCTGCCCTCTGGCTGCAGTGATGGGCTTCCTGGGGTGGGAACATTTGTTTGGCTCCACTGGGGAGACCTAAAGCTAACCCTTTGCCTTCCCCAGAATAGGCCCCTTTAGGGAGAGGTCAGAGGGGTCAGCTAGCCCTCCCGCCAATCCAGGACAGACCGTGCCACCATCCTGCCGTGGGCCAGGCTGGAGACAGGCTGGGAGCAGCATCCCCGGGCTGCTGTTTCCCTGTTTGTGGCCACCCAGAGATGGGCACCTTGCCATTGTAACTGACCAGGCATTACAGAGAATCACCAGCTCAGAAAATGTTGATTTATTTATATCTGATATTAATGGAGGATTATAGAGGCCAGCACTTGCTTTCCAGAATCTCAGACTGCTTCTTTCATAAAATGAGAATTTCTCCTAAATAAAGACATGGATGTGAGGGCCAGATAGTCCTTAGTTTTCTCCTAATGCTGCCTGCAGCACACCGGGGCCCTGGCCCCCTGAGGCTCCACCGCCTAAGCTGCACCACAGAGTAACAACACCTGCGCCCCCCGCCGCAGGCAATGGCTGGGGGCTGGGGAGGAATCGGCTGTGTTCCCACGCAGACTATGAAAAGCCAAGTGGAGAGAGGGCAGCCTGCCCCTCTCCTCGCACCTTGCTCCTCACCATCTGATGCTGGGGGCTGCTCCCTTCCCTGTGAACCTCCAGGGCCACGCAGGGAATCAGGCCGGGGCTGCCCTGGAACAGGCCCCTCTGCAGCCCACCACACTTAGACACCCACACCTCCTGCACCCCCTGACCTTACTGTGCAGAGCAGCGGCATCCAGAGGGAGGTGAGCCTGGAGCAGGCATGTCATTCCCATTTGATCCTGGTCTTGGTTCCTAAACAATGAATTGACAGATTGGGGGATGGGCTTCTAAGGGGGTGACGGAAAATTTGACAACCCTCCCCCTCCATGTCTGCAGAGAAGGGGTCAGTCTAGGTAAGCTAGACTCCAGGGGAGTGGCCATGTTCCCCTTTTTCTATCCTCATAAAACCCCAATTTTGTCTAGACAGACACTTACCTAGTCAAAGAGTGTTGACTGTCCAGCCTTTTTTGTAAGTAGGAGTGACCGTTGGCTAGTTGTGGCCATGAAATGTGGTGGAAGTCTGCCGAGTAGGACTTTCTGGGAATACTGTTGTTAGATAGATCTAGCAGGATTGTTTTTTGCCTCTGCCCCTTCTTCCTGTGAGAACCTCAGGTGCGATGCCTGGAAGCACAGCAACTATGCTGTGACCATGAAGACCAGGCAGCACATGAGATGTGTCAGTAGAAAGGCAGAGCTGGCGGCGTGGGAGCTGCTGCCTACCAGCCCTCCCAGCTCCACATTCCCTGGTGCTTTCCTGTGAAAGCCATCCCAGCAGGGGTTGTGTTCCACGAAGCCAGCACAGTGTCGAAATTGCTGTATCATCTGTCAACAAGACCCCAAGGAAAGCATCCTGGTGCATATATCTTCGTGAACATTCCTTATTCCTAGGGAAAAACAAAGAAGTTGTGTTCAATTTTAAGACCAGGTTTTCCTTTCCTTTCCTTGTCTAGCAACCTTCCCTTATAAAGGACAGGCAGGGCTTCCTGACCAGCTTCACGGCAAGATCTCAGGTGGATTCCAGTGAGCTATTTCCCTGGGCCGCTGCCCTTCAGCCTGCTGCCAGCTGCCAGCAGGGATGACTGACATCCAGAGTGAGGCCACATGGGGCTCACTGGGGAGTCAGGGCAGCTGGCCACAGCCTCGGCAGCCATGGAGTGGATGGAACAGCATGTTCAGTTCAGTCTTATTTTTAAGAACTCAGGGGTGTGTAGTCCACTTAGAGATGCTTTCATCAAAATGATTACAACAAAAATAATTGGCCTTGTGGGTAAATCCTTCAGTTGCTTTGAAGATTCAAGGATGAGAATGTCTCAGGGCCTCTTCCTGGGCAGCCTCTGCCCGCTGAGAACCTGGACTCACTCGGAATCAGGCTTTCTTTGCCGGCCAGGCCAGATGAGTTAAGTAGAGCCTGGCTGAGAGATGAGCCCTCTTATCCTTGGCTTTCCAAAGTGTTCCTTCACCTGACGGGGGGCCAGACTTGACTGGCCTTTGCATTTTGTTTGGTCTGCCCTGTTTAAAAATGTTTTGACTTTGTCACCAATTTTTAAGCTTTGGAGATTTCACTTAAAAACCTAGATTTGGGGTTTACTTAAAGAAATCAAGACATCAGGTGATACTGCGCTCACCTCCTCTGTGGTAGCAATTGCTGGAAGCCTGGAGGTCCCTTGGGGCTGGACATGTTTTTTTTCTAATTTGCCACAGTCCTTACCAATCCCTACTGTCCTCCAGTGGTGAGGCCAAATGTGTTAGTTGTTCATTCTTGGAAACAGGTGCTCATTTCCTACGTGCATCTGCTTCCTGCATTTATATCACCTGCATGGTTTCTGTTGGGATTTGAATCGCTCTAGGGAAACAGAACTAATAGAGCCTGAGCAGGCTAGGTGGCAGAGATACTCTGCCAACGGCCAGCACCAACCCCCAGCCCCAGAGTTCCCTGCTAGAATGGACTCACTGTATCCACACAGTTCAGTGTGGTGGCTGCACAGTCAGTGCTTGATGTTTGGCTGGTTTCATCAAGGAGTCAAACTCTGACGTTTTTATCTTAATTATTGATAATTCAAATTTGACACGTTCAATTTAAATTAAACACAGTTAAACACAGTTTGGCAGGGCATGGTCTGTACCTGACAGTGCAGAATTGGCCCACTCCTTTGGCTACCTGTATATTATTAAAGACGAGGCAAGTCTCACTTCGACTCCTGCTGGGGCCTCCCTGCCTCCGTTCTCATGTTAATCTGTCTCTTGTCTGTTCTGCACTCAGGAAGATGATTGTAAAACGTGATGAGGGCATATCACACCTCTGCCCAAAATTCCATGCTGGCTCCCCTCACCCTGCTAGGGGCTCCAAGACCTAAGGACCCATATGGGAAGGTCAGCAGAGGCAGCAGGGCCCCTTGGTGACTGAGGCCAGCCGGAAGGGGGGAGGAAGGTCTGGGACAAGAAGCCTGAAGGAAGCCCAGAGCAGCTCATGCCACCCAGAAGGCCTGCCCGCTCTTAGATGGGAGAAAGGACACGTTCTTTCCAAAGGTTCAATAAAGCTAACCTCACCCATTTAAAAATGTTTTTAAAATATGTTAGCCACTCTTGAAAAAGCCAAAAAGAAAAAAAAAAAAAAAAAAAAAAAAAAACACAAACCCAAAGGGAAAAGTCATCTTCATTGCAGCCAACTGTTTTTCATTAAACTTTTCCCCATTTATTGTGGTCAAATAAACATAACATGAAATTAGCCATCTTAACCGTTTTAAGTGACCAGTTCAGCCGCCTCATGTCCACTCACAATTGTGCAATCAACACCACATCCATCTCCAGCACTTTTTTTCCCCTAAATTGAAACTCAGTCTCTATTAAACACTAACTCCCCCTTCTCCTACTCCAGCCCTGGACACCCACATTCAGTTTTGTCTTATGAATCTGACTGCTTGAGGGACCTCATGGACTTGGAATCACACCGCATTACTTATTGGGAGGGGGTATGTGTGAGAGGATTCACCAGAGACAGCAGGGAGCAGAACAAGCAGATCTACTGAATTACACTGCTGAGGGGCGCAGCAGGGAGACAGGAGAGGTCTGCCACGCCATGTGGGTAGCTCCCTGGCCGGTGGGGGATCGAACTCCTGCTGCAGAGGCTGGGCTGCTTGATAGCGCCGCCTTTAAGATTGGCATTTTTGGAAGTTCACTAGCTCTTCCTTGAAGAGAATAGACTGGGTGGAGAGCGTGGCGGCTGGACCAGCTGTGAAGCCCCCTTCTTCAGATCCCAAGAACCCCGGAGTGGAGCCGGGGTCTGCCTGGGGCGGCAGGGCGGAGGCGCCCCAGAGGGACTGAACTGAGGAGGTGGCCGGGCCAGCGCGGCTGGGCTCAGGCAAGAACGAGGAAGAGCCGCAGGTGAGGTGTGAGGCTCCGCAGGAAAGGCGTTAGGAAATGCAGGCAGGGAGTCCCAGGGGGCCAGGGAGGGGCCGGGGAGCCCCGGGGACCCGCGGGCCGCGCCGGCCTGGGGGGGGGGCGGGGGGCGGGGGTCGGCTGTCCCCTGGCCCAGGAGGCCTCGCGCGCCCCGCCCCGCCGCGGCTCCCGCGCACGCGCAGCTCGGCCCGGCCCCGGCCCCGGCCCCGGGCCGCGCTCCGCGCCGGGCTTTGGCGCCGACCGGGGGGGGCGGCCGCGCTGCGTGGCGCACGGCGGGCGGGGCGGGGCGGGGCGGGCCGCGCTTCCTGCGAGGCGGCGCCCGGGACGCCGCGGCTGGGCCCAAGATGGACCACCCGGCGCGGCCGGCCGCTCCGACCCCGCGCGGGGCGCAACATGGCGGCGGGGGCCCCGGCCGGCTCCGGCGGGGCCCGGGGCCGCCCCCCAGCCCCGGCGCGGCGCGCCGCCGCCTGCTGCTGCTGCGGGGCCAGGAAGATGGCGGGCCGGGGCCGCGGGGCGGGGAGGCCCGGGCGGCGGCGGCGGGCCCCGGCGCGAGCCCGGCGCCCCCCGAGGACGGCGGCGACGCCTTCGTGGTGCTGCTGGAGGTGGCGCGCGACGCCGCGGCCGAGGCCCCCGGGCCGCGGGCGGCCGAGCCCGGCGCCGGCGCGAGCCCCGCCGGCCGCCCCGCGGCGGGCCCGAGCGGCGCGGCCGCCGCCCCCGGCCCCGGCGCGGCCCTGGCGGGCGCCGTCGCCCTCGACGGCCGCGACCTGCTCGTGCGCCTCGACCGCGGCGTCCTCACGCTGGCGCCCGCGCCGCCGCCCGCGCCCGCCCCGCCCCCGGGGCCCGCCCGCCGCGCCGGCCGGGGCCGCCGCCCGCCCGCCCGAGGCCCGCCGCGCACCCCCGGCCGCTGGCCCCGCGCGCGGCTACCGCTGCCCCGAGCCGCAGTGCGCGCTCGCCTTCGCCAAGAAGCACCAGCTCCAGGTGCACCTGCTGACGCACGGGGGCAGCCAGGGCCGCCGCCCCTTCAAGTGCCCCCTGGACGGCTGCGGCTGGGCCTTCACCACGTCCTACAAGCTCAAGCGGCACCTGCAGTCGCACGACAAGCTGCGGCCCTTCGGCTGCCCGGTGGGCGGCTGCGGCAAGAAGTTCACCACCGTGTACAACCTCAAGGCGCACATGAAGGGGCACGAGCAGGAGAACTTGTTCAAGTGCGAGGTGTGCGCCGAGCGCTTCCCCACGCACGCCAAGCTCAGCTCGCACCAGCGCAGCCACTTCGAGCCCGAGCGGCCCTACAAGTGTGACTTTCCCGGTAACCGCGCGCGGCCGGCGGGCGCGGGGGGCTCCCGGGACCCCGGGTCTGAATCAGGCGCCCCGCCTCCCCGCCTCCGGCTGCTGCGCCCCGCGGGATTTAAAGTCCGCGGCCCAGGGGGAGGGGCGCGGGCGCCGCGGGGTTGGGGTGCTGGTGTTTTCCGGGTGATTCGAGTGGACACCAAGCCCTGCATTGCCGCGGAACCATCGCGGTGGCCGCACCACCCATCCCGAGGGCCTTCCCGGGGCCGCGCGCGGCTGGCTGCAGACTTTCAGGGGCTTCCATCCACGGGAAGGCTCTTCCAGGGGTTTGAGTCAGGCCTCGGGTCTGTAGTTTCCCGTGTCCCCAGTCTTTCGTCAGCCGGGGGTTGGGGCGGGGGCAGCACCCCGTGCTGGACGCGCGCTGGGGAATCTAGCCGGATGCAGGACCTGAGACCCCCGGGGAGGCTGACCAGTGTATGGCGCGTTGCAGTTTGTGTCCCTTTTGAATTTGCATCTGCAGACTTCACGGTTTTGTGAAGTTCCAACAAGTTATCCTCATTTGGGGGATGAGAGAGACGGAGGCCAAGTAATGTGGGTAAAACCCAGAGGGGTTCTCGCTTGCTGCCATTGCCTGCGGGCTAGATGTCAGGCCTCCACACGGAGGAAGAGAAGGTTCCAGCCTGGAAGGAGTTGGCCTGGGGACTTGGGTGGAAGGCGGTGCTGGTGGTTGACACCGCTGATCTGGGGGTGGGGGGGGGGTGAGGAGCGAAGGGGAGGGGCTCCCGGTAGAGGCTTTCGGTCCCTTTAAAACAAAGACTGGTGTGTGCCCAAGGGGTGCAGAGATACGGTGGATCCCTGCTTGGCCCTCCTCAGAAGCTGTGGTGTAAAGCATGCTGAAATAGAGGGACTTTGAAAGAGTGACACGAACAGTGAATTTTAAGAGGTTCTGATCTTCCCCCCACTTGCCCATGGGCTGTCTAGCGCATCCTTCCTGGGCACTGACTGAAAACCTCTCCTTCGCGCACTCTGGGAACCTGACGGGGGTGTAGGTGATCCCCTGCCAGTGCACGAGGGGTGTCATTCTGAGTGTCCGACGAGGAAGATCAGGGACCCAGCTTGCTTTCAGGCATGAGGGCTTCCTCCGCGGGTTTTGAGTTGAATGATCAGTGAGTGTTCAGGTTGTGGAAAAGCAGGAGTGACACCAGCGAAGCCTCATTAAATGTTGCAGCCATGAGCTCCCTGGGGGCTGATCCAGGTAGAGGTAGTGTGACAGGTGAGGAGGCCGTGGTAGGAAACACGGCTGAGGCAGAATCTAAGCGCTTGATTGTTGAATTGGGGGCCAGGGTGTTGCTTCTTACTAAGGCACAGAGAGTTAGCCTTTTCTGATGTACCCGATGGCCTGCACGACGATCCCATTTCTCAGTTAAATGTTGCTGGGGAGTCCGTTTCTTGGGCGCCGGCTTCTGTGCAGCGCTGCGCAAGGCGGCGTGTGTCCGCTTGGTGGTTTTTAGGCAGGATGGCAGGTGTTGAAGGCTCTGGGAAGACCTGCGCAAAAGGACACTTGATAATCCTCTTGCATCCTCACATTTTCCACCCTATTTTAACTATGAATGTGTTCAGCAGAGAACGTTTGCTATGAAAAGTCGGGGAATTCTCCGATGTTTTGGCTTCTTTCACGGGAGCTGAAGATGGAGCGATGGGAACGGCCATGCTTGCAAAGATGGCCTGTGACCTCTTTTGTCAGAGGCGGGAGCACGGAGGCAATGGGCAGAAGGAGCCAGGGAAGCCAGCTGCCAGGGGCTGCCGGTTGCAGATGATGGTAGGGAGGACGTTTGCAAGTGTGGAGGGTGCAGTGGACCCCAAGCAGCATCAGAGTCTCACACATTACCCTGTTTTGTTGCCCTTTCAAGCACAACCCCTCCTTGTCATAAAGTTGACAAGGAAGAAAGACTCTCCACCGGACCTTTGTCTGGAGCTCGAACGTTCTCCGGGTGTCTCTGTGCTTTTCTTTGGGTACTCTGGTTTCCGCCCACATCCCAGAGGTGGTTCATTGGAGTGGCTCAGCCTGTGTATGAGGGCATCCCCTGACAGAAGGGTGTCCTGTCCAGGGCTGGTGCAGCCGTGACCCTGAGCTTTGGGGATGAGCTTAAGGGATCGGCTCCTGCCGCTAGTGACCCTGAACTAGGGGAAGAGGTTTAGAAGATGCATGATTATTGTCTAGTAGAAGTGTATAGGGCCCTTATTTAGAAGGTTGATGATGTTTTTGTCACCAGAAATAGCTGTAGGATCCCTATTAACGTGTATGACAATTAGCCTGTGGTAAAATTGGTTTCACGGGACACCCTCTCAATTCCAAGAACCTGTCAGCAATGTAAAATGAGGGCTTAAGGTATTCCTTTTCTCTCGTTGGATTTTCTTGGGTTGCCTGTGGGTAACATTGACAGTTGAGTTCACGGGAGAGACACATAAGCGGTGCGCACTGCAGAACCTGCGAGCAGGTGGCTGCGAGTGGAAGGCTTCCTCTCGGAGTCACATGATGGCAAGTTCCCCGTGTTCCCCACCCCACCAGCTTATTGGATGCCCTTAACCACCCTGCCATCCGTGTTCATAACTTTCTAAAGGTTTCTAAATCATGTTCTTCCCTGTCCACGCAGTGCCAGCAGTTTCCCAAGGGGCTGGGTGGGGGTAACTCGTTGAGCCGTCTTGTGCGATTTTGTCACGCTAATGAGCAGGGTTTGCTCTCTTTGCTCAGGCTGTGAGAAGACGTTCATCACAGTGAGTGCTCTGTTCTCCCATAACCGGGCCCATTTCCGGGAACAAGAACTCTTCTCTTGCTCCTTTCCTGGATGCAGCAAGCAGTACGATAAAGCCTGTCGTCTGAAGATTCACCTGAGAAGTCATACAGGTAGAGTGAAAACGTCATTTGGACCCAAAGTTTATCTTTGTGTTAGCTTTTGGATTTACAGTGACGCAGTGTGATTCTTTTCTTTTCTAAGGTGAAAGACCTTTTATTTGTGACTCTGACAGCTGTGGCTGGACCTTCACCAGCATGTCTAAGCTCCTGAGGCACAAAAGGTAATCTTCGAGAGTGTATGAATTACCCCCTGTGGAGATGAGTGGTTTGTCAGTAGCAGAAGCCTGTGGATAAAATATCTATAGGGGTCCCGTCCGTCTAGTCCTAGTCGTCGTTGCCCCCCCCCCCCCACCATCCCTTATCCCCCTTTGGCCCTTCGCCGCTCTTATCCTCAGAGATAAGTCTGCTTATCTTCATTTTATTAGTGTCTGCTAGTTTTTATAAGTATCTTGCTTTTTTGGACCGTCTGCTATGTGTATGTCCAGTATTTATTTTTTTTGTCACTCTGACTTGTTTTACTACAGTTTCCTCTAACTTCCTTTTTCTCTTAAGTGGCAACATTTGCCTTTCCTTATGATTGAATAATATATTCCATTCTGTGCAGATTTTTTTTTTTATAGAGGCATGTTTTATTTATTTATTTTTTTGTTTGTTTGTTTTGTTTATACATGCACTGGGTACAGTCAGAAGCACAGGAGGGTGAGAATTCACCAGAGCCAGAGCGGGGAGCAGAGCAGGCAGAAGGACCGAAGTACACTGCTGAGGGGAGCAGCGGGCGGCAGGAAAGGTCTGCGCACCATGCGGGACTCTCCTCCGGTGGCCGGGGAGCAGCCGGGGATCGAACTGGCACTGCAGAGGCCACGGGGATCGAACTGGCGCCGCAGAGGCTGCGGGCAGCTTCGCAACCCAGCGCTCAACCGCTGCGCCACCAGGGAGGCCCTCTGTGCAGATTTTTTAAGTTATAATAAAAGAAGCTCAGTGTACATAACGTGGAAAGTTCAGAAGGCTATTAAAAAAAATTCACTCTGATCACCTAAAGAGATTTTCATCTATATAGACTTTTTTTGAAAAACTTAACACTGCAGTGCATGCTTTCCTTATGTGAGGAAAGTTTCTTCCACAGACTCCATGGTGATAATCACCTTGGGGGGCTTAGTGTGTGCACTGGTAATGCTTGTGCTTTACCTGTGAATCTCTAACCTCTGCCACAGCTCTGATGTGGGTATTCTGTTTTGCACTGGGACTGATGGAGGTTGGGTGGTTTGTCTACACTTGTGCAGCTGGGGTTTAAAATGAAAATATTACTTAGGGCGTCCCTGGTGGTGCAACCTATGCAGCTGTCCACAGCCTCTGCAGCAGGAGTTCGAACCCCCAGCCTGCCAAGGAGCAACCTACATGGTGCAGCAGACCTCTCCTAATTCGCCTGCTGCTCCCCTTAGCAGTGTACTTCGGTTGATCTGCCTGTTCTGTTCCCTGCTCTGTCTCTGGTGAATCCTCTCACTCCCCCCCCCCCCCCACACACACCTCTGGCCTGTACTCCAACTCTTGTATGCATAAATAAATCTTTAAAAAAAAATTACTTAGGAATAGGAATGGGTGACTTGAGAGTGTCCTTTTAGCCTGGTAGTCAGTTCTCTGTGCACACGTCTCATTGTCCTCTATAACTTATAAAACTTGTTTATTATCAGGATTTCTAAATAGTGGAAGCAGCTTCATTAATACATTTGGGACTCAGCTGTTCCTGGATCAAAGCAGCACTAATTGTTGTGTCTGACTCGTGTAGCTTAGTCATTAAAATAGAATTTAGAGTTACAGGTAAGTAAGGTAACTAAATTACAGATCTCCCTATACAAGCTAGAGGTAGAATGAAGATTTTCTGCAATATGCTGATCTTTTTTCCAAATGTGAAGAGCTTGTGCTTTGGTATAGTTTACAGAATTTTAAACAGAGAGTCACCTCTGAGACCTGGTGCCCCTGGTTGTGTGCGGAACCAGCATTACCTTGCTTTTCTGTCCCGGCAGGAAGCATGACGACGACCGGAGGTTCACCTGCCCCGTGGAAGGCTGTGGGAAGTCGTTCACCAGAGCAGAGCATCTGAAAGGCCACAGCATCACGCACTTGGGCACAAAGCCGTTCGAGTGTCCCGTGGAAGGTAGATTTTATTGTTACTCTGAGTTCTAATCTAGTACTGTGTTCACTTCTATGTAAGTTTTAAATTGTTTAAACGTAAGTTTAAGTTGCTTAAAGACAATATGAATGGCAGCATTATGTTGGGTTGGCTCATTTTTACTTAATTGCTCTATTTTGGGAGTAACATACTGGATAAAAACAGACTTCAGAATCAGACCTGGGTTGACTACTGGCCGCTGGTACATCTACTAGATGTGGTTGCAGTTAGTTACCTGTTTAATTGTGTGATTGTGAGGTCTGGGTACAATAATATGTGACAAATGCCTGTTTTGGCATCTGTCCATATTATGGACTCAGTAAATGGTAACTAATCATGCTGTGATTGGGCAATAGTAAAACTAGGCTTTCTGAAAAGTATTAAGAAGATCTTTACCCCTCTAGAATGCCAAAGGTATGATTCTTCACCAAAGGTGAATGCCAACTCAACCCCAGTACTGCCTTTATGGCTTCTTTCCCTGAAGTAGCCCTGCTCCAGACTCAGGCATGGGTACCCACCTTCCCGGCATGTCCGCTTTCACAGGCACTGTGCAGGTACTCCCTACCACAGGCGCCGTGCAGGTATTCTGTAGGTTGTGCTGTTCGATTGATCCTCTTGGTCCCTGCAAAGCAGGTGTCATTCCCACTTTACAGACAAGGAGATTCAGAAAGGATAAACAGGAGCCTGAGCTAGAGTTGGAATCCAGTCGTGCTGGTTTGAACTCCTGCCGCCCCTGTGGGCTCCACACCTGCTCCTGGCAGCACCTCTGGCCTGGTGTCCTTTTGCTCCGCTGTGGGTGGCCCCACTGTTCATCAGGGCCCAGTCACCTCGGATGCCGTCTGCCTCCTGTGACCTTCATCTGTTCTCTCAGGAGGCATGCTCTTTCTCTCCTTCCAAACACATCACGATTTTAATGTCGATTTTATCTTGCCTTTTGTGTGATGACCAGTTGTTTACATGTCCTTGCCATATCACTAGCTAATAGCAGCCGAGGACTTCTCTGGGTCCCCGTGGAACAGAAGTCCAGCCATGGGAATCAGTGCGAAGGGAAGGTGGCTGTGGTTTTGAATTTATCTTGTTTTCCCTCTGACAGGCATGCAGGTTTGTGGTCTTCCTGACTGGCTAAGCAGTGAAGCGGGCAATGGGGCAGTGTGAGCTTCAGGCTCCACTCAACCTCCTACTTAAGGCCATTTGTTTGACCCATCCACCCATCCAGGCCTCTGTTTCTCACTGATCAAACGAGAGGGACTTGGGTGGTCTGTTCAGTGTTCATCTCGCGGTGTCATAGGATTACAGTCGCTCACATCGTAGTAGCTTAACTACTGTGCGGTATACATCTTCAGCAGTGGAGTTCAAGGGGTTGTTTCATTCTTGCCTTAATCTTCCCAGCAGCCCTGTGTAGTGGATAAAGGAACCCAATCAGAGTAATTTGTCCAAGGTTGCGTGTCTTACACACAGCTGACATGGAACTTCCAATCTTCTTTTAAAATCAGAGTTTGCTTTTGGATTTAATTCCTTACACTGCAGTTCTAAGGGCTGTTGGGTATTTGCCTCTTGCCAGTGACTGAAGGTGGACATGTGTTGCCTCATGCTCCTGATGTGATGAGAAGATGGCCGCACTGCCTCCTTGGTAATCTTTAGGTTTAGCACTGGTTTCTTCTGTTTCAGGTTGCTGTGCCAGGTTCTCCGCTCGCAGCAGTCTGTACATTCACTCTAAGAAGCACCTGCAGGATGTGGGTGCTCCGAAAAGCCGCTGCCCAGTCTCCAGCTGTAACCGCCTGTTCACCTCCAAGCACAGCATGAAGGCACATGTGGTCAGACAGCACAACAGGCGCCCAGGTCTGCTTGATTTATGTCCCTCTTCGGGCACTACAACGAGGTAGAAAGAATAAGATGCTCCCTCCTTAGCTCCTTTTTGAAGTTTTACTTTTATAGGTTAAGTAAATCGAGTGCAGTGACATCTCCCTGCATGGACCGTGGCTTCCAAGCCCAGCGGCCTCGCTTGGACTCTGCTGCCACTTTCTTGCCTCTGTGCATTCCTTGGTGACCACTCAGTCTTCTGCTGCGTGGGCTTTTCCTGGCTTGTGTCTTCAGACTCTCTCCCACTGTGGCTTTTGTCCTCCCCTTGTCTGTTTTCATCCTTCTGAGTCCCGTCTTTCTGAGCACTCTTGTATGTCTCCTCCATCCCACTGTCGTGGAACGTCCTCGAAGATCAGAAAAGTTGCATTTCAAGACAGGATTGGGATGAGAGGCCTGGAAAAGGCAGGACAGTGAGGGATCCATGACGGTCGTCCTCCACTGTGCCCTTTTTCCTTCCCTGACTCTCGGAAAAGCCATCATTCATTTCTGTTCATGTATTTCTTTGCTCTGACTGAACGTGAAAGCCTCTCAGGCTTTTGTGATGCCTGTGCCCCCACATGTGTGACATGATACTAGTTCATCTATGTCGTTCTGTCTGCTGCATGCCAGGAGTAGATGGCCAGATCCATTGCCACCTCTTGAGCCACAGGCACTTGGGGTGTCCATTTACTGTGGGCCAGCTCTGCTAGGGGCTGTATCAGGCCCTGGTTTGAGTTCATCCTCAGTGGTGGTCCTGAAGTGGGGGTCCTGGCCCCGCTATCACTGACAGAGAAGCCAAGACAAAGGAGAACCTGAGGTGACACAAGCAGTGAAGTGCTGGTGTGAGGCCACAGTTGTTACCTTATGCTGGTGGTCTATTAATTTTTTTTAATGATTTTTGACTATCTGGCTCTTGTACATAGCAGGTCTCCAGTACATATTAGTAGAATTGTTAAAAGCCAAATAGGAAATTTATAGATGAATTGTTGTTTTCATTTGCACTGAGGTGATAATTCTTAATCTTTTCACAGGGCTGGATCCTCAAGGTGAAGGGAATTTTTGGAAAGTTGTGGAAATGTGGCATGGGTTTCCGGTTTTAATTTCTCTAAAGAATCACATTCCCCTCCTCCCCCTCCCCGTTGGTGCTCACAGAGAGATTTACTGAGGAAGCAGTCATATATTATTCCTACTTTTAAACTGTAACATGACAACTATAGGAAAGATATATTCTGAATTTGGTTAATTCTTTTGGGGGTGGAGGAGTTTCAAATAGATTCTTCCATAGGTTTATATTACAAATCTAATCGGCATTCTGCCTGGGCATCCAAAGCTAGAAACTGTGCTGAGGAGCAGCTAACAGTTGGTGTGGGAGGAATAGACCAGAGACTGAGAGAGTCTTTCCCTTTGGCCGGGCACTGGCACATTCAAGGTACACATAGAAATTTCTTTAGAGAGAATAAGATCAAAACCTTGTGTGATGCCTTTGCCCACATTCTTTGAGCCCCCATTTTGTTTGCTTGGTGCTTGGAGGTCCTAGGATTTGAGATGACTGGCGGGTATTTGTGTATGCCTGACTTGAATTGTTCACTGACATTTTTTGAAAGTTCGTTAATGTTCCTTATTTCTCCAAGGATGATTCTTACTTAAATTAATTGAGGAACTATCAAATATTTGGAGAGTGTTAACACGCAGCAATTAAAACTGAATGAAGAGGACTCTTAATATTTCTATACTTATTAAATGATGCTTAAGGCCCAGGCACCTGATGGTATAGGGCCAAAGATGTGTCCCCTAGACTCTTAAGATGGTGATAGCCTGAGGGGATGGAAGGCCTGAGGGAGCATTAGAGGGAGTACATTGGTGGTAGGGGGAGCCCATCTGGAGAGTCTCTGTCCTGAAGCTCTTAGTCCACAGTGCCCTGGGGAATCAAATGTCCCAGTTCTCTGCACCTCCCTAGAGTTGTAGCCTTGATCCTGCCCAGAGTTAGGCCAGTTACTTCCTACTGATCACCCCGAGATGACTCAGATCCATTCTGGAGTGGCAGCTAGTTGTGGAGTGGGGCATAGTTTGATGAGACTTAAACTGACACAAGCTGATTCCAAAAGTAGCCTAGAGGCAGAGTTCAGCTTGTATCTGACTTCTGAAGATTTGCTTTCCATGGAAAGTGTTAGTCTCAGAGGTAGATACTGTGGCATAGCAGTATAGGGTCTGAAGCTACAAAAGACATGGATTCAAGTCTTGCTTCTTCTGTTATCAGTTAATATGACATTAGGAATTCTTGAGTCATTTTTTCTGTTTGGAGAAATTCCTGTCAGCTCAAGGACTTGACATAAGCTGGAAAGATGCCCACACACCATCAAGCAGTGCCTTCCTCAGTTTGTGGCCACCTGTACATGCCGGGCCTCGGGGCAGGAGGAAGGCAGTGGCTGCTGCAGAGAACTGGACATCTTATTCCCCTAGGCACTGTGGATTAGGAGCTTTAGGATGGAGCCCCCAGATGGGCTCCCCTTACCACCAAAGCAAATGGGTCATTTGCTAAAACTTTCTAGTCTTCTGAGGGCACAAAATAACTGGAATATTCATTCATTTTTCAGATCTCTTCCCTCAGCTCGGCGCACCTAGTTCTCTTACGCCCAGCAGTGAACTCGGCAGCCCAGGCCAAAGCGAGCTCAACAACATAGACCTGGCGGCACTCTTCTCCGACGCCCCTGGCGACGGTAGTGGGGCACCCGGCTCCTCTGAGGAGGCGCTGAACCCTGGAATCCTGACTATTGATGTGACTTCTGTGAGCTCCTCTCTGGGGGGCAACCTCCCTGCTAATAATAGTTCTCTCGGGCCCGTGGAACCACTGGTCTTGGTGGCCCACAGTGACATTCCTCCGAGCCTGGACAGCCCTCTCGTTCTTGGGACAGCAGCCCCAGTTCTTCAGCAGGGCAGCTTCAGTATGGATGACGTGCAGACTGTGAGTGCGGGAGCATTAGGCTGTTTGGTGGCTCTGCCTGTGAAGGACTTGAGTCAGGAGCAACAGACCTTGACCTCCAGCAGTAACTTAGCAGTAGACACCACCACACTGACCTCTTCGAGCGCCCCCCAGGGAAACAGCAGTGTCCCAGAGCTGCTGGCGCCAATCAAAGTGGAACCGGACTCGCCTCCTCGCCCTGATGCTGTCAGGCAGCAAGAACGAAGCAGAGGGGTGCCCCGGTCTGTGTTCTCCAACCCTGCAGAAAAGCACAGCCCTCAGACAGACTCAGGGCTCAGTGCAGGGACCGGCAGCTTTTATTTGGTATGAAGTGCTATATTCGGTCACCACCACGTAGCTCACCTCTCTTACACTCAATTTTGAGGATGTTCTGGATTAATCATGTACGTGCAGACATTTCTTACTGTTTTGCAAAAGGATGGAGCCCTGGACTACAAGTCTGGAAATACGAATTCTGATCTTGAGTCTGGAACTGACTAGCTTTTATGACCTTGAGCAAATCACTTAACCTATCTGAGCCTTAAATTCTCATTTATTTCTAAAATGAGGGGTTTGGCTAGATGATTTCTAAGGTCCTTTTGAGTTCTGTGATTCCATGATAATAATGTTTCTTCCCAAAAAATTGGGTTATGTCATAATGTTGAAATGTTCTGCCTTTGTGCTTTTTACGTAATGACATCCTTAGATTTACTAATGACCAGGGGAAGAGGAATCATGACGTCAGCTGTCTTTGAAGGTTCAATGGAAACTTTAAAAACCTGCAAAAACCTTTTTTTAAAAATTAGAATTAACAAGATGAGGAGGAAATGGTTTGTGAGCCTTTATATTTGGGGAGGTTATATTTTGAGGCTCAATAGTTAGTATACTTTAGTTCTATTTATGTCAGTTATACATTTAATATAATTTAATTTAAAATAATTTAATTGAAGATTTTTTGGAAAGAGTCTGACTTTTTTCTCCATCTCAGATGGGCAGGATCAAATTGGTTTTTCCTTTGTGGCACAGGTTAAATTTGATGGTGATACTTGTGTTGCTCAAAATGTTAACTATTATTTTATCACAACTTAATAAGTTAAACGTGTGGATTAGGATCAATTATGAGGGATGTGGTAACCCATCTACCATGGAGCCAGCTTTGATTTCTTTCTGTCTGAGCAGCGGTCTGTCGCCTTTCTTCTGGAGTTTTGCTTGTCAGTGGCTTAGCTGTGCTTGCTAACCTTTGCTTCAGTGGCCACAGCAGTTGCTAAGCTGGCAGGTGACTGGGCCAGGAGGGGAGCTGCCCGGGCCTCAAATGAGGGGGAAGGCGGAGCCTGTGTGCAGGGCTAGAGTGCCTTGGGGAGTGGTGGTTCTCCGGTGCCACTATCTCCTGAGCCTTCGTGGTGGGTGGAGGCAGGAGGAGCTGGCGCAATCTTGATCCTTACCCCTTGTTCATTTTCTCGCTAGCTGTGTGAAGTTGGGCTGCCTCGATTCTCTGAGCACAGATGGTGTGTGGTGAATGGGTTACAGGTATGCCACAAGCTGTTGAGGGCTATTCTCTATCCAGTGATAAATATTAAACTTTTTCTTAAAAACTTTAACAAATTCCTGACAGTTGAAGGCCTATTTGAATCCTGTTTGAATTCGGTAACACAATGATTGTTTTGGTGTTTTAAGACTAAGCAGAGCACCTACCTGCTGCTCTGGGTAGCCTCTGCGGTGGGATGGGAACCAGGGCCACCTGAGGGCTGCTGCACAAGTGCGATGTGGCTCCTTATGAGAAGGGTTGGCAAGTGCTACAGCAAATTAATCCGGAATCACCAAGGGAAGGCTGGTTATTTGTTTCAGACAACAGAGAAGTATGTAATTCTTTTTATAACAGTTCCTGTGTAAAATATTTTAATATGTTTTAGTCTTTGGAGGAATAAACTTTGCTTCTCTGGATAATAAAATTATGTATATTGTTCCAACTCTTCGTTTAGCTGTCACTATAATTGGATGTAGCATTTGATTCTGTGTGAGCCTCTGCTGGAGTCTCAAAGATTATTGGACTCAACTCTGTTCCAGAAACAGACTTAATGCGATTCAGTAGTTCCCTTGCTACCCTGCCACCCTGCCTTTGCTGTTTGCATCAAGTGACTGACACACTTTTCTTTGGTCTCAGGAAAGTGGGGGCTCAGCAAGAACTGATTCCCGAGCCATTCAACTAGCCAAGAAAAAAAAGCAGAAAGGAACTGGGAGCAATGCAGGTGAGGCTGTGTGTGCTGCAGTGTGGGGGAGCAGGGGGCGAGCGCCACCGAGGGGCTTAGGTAAGGAGCAGAAGCGCATAGAATAGGAGTTCTTATGTTCTTTGTGTAACTTTTGCGTTTGTAGTGCCCTTGTATCAATTCTTGAGTTTTATGTGAACTTAAGGAAAAAAACTTAGTTGCACAAACCTCAGTACAAGTAGGGTGTATTTACCTAAAATGGTCGTGTGAGAGTTAGCAGTTGCAAACTCCGGTGTCCGTTACTAGGCAGGCTGCAGGTGGAAAGAGCAAAAGCAGACCAGATGTCAGAAAAGCAGGTGGGAACCTGATCCTTGGTGGTTGCTGGCCCCTCATTTTGGCCTTGGGAAGAGCCTGGGGACAGGGTGTCCCAGGGTGGGAGTTATGTTGAGCCTGCCCCTGGATGTCATATCATATCAGAATTACAGCTAATTGTAAAGTGTCAGCAGCTCATTTGAACTTTTTAAAATTTTTTTTGAACTTTTTTTAAAAAAAGAAAAACATTGGGCCTCCCTGGTGGTGCAGTGGGTTGAGCGCCGCGCTGTGAAGCTGTCCGCAGCCTCTGCAGCGCAGGTTCAATTCCAGGCTGGCCAGGGAGAAACCCACATGGCACGCAGACCTCTCCTGCCTCGCCCGCTGCTCCCCTCAGCAGTGTCTTCAGTCCGTCTGCCTGTTCTGCTCCCTGCTCTGTCTCTGGTGAATTCTCTCACCCTCCCGTACCTCTGACTGTACCCCAGATCTTGTATAAATAAATAAATCTTTTTTAAAAAGAAAAGAAAAGCATTAAGTGGACCAAACAGAACCATACGGGACCAGACTGCTAGTCCATGGCTTCGTGAGTCTCTCAGTCCCTCCACCCTGAAAATGGAATTAGTGGGATGCAGTGATGGGTTTACTCTAGTTATAGTATGTTCTTTTGTAACAGGGTGAATTCTTTTGATATATTATTTTGTATATTTCCTTTGTCTTTTATATTCATCTAAAGTTTATTTTTAAAATCAAAAGGGATACGTAGAACCAGCAATAGAGTTTTATATCTTCCTGTTTTTAATGTGACTACTTATTTAAAGTAGCAGTGATCCCCTATTTTCTCTTCATCAGTTTTGTAAAATAATTTTGCCCTATAGTGACAGAGAAAGGGTCACCCCTGCTGCTCACAAAGTGCCTGCCTGGAGTTGGCATAGATGGGATATGCTGCTGTGGTGCAGTGGTGGGATCTGGAGAATGAGAGACTGTAGCAGGTACTAGGCAGAGTTCACGAGGGAGAGCCCATACTCTAACCATGATGGGTCATCAAAGCTTGAAGGGAAAAGAAACTGTAGACTTTCAGGCATATATTACATATTATCCGTTGCATTGTTTTGAGGTTGCATCTAAATTATTTTTTTAGTAATTTAAAAAAAACAGCCATGTATTATCCCTTCTTTAAAAGTTAACAGTATTTTAATATCTAACAAGCATTTAAAAATTATCAGGTGTTTCAAATACCGTGTTTTTTTATAGTAGCATCAGGGCCAGCATCCAAATAAGATTCATGTTGCTATTGGTTGATGTGTTGCTCGCATCTCTTCTGTAGGCTTCTTTCTCCATCTCTCTCCCGTGTGTTTATTGAAGAATGTGCGTGGTTTGTGCTATTGAGATGGCCAATGTGGATCTTGCTGATTGCATCACTGTCATGAAGTTTAACAGGTTCTTCTGTCTTCTGTGTTTCCTATAAATTAGTAATTATATCTAGAGGCTTGATCTGATTGAAATTTGATTCTTGGAGGAGTGTTTGTATGTAGTAGGCTGGCAAAACTCCTTTGCAGGTGGTGATGGGTTCTCCCTGACGTCTGGCTGTCCATTCGGTGTTAGAAGCCTTTGATGACCAGTCACTACATCTGTGAATTTTTCAGTCGTTGGAGAAAGATGATACTCTGTCATCCCTTCCTCACTACTAGCTAGGAAACTTCAGTGAAGAGCAACGTCTTGTGAGTGCTGTACTATGAGGTGTACAGATCCTACAGAAAAGTCAGGATAAATGTCTGAATATTAATTTTCAAAATAATGAGCTATTTTCTTAACATCCTCCAGTGGTGGGGCAAAACATTTTTATGTTCATTGACTGAACCATGGAGAAGTTACTTTTCCGTGTGTAGTTGATAAGTGTATACTTGGAGGATTTCCTTTTGAGATGGTGTGCTCGGTCTTGGTGGTCTTCAAGTTCACCTTCACTTCAGTCATCAGCTTCTCCAGGACTCAGACCTTAAGGTTATGGTGTATTGCAGTGAAGGGACATGAAATAGTCAAGGGACATGAAACAGTAGGGCCTAGTCCTAGCCCAGCGCTTTTAGCTGTCCTTCCCTTGGAGTTGTGGATAGTTCTAGCTTCTCCCATCATGTGACGACATATACAACCTTGCCAGCCGGTGGAACTCATCAGGGCCTTGCTTGCCCAGACATGATCAGGGCTCGACTGCACGGACGTGCTGACTGTCCACGTGGCCGCCTTAGTCACCAGCTCCTCCCTAAGGTGGGCTGACACTGTGACCTCAAGCTTCCAGCATAAGTCATATTGTTAGATTCTTTGGGAGTGGCTCCAGGGCACCCAGATAAATAGACACTCAAAGTGGGACATTCCAAAACTTTGAGATTCCTTCCCAGGAGCTGGGGGCAAAGGCCATACTTCTCCTTGGGTAAGGTTAATCCAGTCTCACTCACTGTGTAAATGCCCTGTTTCTCCTTAAGGCTCCTACTAAGTCAGCACTTCAGAGTGGATTTGCCTGTGGTATTACTGTGGCGTTCTGATGGTGATTTCCTGTTTTCCTCATTCTTGGGCATACATTATTTAGAATTCTTTTGTGAGAGAAAGAACTGTACTTTCTCTTCCATTTATTCAGTTATATCTGCATCCACTCAGAAGTACTTATCGCACCTTTTTGGTTATAATCAGTATGGGATCATCAATATTGTCAGTATTTTGCTGCTTAAACTGTCCTAGCTGTGGCCATTGGGAACTCTTGATTGGATTCTTGTGTGCTTTTGATATGTCCCTTCCTGGTTTTTGTGGGGGTGGGGCTTAAGGAGTTGCTTCAGTCTTTCTGGCAGGAGAATGAAGAACTATCAGGCTCATCTTACAGTATTCTTACTCCAGCCCTGGAAGTGGCCACTTCCCCAATTAGACCTGTTCCTTTCATTGGAGAATGGTATTGGAGGCCAAGGCCTGGACACTGGAATTGCTGGTTGCTCCTTCCTACCTGGGAGTCATTAAGTCTAGGCTGTCAGTGGTCAGTGCCCGAAAGTGAGTTTATATATATATTAGCCAACACTGACTGTTTTTAATTCATCAGAGTTCAAATTTTAAAACAGTAATATAGTTCATGTGTCTGTGTTTATTAACACCACTACTCACTATACCAGTACTTTTCGGTGGAATATATTCAAGAGACACCAGTTCAGGTCAGCTGGTGCTGCTAAAGTATTTTTGGCTCCAATCTTAGAGGGTAAATGGTTTGGGAGCTTTTTGGGTTTGGAGAGTTTGATTAGGGGATTAAGGTGTAGTAAGTCCAAGAACAGAGAAGTTGCAAGGTAACGGGATTTGGTGGGATTAAGTTGTTTCGACAGTAGAGACTTCATTATTGTCAATGTAGCTAAGGACAGAAGCAAAATCGTGCAGTGTGAATAATTCAAAAAACAAGATGCAGCGTTTAAATCCAAGACTATTCCCATTGGATTGCTTCTGAACGTAGAAAAGAAAATCGTGCCAGTTTCTTTGCCCTAGCACGTGGCATTCCACCTCAGAATAATCAGAATATTTTCTCAACATAAAAAGTCGAGAAATTTTATTCTTGAAAGTGATAGCAAAATAAGCTTAAAAAATGTAACCAATTTCAGAGCTATAAACAAATGTGTGCTTTTCTGCTCTCTCAGAGTAGAGAAAGTAGAGTGTCCACCAAAGAGACAGTAGCAGCGAAACATGAATCTGTGGATGATAAAGATGTGTGCTGTTCCTGGTAAAAGAGGCAAAGAGTGAATTAAGAGGCAAAATTCCAATGACATGTTGTTTAGAAGAGGCACATCCAGGATGGAAATATTTAGAGGAGTTCAAATTAAAACAAGATAAAAGAAAAAGTAAGCACAAAGCAGGAATTCATGCTAAGATCAGAGGTGTAGAATTCAGAGGAAAGTAATCAGACCAGGGAAGATTTCCCCTGTATTTTGGTTGCTAATCACATATAACTCACACGCAGAGCTTCACGACTTGCTACTAGAGACTGACATGAAACCTCACAATATCAAATACACAAAGTAAAAACTCAAAAATCTAGGAGAATTTGATAAATAAAAAGCAATATTGGAAGTGGTTAATTGAACTCATTTTTGGATCAAGTCGGACAATATAAAAATATGAAAGATGTTTGCAATAGAATTAATAAAATTGATGTAATAAATGTTCCATGTCCATGGAATATTCATAGAATTAAACTGAATAAATTTAAACCATCCATCAGGAAAACTGTAACAAAGTTGATAGCAGAAAGTAAAAATCAAGTCAGCAGTACATGTTTTTGACCATGATGTGGTAAAACAGGAAGTAAAAATTACATAGAAAACAGACACCTGCCAAACTCTTGAGTAAAAGAAGACATAAAAGCCAACGACAAATGCTTACGGAAGAATTGGGTAACTGTGGTTATGAGCTGAGTTCTTGCACAAGCAGCTTCCTATGCGTCAGTTTTCTCCTTTGTAAAGTAGTAATAAAAGCACCTCTTTAGCATTCTTATGGAGAGAGAGTGAGATAATACAGGTTAAGTGACACAGAATGTCAGTTAATTATTGTTGCTGTTATAGATGAGGGGGCGGGGTTGTGGCTGAAACTAGATGCAAGTTTATGCCGTGACTCCTTTTCTGTTAAAAAGAAAGCAGCTATTAAATAAGAAAGTAGGCTCTTATTTCAAGATGGGAAAAGAACAAACCTAAGTCAGAAATCCTTTTTTGAGATGGAAGTGTGACAGCCTATTCAGATATTGAAAAACATTCTCTGGGCCAAACAAATATCCTTCCGGTGGACAAGAGCCTCTGTCTGGTCAGTCATCTTCTACTTCTGAATGATACTACCACAAGAAAAGGAAAAAGCATAATTGAATTTCATATAAATACCATGTAAATTCCTTGATAATAAGTTGGAGTACCTGCAATAAAATGCATAGTTTTTAAGGAAAACAGAAACCACCATTATTCTGTGAAATAAAGACAAACCCTCCAGCAGCCGTGGATGAAGTTTGCTCTTCTTTGGCTCGTTTGCCCAGCGGTCACACAGACAGGTTCTGCTTCTCTGTGGAATATACAGGAGATGGTGTTCCAGAGTGCTGTGGAAAACTGGACACTTCCAAAGCCTGACATAGATACCCTTCAAAAAAGAGAGCTGTAAGTCAGTGATACTTGAAAATGGAAATGTTCTCAATAAAACGCAATTTTGGCAATGGAATTTAGTTGGGTAGCTTGAGAGTTACGAGTGTAAGGGAGTCTGTTACTCGGTTTATTGCAGTAACAGGTCAATGAAAAACTGATTTTCCCAACAGACTTTGAAAAATTAATGTATATTACCAATAAAATAGGAATATAATAGATAACCCAAACCAAGAGCCAACATCATACTCCATGGTGAGTTACCAGAGCCATTCTACGTGCACCCAGGAATTTCTTTTATTACCATTGTTACTTTTGGTATTTAACGTTCTGGAACTTCTTGCCATTGAAATAAGCCAAGAAAAAGAAATAACTGTAGGATGGAGACAAATAACTTTGAGATGATTTGGGTTTTCTAATAAACAGTCAAAAGCATCAACTGAAAAATGACTAGAGCTTAAAAGATGTTTAAGTGGCCTGTTACAAAATTAATGTATACCATTAGGAATGTTCTCTGTGGCAGCAACTAGTTAGGAAATGCAGTGGGAGAAAAGACCTATTTAAGATAACAAAAAAAAATTGCAAAATATCTGGAGGAAGTTTCACAGAGGGCCGGAACGAAATGGCAATGACAAAATTTGACTGAGAGACAGCGAGAATGCTTCTGGGTGGAGCCTCCCTGTGACCAGCCTAGCTGTGTGCCAGATGGAAACACAGGTAAACAACACAGACATCGCTGTTTGCATTCCGATTCGATAAACAAGAAAGGCAGTGAATTGAATGGCAGTGTGAGCAAACAAGGAAAGCGGTCTGGTGGTTTGTAGTTCTGTATAAGAGGAATACAGCCTCACAGAGATAATAGAGATAATGACACAAGGTGAAGAAGGGCTCACGCCTGAGGCTGCAGGGTGCTATCAGGAGAGGCCGTTGTCATGGCACAGCCCAGGCGAGTGTTTTCGGGAAAGCCGTCAGAGAGTTGCTGACAGGCCAGGCAGTTGAGAGCCTTGGAGATCTTTGTCAGAACTTTGGCTTTCACGCAGTCAGTTGGGAAACCACTGGAGGCATAATTAGAAAGGTGACATGATCTATTTTAAAAGATCATTCCAGCTGCTCTTCTGAAAATAACCGAAAGGAAGGAGAGCAGAACAGTTCCAAGAGTGGCCGAGGTCAGCGTGGTCGCCCGGCAGTGAAGAGCAGCGGTCGATTCTGGACCTGACTCAAAGGTCCAGCCAAGATCTGCTGGCAGCTCTGGGGTGCAAGAAGGAAGAAGTCTTTGTTGCAGACATGCTACATGCTCACCCTCCCCACATACTTGAATGTAATTCCACTGGAAATTCCAGAGAGATTTCAGAGTGATTGTCTAGGAACCAATGAGCAAGAAATCCTAAGGAAACATGGAAAAACCAGCAGAGAGGAGTTGCACTGAGCTTGCTAGGACCTCTTGTAAGCTCCTGCAGCTGAAGATGGCGGTGCCACTGCCCGTGGCAGGCTGGACACCTGGGAAATACCCACCATCTTGGCTGTTCTCCTGTGTGTGTAAAAGTGACTTCCATGTATTGGTAAATGAGCAATGATGGCCTTTTGGGAAAAAATATTGAAATTCCATTTTGGTCAAAGAGTAAATGAGAGGCTTATGGTTTTTTAAAAGCATGGCAAACTACCAAGAGCCAACATTGACTGTGTGCTCTGTGTGCTTTACATGTATTAGCTCATTTAATATTTAACAGTAACCCTCTAAGATGGAAAATGTTTCTACCCGCCTTTCTACAAGTGGACCCCTCAGGCGCGTCCACAGGCAGGTGACCCGTTGAGACCACTCTCCCCAGCTTGCTCTGTCGGTGGGTAAAGACACCCAGAGGGGAGCAGAGGCACAGGCCTTAAAGATCAGTCAGCCTCAAGAGGTTTCTGTAAATGAGCCAAAACAGCGTGAAATAATAGAAGTCGACTGAAATAATAGCAGCGAGGGATGGCCAGGCAGCCTCTGGGGGTGAAGGATCCGGCGGGGCTATCAGTTAACTGGAGGGTTATGGCATTTGTAGCTATTCTTTCTACAAGAGAATTCCAGTAACATTTACTCAGCTCCTGTCTAAGGACATCGGACCCGAAAACAGTGGCTTATGAACTTGAGTGTCATGAAGTTCAACCCAGGTAGGTTTGTACAGAAAGCCCTGTGAATGTGCGTGTTTCTCCTACGTCTTAATAGCTTCATAGGACTAAACACATGGAAATGTGTCAGAATCCCAGTGCCCGCCATTATCCATGACATGGGGTGAGTCCCATCTCCCACCCTTAGAAGAATCTGGAAAGCAGTCACTTAGATCAAATTGCTGTGTTCTGCGGTTCATTGAGGAACCCTAGTAGAGAGAGCCCCCTGCATGACCCAGAGTTACCACAGTCTACACACCAGGTGGGCCTCTGAGCCAGTGGTGTGGAGACAGCTGGCAGACCCCGTGCTCCGGAGCGTGTGGATTCATCAGCGCCAATCACCCCTTGGGGTGAGGATGGTAGCTAGGGCATCTTGAAGGGATCTTCCCGGTGGCGGTGCCCGTGTATGTGGAGCGCCTCTTCCCAGCCTGCTTTGTGCCCCAGGCCTCACTTGGCTCTCCTTGGGGAGGGGAGGTGGTGTGGAGGAGTCGGGGCTTGGAGGCCACATGGCCCTCACTTTAAGCTACTAAGTGCCAGATTAGGACGCTCTTTTGGGTCTGCTTCCCAGAAGCTTTTTGCTGGATTTACATCTCTCACCCACTCCTTAAGATTATCTTGCCCACCTCAGCATCTTGGATAGCTGTTGACAACGTTGAAGCAAAGTTCAGCTCAGTGCAGAGATTACTATGCCGGGTAGGGGCGTGTGGATTGAGAAAGGAAGTTTTGATCTTGTGATTGGTTTGTTAAATTGGTCATGTTGCATTTAATGTCGTCACTGGTCAGGAGGCAGGGTTGTGTGGTCATCACAGCCGCCTCTGCTTGCTTCGGTGTGCAGTCCGGCACCCATGACAGACATACACTCCTTTCTCGTCATCATAAGTGTTCATGACACACAGCAGGGGTATCATCTGGGGTCATGTAACAGAACACCCTGCCCCGGTGGCTCTAACAAGTAAAGTTTTTATTTCCTGGGCAAGTTGTCTAAAGACCGCCCGCCCAGTGCACCAAGGGGGTCAAGTTCCCCCCTCCCTACACTGCCTCTCGTTGCCACTTCGTGGGGCCCAGTGGGCAGTTGGGACACAGACCACAGCCTCCTGTGAGCAAACATGTCCGTGGGTTCTAAATGTTAAGGAAGAGTCTGTAGATTCCACACTTCGGCAGTCACCCTCCTCACCCTTGTCCCAGCCCAGCTCTGCCACCAAAAGCAGGTGGAATGGTTAGGAGACACCTGGAAGACAGCCAGAGCTGATCCAACATGAGAGAGTTGGTGCCCTGAGGCCGAGGACCCCGGATGGCGCAGGAAAGGAAGCGCTTGATGTGATGGGACCTCATTTCCCTGCAGCGAAGGGAACTGTCTCGGGGAACCGAGACTTGCCATCACACGCCCTCCAGGCTGCCACAGGGGCTTCGTGCTGCCCACAGATGCAGTGAGTGTCAAAAAGCTATTGCTGGGCTTTAGGGTTGATTTTCCTTCTTTGACTTTAATTTTTTTAAGTATGCTTTTGCAACCAACAAAGTAATGGATTTTGAAAAGGAAGCTGGACACACACCACCTGAAGGGCCTGGCAGCTGCCTCGTGCATACCCCAGAGTGGGCTGCAGGACCCTACCTGACCTTGCTTCCCTGAGGTGCTACTGGGCAGCCTGTTAGCTGTGCCCGTGTCTCGGGGGGCTCCCCTGCAGGTGCCATGGTACTTGGAGGGAAGTGAAGTCTGCCCTTGCAAAATGAGCCACTTGGGTCTGGTGGCTCTCTGTCCAGGAGACAGCTGTGCTTCCATTTGCTGAACTTTCTTGTCAAAGTCCTGCTTTTCTTCACCTCTTATTCTCATCGCTCTTCCAGTTGAGTAATTTTCAGTCCACAGGGCTGTGCAAAGTGACATTTAACAGGCAGACTTGCTGTAGAGCGTGGCCTCAGTGAGGACAGCAGCCTGAGCAGTTTACCGGGCATTGCATGTGTCGGTTTGTTTCATTTTAGGATCCTCAGGGTCTACTCAGAGGAAAGTAAAGGGAGACAAGGTCAGTCCTGCTCACATCCATGCAGGCCAGGGCTCGTGGTTATATGGGAATCTTGTGCCCAGTGGAGGTCTGCCAGGACCAGCCCCAGCAGCAGGCGTGCCGTGCGTCCAGGTACAGTTACTGCAGGTAAGCTGGCAGGCCAGGAGGAGACGTGTGGGCTGTGAGCACTGCTGCAGCCGAACCACCTTCCCCTCCTGCCTTTTGAGTCACCCCAAGTCCTGTTTTCCTTTGTGAATGATCCCTCTGAGACCCATCCTCTGCCCATCCTGTCACACTCCACCTGTCCAAGCCTTACCTCTATAGGATGGACACAGTGTCACAACGCTCTCCCTGTGTGTGGTTCTCCGCCCCACCATGCAATTTCTTCCACGTCTTGCTCGGAGTGCTGTGAGGTGTAGACAGTGTGTCCTAATCCTGCCTGAGACCCCCTGGAACTGTCCTGGAGCTGTGTGAGGCAGCCTCAGACAGGCCTGTGCTCCTGACCCTGCTTTTTTCTTGAAGGCTGGGGTGAAGGGGCTTCTGCAAGCTGCTCTGGTCACCCCATCCTTGGGGCTGCTGTGGCACACCGGAGCAGGTGGCTTTTTCCCTCCCTCTGCTTTCTTCCCTACCAAGCCAAACCCTTCAAGGGCAGGGTTATCCACTTGTTACCTGTGTCCGGGGCCCAGCACGTGCCTGGAGCTGGCTGCCTTGAACGCTCACTGGACAGCACCCCCGCCCTGTGCCTCTGCCTGCACCTGGGTTTTCAGTTTTCGTTTTTGAGGATTAGAATAGGGAAGTAAGGTGACTTGGAAGGGTTTTGGGAGAGAAGCGGTTTAGAAGCCAAGGAGGACTTGTAGCTTGGGCCACGGAGCAGCGTGGGCCACACCATCAGACGCCACAGACTGCTGCTTGAAGAGGGGGCGGGTGGCCCCATCCAGAGTGGGCTCCAGTCCTGGGAAGCCTCAGCACCCAGAGAGCACCATGCTACCGTGGCAGGTCTGCGGGATTCATGTAGGTAAAGGGGAGGTGGGGACAGCCTCGGGGTTTGGGGCTTGGCCTTACTGTTGTAGAAAACCTAGAGTCGTGTGAGGATCTGGTGGGGTTTGGATTTGTCCACAGAGGTGAGCAGGAAAGCTTGTCCTTCCTTTCCAGGTTTGGGGTGAGGGAGATGGAACAGTAGAGTGGTGGGGGAGCCTCCCAAGATGAGGGCAGTGGAAGTAGGGGGAAGCCCAGCCTAAGCCCTTCTACCATGGTCACGGCTGGCAGGTCAGAGATGTAAACTTTGAGGCCGAGAAACCTGGGTTTTCACCTTTCTCCTTTCCCGTGCAGTGGTGTAGTCCTGGGCACGTTCCACACACACTGTCCGAGTTTTCTCATCTGCACCATGGCAGTGTGCATGGGACGCTCCTGCGGGAGGCGTGGAGGGGTGGAGAGGTGCTGCTGGTGGCGCGGCACAGGAGTTGAGTGGTGGCTGTGGACGGCCTGGGGCCGACGTGCGGATGTAGAAGGGGGAGTGTTCGCATGTCCCTTTTCTGAACTGGACAATTAGGCACCTGGTAGCCTCCCCTCTCAGGGAGACCTCCAGCTGCTCTGGGCCAGGGCAGGGGTGAGCCTTCCCGGGTGGTCTGAGAAGGTGCTGTTGAGTGTGCGTGTGGGCGCTCGGGGACAACTGTGGGAAACCCCAACAGAGTTCAGGAGCCACCCCCTGGAGAGGGACGCCGCTTGGACTGAGCGGATTTGAGAGTGTGTAGGAGGCCTTTGGGCAAAGGGCCTGGGCATGAGCAGCAGCCGGTGGCTGGGGGGTTGGGCCCAGCTTTGCCTACGAGGCTGTGAGTTGCAATCAGGGTGAGGGAGTGAAGACCAGCAGGAATAATCAGAACCCGGGCCCCCCTGCTGGCCGCTCAGCTCTCTCCGAGGGCCGGGCATCGCCTCACCTGCACTGCTGTGGGCAGGGCTGGTTCTGCGGGAGCACGGGTGGAGGGTCCGTTAATAAGCTGTTCTGTTGCCTCCCCAGGACGACCCCTCAGGTGAAGGAGTCTTGCCACTGGCCTTCAGCCCACAGCCTTCCGCCTTCCACCCCCTGTATGCTGCGGTCGATGTGCCCATCTATGTCCTCCAGGTCTGGACGCTTTGTAACTCTGGGCTTGTTAGTGAGACTCTCGGGAAGCTTCCGGCTCCCTGAGGCGGGTGGCGGAGGGAAGCCTGGAGAGGCGACTCACTGGGTTGGTGGCCAGGATGTTGGGTAAATGACTGAGAAATGGTTAGGAACGAAGCTCTGATTTGCTCATTGTTGTGGCACCTGTAAACCAGGTGAAATTTACCACTTTTCAGATACTTTAGAAATTCTAGTCACTTTCTCCTGTGGAAAGTAGGCTGGTCGGTGGCAAAATAGACCTGGACAATTTAGTTTGCTTAAGTAAGTGGTTAAGCTGAGTGTCGTGGCGGTGGGTAGCTCAGACTGGGACCTGATGCGAGTATGTATGTGCCCTCACATTTCTAACAGTTTGGCTTAAATACACAAAAAGTCCGTCCAAATAGTAATTTTAGTTTTGTTGCACTCAGATTGGGCTCTTCAATATTTTCCTCAGTGTCCAAGTAGTGCTGACTAAGAGTTGACGTGCGGCGCAGTGGTCGGCCCCGACCGCTGGAGCGGGCCACCTTGGAGGGAGGTCTGCTGCCGCGTGTCCAGAGATCCGCATCAGCGTTCCTCCGTTCTGCCTGGTGCTCCCACTTCCAAGAGGGCTCTGAAGAGCGAGGCCCTGCACACGTCAGTGCCCGGAGAACGGACGGCCTTGCCCCTCACGGTGGGAACTCTCCGAGCAGGAGGGTGGAGTCACGCGCAGTGGGTGCTGGGGTGTCCTGGTCCTGGAGTGACGCCTGGTGACTGGGCAAGATGCTGCCTGTGTGCCAGGTGGAGGCAACACTAGGAAACCAGCCAGGACAATCTCATTTTTGAGAAAACCTACGACACCCTATTGAGCTCACTTTCCCTTATTTTTATTGATACTTTTTTCTTTTTTCTGGGCACATACATTTAAAATAAAGGGAGATGAAGTCCTTAGTTGCAGAAAATCAGAAGCACCTTACCTGCCGGTTACTGGGCGAGTGGCTGTGAGGCTGCCCCCCTGCGAGGTGGTCCTGCTCTGTCCTGCTCTGCCCAGCATGCCCTCTGCCCCCCTCATTGCTCTCCTTGGTTTTGCAGGAGGTGTTTCCTGCAGCTGAAGGAGTGGCTGGGCCTGAGGACACACAGCACACAGGGAGCACCATCAACCTGCGGGACCTGCAGTGAAGTTGCCATCTGCCTGGGGACCCACGGGTGCCAGCTCCCACGGGTGTCTCCCGAGATTCCTCAGTGTTCTCACAGGCCGAGACCAGGCTCCCTTTGGTTTCTGCTCAGAAGGCCAGCCTAGGTCTTCTCTTGGGTACATTTATCAAAAATGTTTTCATCCATTTTATCAGGAACCAGTTTGGGGCTGTCCTGTTTGAAACTGCTTTCATTGGAGCAGAGTGCTTCAGTGAGCCTCGGCCTGGGCAGACACCCTTCCTTCCATCCGATCTGAGCCAGGGAGTGTGTGCTGCGTTTAAAACAGAAATAGGCCAGAGCACACACTTCCTCGTCAAGTCCGCCTTTCCCTGGAGTCATGGGCTCTTCCAGTCAGTGTTTCAGCGTTCTGCCTGAGAGCTAGAAAAGTCCCCTCTCCCCTTTCTGAGAGCTGTGTAGCCCCCGTTTTCCATCACCCCTTGGGTGATGTTTGCAGTTAGGTTGGTTTTACCTCACTGTAGGGCAAAGGTGGTCCTTTTATCACAGTGAAGACAAATTCTGATCTGTTCTGGAAGACCAGGCGTAAGCAGCTGATCGGAGAGGACATTATGGGGGTGACGTGGGGCACATCAGAGGCCCTGCGAGCCAGCCCTCTGCAGAGACCAAACTTAGAGCTCATAGTTTGAGAATGCTCGAGTTAAAACTTCATTTTTCTAATTCTGTATTTGGGTATTAACGTTGAATAATAATTTGACAGCAGTTTATAAAGTAATGTTCTGGGTACTATAAATTATGTGGAGGCTGTAATGATGGCGTTGAATGTTTCTGTTGAGTTGAAGATGTGCATAGCCTGTGTCGGTGTGTATCTTTGTGGAGTGAGGTCTGTCTTGCAAGAGGAGATGCGTTAATAACCTTGCACATATTTATTTGTTCATTAGTAGATTGCACACAGATCACTCGGAAGTGCTTTTTTTTTTTTTTTTTTTTTCCGCCTTGTGCCTTTTGAAGTATGTTTATGCAAACACTATTTCGGTTCTCAGACTTGAAGTCATCCAGTCTCTCCCTGTCCTGTTTCTGCGTTTTGAGTTTTTGGACATTTGGGAGTGGCTCCAGCATTCAGAGTGATTCCTCTCTGTCCTGTCCAAAGGCCCTGTCTGCCCAGGCTGCTTCTCCACGCAAAGGAACTCGGGCCCATTTCTAAATGGTTCTTTCCCCAGAACTCTGTGCTGCTTCAGACTAAAGTTCAGTGGTTGAATTTGTCCACCTGGCACCTCAGCCGGGTCACCCGGGGCCCTCCTCTCTCTACGGGACCCAGGCCTGTCTGCCAGTGTGGCCTTGGGACCGGGTAGCTGGTGGCCACCCTGCCCTGTCCTCCTGGAGGGTGGAGGGTCTGGCCTCTTGGCGTGCCCTCCTGGAGGTGTGTTGCTGGACTATTCTGTACCAGTGAGTGTCCACCTCAAAGTGACTGGTACTGGCTGTCAGCTTTCTGGGCACTGAGGTTGCTGCTTGGCAATGGGCCCAACTCCTAGTGCAAATGAATAAAAGTTTTGTATAGTCACGCACTGAAGGTTTCACTTGGCTTAATTCAGGGAATTGCATGTATAGCGTTGAAATCATTTTTCCCTTCACTCAGTGGTAGTAACTCATCTCCCCGGCTTGCTGCCTGCTTTTCTTATCTTTGCATTGGGGCCGACCCCACACCCCAGTATGGAATTGGCTTTTGCTAGATGAGAGCCTAGAGGAGCTCTGTCCCTCAGCATTTGCTGGGCACAGCGTCTGCCTCCTCCAACAGGCCTGCAAGATACCCGAGAGACATGGAGTTTATTTCACACAGGTAAGGGGACCCGCAGCAGGAGCCCATGGGGGCGCAGCGACAGGCCGCACTGGGTTCCCCTGACCCAGCCCCGTCCCCGCTCCCTGCCTCCGTCCCCTGTGCTGTTAGCCAGGCCAGCGCCGCCAGGACTAAGTGAAGAAAAACAGCTGCTCCTCCTCTTCCTTGTCCATCGTTGCGGGCTCAGCCTTCTCCTTGATTTTCATGACTGGAGGCCGAGAGCGACACACCAGCTTTCTGCCTCTCTGCAGAGGAAGTGGACTCAGTAAGCCTTGCCCTGTGGCCTCGTCACACCAGAGGTGCTGCCCAGATGCCTGAATGCCAGACACCCCTGCCCTGGTGTGCCACTAGTAGCATGGCGAGCCCGGCCTCCCTGGTCACTCCAGGTCAGCCAGCCGACTGAGGGCTGGAGTTGTCAGAAACCACTCAGGAGCGTGTCCAGCATTTACCTAGGGTGCCAGCCCCAGGGTGTACGTGGGCAGAGGGGGAGGCACCCGATCAGAGGAGACTCCCTACCAGTTTACCACCCCTCCGTGGCATCATGGGAGTGCTCGTCTGCTCACGGGGAAGCCCACTGGCCTCATTTGTCCCTTGGGCGTGATGATCAGGCCCGGCCCACTGGGGACCACGTGTCCTGTTGCCAGAGCCCGTAGGCAAGTGGCCACCCCAGCTCATTCTCCATTGTGTAGGGCCCTGGGCACCAGCAGTCAGGGGGATCCCTAGTGATAGGTGACAAGCTTGGCCTGAGGTCTGACTGACTATAGATGGGGTGGGGGGTGGGGCAAAAGGCTGAGCTGTTGGTCCCGGCTCCGAGAGCCTGCACCTGAGCCGGATGGGGAGGGCACAGCCAGACCAGTGACTGCCCCAGCGTGTGTGCAGGCGACCTGGCGGCCCCAGGGAGACTTCTAGAGGACACAGGTCCAGGTGAGGAGTTTAGTCTCAAGGGGTGACGGCCCCGGGAAAGGGAGACCCTGCTTTTCCCTGACTTTGCTGTGATAGCCGGGCCCCCAGAACCTCAGCAGCAGGTCTGCAGAGGGGTGAACCAGGCTTGGCTGCAGGCACTCAGCCTGTCAGCGCCCCGTGCCTGCTGGTCTCTGGGCCTTGCCCCTGCCGCAGTTCCTCGGGCTGTCCAGCCTACCTTTTTCTTGATCTCAGCCTGGACGCGGGCCCGGGCCCGCTGCAGACGCTCCTCCTGCAGCACCTTCTGCAGCTTCATCTTCTCTTCCCGGATTCTGGGTGACAGATTAAAGACTGGAGGGGCCTGGGGAGCCAACACATCTCCACTGTGCTCAGCTGGGCCCTGGCCCCCCTTCTTGTGAGAAAACTCCCCACTCCTCTCCACCCTTCCCTGCCATGCCAGGGCCTTGCTGCTGCCCTGCTTCCTAGGGGTCGCAGCTCCGCCTCCAGGGGAGACCACCTATGGATCGGTCCTCATAGCCCCAGGGGCCCAGGTTCTAGATCCCTGAGCCACGACCCATGGCTTCCTCCACCACTCTGGCAGCCCAGGCCCCAGCACAGCCCATAGTCACGTCTCCTTCCGGTCTGTGCTTAGGGTCAAGCCTTTGCCCAGTGCCGGCCCGGAGCAGCGTGCTGGGAACACCAGAGCGCCTGTGCTTGCGGGAGGATCTTTGCAGATGCCTGGCCGTGAACCCGGCAGCCCTCAAGCCAAGAACTCACTTGTACCCGCTCGCCTGGGGGCTCCCCAGGGCTCCCCTCAGAGGGGGCAGCCCTCGTCTAGCATTCTGGCACTGCCGGACGCCTACCCCCGCCACTACGTTCTGGGCTTCCCGAGGCTCCGCCCTTCCTCCCTTGGGCTCTGGCAGTGCCAGCCACTCTTCCTCCAACCCCGCTCCCCAAATGGCTATTGCTGTCCCTTGTCCTAGGGCCCAGGGCTGTGCTGGCCACACCCTCACTGGCCACACCAGCCCCGAGTCCACATCATCTCCCGCTCCAAAAGAGGGGCTTCCCTTGTTCGGGCTGAATTTGGTGATCCCCCCTGGGGTCCCCCCAGCCCCTGGCTCCTGTCTCACAGCAGGGAGCTCTTTGAGGGCCCGGCTGTATCTGACCTCAGAGAGCAGGGTTGTGGGGGAGCCTCAGCCACAGGGCCCTCCGCTGCGGGGCGGCTCACTTTTTGCGCCGTTCCTTCTCCTTGGCCCTCTCGAACTCCTCCACCTTGTGCTGGGGCATGCGCTCCAGGTTCTCGAGCAGCTCATGCAGCTGGTGCTCAATGATGGTCAGCATCTGCACCGTGCCCAGGTTGGAGTCCTGCTGGGCGCCTATGCACTGCCGGTACACTGACAGCACCTTCTGGTTCAGGCTCTCCAGCAGCTTGTCCTGTGAGGTGGGCAGGCCTCCAGCGGGGTCACGGCCTGGGCCTGGCCTGCGACCCAGGGGCTTTGCTGGCACAAGGCGCACTTGCAGGGCAAGCAACGTGCACACCTGGACTTGGCTTGGCCAGAGCTACTGGATGCCTTTGCCTTCCTGTGGTCAACCAGGTCCCGGGTTCCAGGCCCCGGCGAGGCTCATGCCTGCACCTTGGTGTGCCACTAATGAGGCCCAGTCCCCTCCTGCAGGACGCCCTCCCCCCTCATCTGTACTGGCCGTGGCTCCCCACAGGCGCCAGCTTTCTGTGTGGCCCTGAGCAGATGAACCCCCTCTCTGGTCCTATTCTGACATTCAGAAACATTCAACACAATCTGCTGCACACAGTGGGCATGAGTATTAAAAGCAATAGCAGGTAAAAGGCTGTAGGCCAGGCAGAGGGTGCAGCCAGTGTCCAGTGGAGTCCAGCACAGGCTGGGACACGCTGCCTACCCAGCCTGCTGCCTGCCACACAGTAGGTAGGCCCTTAACAGGTATTTCAATGAGGTAGAAAGGCAGGCCCACACACATGCCCCAAGGGGTGCTGTCAGCCCCTGTTCCTGCTCCCAGAACATCCCTGACCTGTCCCCCTCAGAATTCTCTCGGCCTCCCACCTGGCGTGGGGATGTGCCTTTCTCCCAAGAGGGTCACCTCCTGGACACTGTGGTTAATGCAAGAAGGTGCATGGACATACATACACAGGCTGGCCTTGGTGGGGAACCAGGGCCTCCAGGGGTTGCCCAGGCCCACAGAGCCTGGAAGGTGGTGAGGGGCCATCAGCTGCCCCAGTGCCTCGGGCCTCGCTCCCACTCCTGCTGTCCAAGCTGCAGGCTCTGGGCCTCCTCGCAGCAGGTACCCATGAATGGCCCCCATTGCCTCCCCGGGGCCCTGGCCACCCACACTCGCTCTGTGCCTGCCACCCCGGGGGGCCTACCTCCTGACCACCCTTGTACTCGCCAAAGTGAAAGACTCGGGATTTGAGCTCCAGGTCGGCAGCTGTCTCCTCCTCCTTGGCAATGGACATCATCAGCGTGTTGATCCACTGCTTCAGCTGCTGGACCTCCCTGTCCCTGTGTGGGAGACCGCAGGCCCCTCACCTCTCCGAGCCCGCCCTCCTGCCACTGCCCTGAGGCCAGTGGGGCCAAGAGGGCAAAGTGACTGCGTACCCCAGGGCCAGAGATGCTGATGAGATCCCGGGGTAAAATTAAAGACCTTTAACCATCAACTGAAAGGAAAAATAACAGTTTGGTCGAGATATAATTCACGCACCACAAAATTCCTTTACAATGTACGACTCGGAGGTTTTTAGTATATTCAAGAAATTGCACAGCCACGCTGAAATCTGAGAAAATTTTCACTCCCCAGTGAAATCCTTGCCCCTTATAGCAGCAGTCCTCATTCTCCCCCACCTCTACTTTATGTCTCACTCCAGGACGTATCGCAAATGCATGATCACATAGTGTATGTCTGGCTCTCGGGTCATGCTTGCTGTGGCACGTCAGAACTTTATTCCTTTTTATGACCGAATAATATTCCATTCTATGGCTAGAGCACACTTAGTCTGCCCATTGATCCATTGATGGATGATTGGGTGCTTCTCCCTTTTGGCTCTTGGAAATAATGCTGCTGTGACCATTCACAGGTTTTGGTGAGGACATGTTTTCAGTTATCTTGGGTATATAAGAAAATCACAACAATCAAATTTTTAAAGAAATGATTAAAAAATTACAACCCTCTCCATCTCTGGCCGCTGCAGCAAGAGGACCCTCTACCAGGTCCATGCATCTGCAATGGATGGTTATTTGGAACTGCTCTAGCCTCGTCAAGAGGAAGGAGGAAGAGAGCATTGAACCCAGTAACCTCAATGTCTGCAATTGAGGTTGTGGGGCAGCAGCCACAGCAAAGGTGTGGTAGTGGTCATGAGAGGAGATCCAGCCTGCAAAAGCCTGCCACCTCCTACAGGCAGCCCACCATCAACCGAACCCCAGAGCCACCCTCAGCAGCATCTGGCACATGATGCACAAGAACAAGTATGACCCCAGCCTGCAAATGACTGCCTTCTGCAGGGCCAGCCCCCTCCTGCACAACCAGAAGCTTATGATGGGGAAAGGGAAGAGGACCTGCCTGCCCAAGAGGTCCTGAGTGCACTCCCCTCCCCCAGCTATAAAAACATCTACCGACTCCACCATAAAAAAGATGACTAATCTTTCACAATGGTTTCCCAAATGGGAATCTTGGCTTCGAACAGAATGGCTACTGTTTACAAGTCCTGGCCAGAGCAAGTGGGTGGACGTCTGGCCACTCGCCACCGGTGCCCAGGGGCCCAGAGGTAACCCTCCTCGCTGCCTCCCACGATGATTTCATGACTTCTCCCACCCCCACCATTTGTTGGTAGAACCTGTTGACTTCTGCCTGCAAATATTGAGGGTTTGCGCTTGCGCACTGAGTGCTGAGTGCCCCTCCTGGTCAGGTGCAGGCAAGGAGGTGGGCGGGCGTCGCTGCCCTTCCCTCTCCCGCTGCAGTGACTTGCAGAAGGTTGAAAGGGCCTGTGCCTTCCCAGTCCCCTCATTTCTTTGCCTTTCCCCCTTTTGAGAGCCAGATACTAGAAGCTAGGACATTCAAAAACAGTGTATGTGGGGAAAGTTGGAAAGTGACTGCACGCACTATCATAAAGCTGCAGTAATTGAGGCGCGAAATACCTATGAAAGAACAGGCAAGTAGATCCATGGCACGGGAAGGAGAGCCCAGAAGTAGACTCACGTGAAGACAGGCCAGCTGGTATCTAACAAAGGAGCAAGCGCAACGCAACCGAGCAAAGACAAGACTTCACAAATGGTGCTGAAACAACTGGTCGTCCGCGTGCCAAGAAATGAGGCATAAGTGCGGATGGTTTGGCGGAAGAAAGGAGAATGAACCTAGACACAGACTTCACACCCTTCATAAGAACTAGCTCAAGTGGCTCAGAGGCCAAAATGTAAAGTGTAAGACCATAAAACAAGCAAAAAGCAACATAGGAGAAGATCTAGTTGGTTGTGGACTTGCTAATGACTTTTTAGCTATAATAACCAAACTGATGATCATGAAAGAACTGATGAGCTAGACTTGGTTAAAATTAAAAGTGCCTGCTGGGGCCTCTCTGGTGGCACAAGGGGTTAAAGCACCGCACTATGAAGCAATCCATAGCCTCGGCAGCATGAGTTCGATCCCTGGCCGGCAGGGAGCAACCCACACAGTGCAGCAGACCTCTCCTGCCTCACCCGCTGCTCCCCTCAGCAGTGTACTTAGGTCAATCTGCCTGTTCTGTTCCCCGCTCTGTCTCTGGTGAATCCTCTCACCCCCTGCATCTCTGGCCTGTACCCCAGCTCTTGTATGCATAAATAAATAAAATCTTTAAAAACAAATAAAAGCACCTGCTGTAGGAAAGGCGGTGTCAACAGAATGAGAAGCCACAGGCGGGGAGAAAATATTTGCAAAATACATATCTGAGAAAAGATTTTTGCCCACAAAATACAAAGCACTCTCAGAATTTAACAAGAAAATGAACAACCCAGTTTTAAACATGGGCATAAGACCTGACATCACCAAAGAAGGTACACGGATGGCAGAGAAGCGTGTGGATTGTTCCACACCGTGTCAGGGAAACTCATGTTCAACAGTGGCCCCTGCAGCCCACCCGTTAGAATGGCCTTGTCCTAACCACCCGCCAGCTCCTCTGCCGGCGAGGAAGCAGAGCAACGAGAATGTTCATATATTGTCACTGGGACCGTAAAGTGGTTCAGTCACTTTGGAAGAAAGTTGGGCAACTTCTGAAATTAAACATACATGCTGTTACCACACAGTCCAGCAACCTGCTCCTTGGTATTTACCCCGAGGGGTTGGGTAAATAATGAAGCCTGAGCGTGGGTATTTATAGCGGCCTCCTGCCTGACTGCCAGAACTCCGGAGCAACCAAGGTGTCTGAGGGAAGAGGTAAGGTGGGGTTCACGCAGACAATGGTGTATTGTCTCGCACTGGGAGGAAGGGGTGAGCAGGTCACGTCCTGGGGGTGTCTGCATGCCTGGGGGTGTCTGCGTGGCGTCTTTGGAGAAATGCCTGTTCAGATCCCCTGCCCAGTTTTTAACCAGGTGGGTTTATTTTTTGTTGTCCTCGAGTTGTATTAATTATCCGTACCTTTTGGACCCTAACCCCTTGTCTGATGTGTGTCTGGCTTGGAACTACCTTCTCTCATCCAGCAAACAGCCTTCCTTCTTTTCCCTGTGCAGAAGTGTTTTAGTTTGGTGTTGTCAGGAAGAGACAGTAGGAATTGGTACAATTTCTTAAATATTTGATGGAACTCACTGGTAAACCCATGTGGGTCTGGTGGCTTCTGTTTGGGAAGATTATTCAAATTCTCGTAATAACTGGGCCTATTTGGATTATTTCTTTACTGTATCTATATATTTTTTAAAGATTTATTTATTTATGCATACAAGAGCTGGGGTGTAGGCCAGAGATGCAGGGGGTGAGAGGACTCACCAGAGACAGAGTGGGGAGCAGAACAGGCGGATCTACTGAAATACACTGCTGAAGGCACAGCGGGCGAGACAGTAAACTCAAGCCCTCTCACTTGGAGGAAAAAAAACTTTTGGCGTGAGAGTGCTAGCCTTCATGGACATTAAAGACAAGTGGGCTGTGACTCCCAGGGGAGTGACATGGTGGCGCTCTCAGAGGTGGCTCAGCTGTGGACGCAGCCCAGCTACCTGAGTGAGGACTGCAGTGCACAGCCCGCCAGGTGCTGCTGGAGGTGTGCGTGTGCATGTGCTCACCTCATGGGGTCTCGGAATCTGGGAGGCCGCCCGCCTCTCCCAGCTCATCTGTGTGTCTTTGCAACCTCCCAGCTTTCTTGGAAATAACCTTTCCTAGGAGCTGGTGACTTCACATCTCTCTGGAGACTCCTCACAGGAGGCCCCAGTGGCAGGTAATGGGCCAGTGAGATCTGGTGGGTACTCAGAAATAGACTCCCCCATGGGGCAGGAAGCCTTGGGCCGTCTCCCCACCTCAGGATATTGCACCTGCTTTCCTTCCACCTCTCCCCAATGTGGCTGGCTTTTCTCTGCCCTCGGGAAATGTCCAGCTCAAGTGACACCTTCTAGAATCTCCCCTGCCCTCTCCAGTGTGCCGCCTCCCTCCACTTCAGCGCCCTTCTCTTACTGCTCTCATCATTTTCTTCCTGGCGCATATGAGCAACTATAAGTCAAATCTGTGGCCCTGTAGAATGGTAGATCCATGAGGCAGGGCCTTGCCTTATCCTTGAGGGCCTAGACCCAAGGCTGACCCCAAACAGGTGCTCGGTCTGTGGGGAGTGAACAGTTGGTTCCTTCCTCCCAACAGGCCTCACTTTGTGCCCCTGCCCAGCCCAACTCTCCGGGGGCTGGTGTCAACAGAACACCTCAGGGTACAAGGTCCTTGGCAATGTCCTCAGTGCAGGCTGCTCTAGGTGGAGATGGACCAGTGGCTCCACCCACCTACCCTATCCCTGCTCCCAAATCCCCTGGTCAAGCTGTCTCTCCAGAGCCAGGCCTATACGACTTCAGATGGAGTTTTCCAGAGAAGCCAGGGCAAAGCCAGGGCCATGGTGTATGTGTGTGGTGGGGAAGGCACCGCTCCCAGCACCGTGGGGGCCCCAGGGTGACAGCCAGGGATGGGGCCCATCTCCCACTGGCCTGGAGCAGGGGGGGCTGTCCAATACCCACATGCGATTCTGGGTGTTTCTCAGGGTGAATTTCAGCTCTTCCAGCGTCTCTTCCATCTCCTGGGTGTTCTGGATCAGCGAGAGGTTCTGCTCCTCCAGCTTCAGGAAGATGTCCAGAAGCTGCTGGGGCTCCGTGAAGTACAGCGCCAGCTCCTGCAAGCAGAGCTCGGTGTGTGACCGCCGCGCCCGCCCTGCAGCCCCACCCCACGTGGCCCACTGACCTCCTCCTCGCTGTCCTGGTCGTCCTGCACCGACGGGGCAGAGTTGGACCTGCTGAGAGACACAAGGTCGGGGCGCTGCCAGCAGCCTTGCAGGCGCAGGGCGGTGAGCATGGTCTTGCCCCTCCCGGTGGTTCAGACACCCCGGGCCCAGGCGGAGGCACCAGCCTTGGGTCCCGAAGCCGGGCCAGGGCATAGTTTCAAAATTCAGTTGGCTCATCTCAGTCAAGTTGGAATGAAACTTGCCTTCTCTCCTGCTGCCCTCTCAGCCACCATGTCCCCCTCCCCACCCATGCTCGCTCTCTAGGTGCTACCTCAGGGCCTTGGCACTTGAAGCCCCTACCGCAGGGCTGTGCCTCCTACTTTGCCCTTCTTTCTCTAAGACCCACCCTTGGAGACTGTTCTGCCTACCTGCCCTGTCTAGATCTGGCCTTGGCCTTTGTCCTGGAGGGCCCCACTCGTAGCTGGTGGGTGACAGGGCCTCACTCAACCCTGAGCACCCACAGGGCCAGGGACTTGAGTGGCCATCGGTGCAGGAAAGGCCGTGTGGCCCTTGAGGACTCGGCACGGGGCTCCAGAAGGCCCGTGATCTCACTGCTAAACCTGCCTTCACGGCCCCTCCTGTCCTCCTCAGCCTGGATTCCTGAGCTGGGCGTGCAGATTCTGCGGGCCGAGGCGCTGCAGGTCAGGCTCATGGCCAGAGGACCCGAGGCCCGGGCGAGAGACTCCAGGCCCTGACCGCTGGAAGTGGAGAGGCGTGCGTGCAGAGCTCTGAGGGGGCCCTGGAGGTCTTCCCAGAGGAGGGGCCACAGCGACAACTAAATCACCCACCAGGGCTTCGCTTCACACCATCATCCATGCAGGCGCCCATCTGACAAATGAGCTCAGAGTCACTGGCCAGGGTCCTCGGCAGAGCGTGGCTGCCCCATACGCTGCCCTTCTGGGAGTCCGTCCTCCGGATGCCTTCTGGAGCCTGGGCTGACTCGGCCGCCACTTGCCCTCTCAGTTCCTTATGCACCCCATGACTGTGCCAACACGGCTAGTAATGGAGGGGCCTAGCTCAGGCTGGGTCTGGGTCTGCTCTGAGTGACTGTCCCAACACAGGGGCCTGCGGGCGTGCTCCGGGGCTGAGGGAGCAAGCTCACCTAACCTCCTCTAGCCTGTGCAGCACTGAGCTGGAGACAAGAGCCCAGCAGCAGGAGGTGTGGGCTCATGGCCCTGGCAGGTGCCTAGTCCCTGGGTATAACGCATAAAGGTGAAATGAGCTTGGAAACTGGGGGTGCTTGGGGGTCCTTCCAGCCTTGGAGCATCAGTTTGGGATATGGGAGGATAAATATGAAGAAAATCTAAGGGTGTGGAGCTCAGGAACAGATTGGGGGCAGAATCCCCGGATGGGGTCACAGAGCATGGTGGAAACAGAAGGGGAGAGGATGGAGCACATAAGGGATGAGAAACTATAGACCCCATGAAGAAGAGTGAAGGGGGCCCTGAGCCCCCAGATCACAATTCCCCCTCCCACACCACCACCCTTCTCCAAGGGCATAAACCATAAAGCTTCCAGAAGCAATCATAAGAAAATATTTTAGTGGACTTCTAGGCTGCAGAGATTTCTTTAGCAGGACACTGAATGAAACACCCGTAAAGACTGATAAATTTAACCCAAAAGAGAACATTGAAAGAGTAATGAGGCAAGACCCAGACTGGGCAAAGGGCCTCTACACTCACTACCAAGAGGACTGACATCCAGAACGTAGGAAGAGCACATGGACACCAGAAGAAAAAGGCCAAGGATCCTACACAATGGTACAAAAATCAGGGTCTTCGAAGGAGGCGATCCAGGTGGCCACCATATTTGTCACGAAAATGTCAGTAATACCAGAATGAGGTACCACCCTCCCTGTGCTAACCCCTTCTTAATGTTTTGATTCCTGAGGCCTTGCTGACTCCAGAGGAGCTGCCCCTCCCAGAGGGAGCCTAGAGGGAAGGAGGGGGCCAGACCACCCCGAGCCACACCCCCACTCTCCTGGGCTACTGTTTGCATCACTGGCTGGCAGGCCCCAGGAGAGAATAAGGAGGCAGTGACGCCAGGGCCTCTGGGCCAGCAGCCTGGCTGGGTGGGGGCTGGGAGGGGTGCGCAGGAATTAGGGGGTGACATATCTACAGAGTAGTGATTTTTATGCATGATTTTCCTATCAAAAATTTAAATTAAAAAAATTTCAGGGAGGGAGAAGTACCCAGGAGGGAGCCAACAGCAGGTGGGTAGGTGGAGGGGCTGGGTTTGTAGTGGCCCGTGGATCTTTGCGTTTTGTCTCTCATTGTGTTTTTTTCAGATCTGAACATAACTCGTTTATATCTGGACGATTTATATAAAGACCCAGACTTCTGGCTTCTTTTGAAAGGCCCTGGAGCTCTGGTCCCCCCAGGCAGCATCCCTGGCCATGGGGGGGCTGAGTGGACCCAGGGCCTGCTGCTCAGGATGCCGTCTGACACCCTCACCTAACTGATCGACACTTAACTGTCCACTGGCACCAAGTGGGCCACCCCAGGCTTCAGTTTACTGAATCAGATAGAAAATGTAAGTCAGCGATACCCTCCAGGTGGGGAACAGCACCATCTCCCCATTCCCCCCAGGGACCTGGTCCATCCAGGCTGGTGCCTCTTATCTGGAGTCACTCACCTGTCGAGGTCCAGCCTGCTGGGCATGCTGCCCCGGCTGCCCTGCCTGCTCCGGCTGCTCTGGCTGCTCTGGCTGCCCTGGCTGCCTTGCTGGCCGCTGCTGATGCTGACCACGACCTGCCCCATCCGTACCCCCTGATATTTTAGGAACTTCTTTGGGTTTGGCCACTCTGGAGGAAGCAGAGGAAGGGTAGCCACGTGTCCCAGTCCAGGGGAGGAGGCCCCCCCAGCCTGGGGCAGCATTGTACCTCGGGTGATCTTGCTCTTCGTGTTTGTTCCTACAGGAAGAAAAGGAGGGGTCTCAGATAGCCTTGGCTGGAGCCAGACCTCCATGATACTGCCAGGGGACACGGGGTGCCTTTGGACCCTCCCCTCAGCTGCAGCTGCAGGAAGACACAGGTGACTGGGAGGGAAGCCCCTTGGGTTTGAGTTGAGATTTGGCTCTGCTTGCGGAGAGCATGCCTGGACTGAGCCGTGGGGGACTACGGGGCAGCCGCTGCCCCTGGCTGGGGCTCTGAAAGCTCCAGGAGGAGTGCAGTCCATGGGCTGGATGCCCCCTGCCAGCTGGTGCAGGGTCTAGGTGCACCCAGGTGCACCTGCCTGCTCCTTCCTGCTACCTTTGTCCCCTGGTGCAGAGGGCACAGAGCTCTCTTGGCTGTCCCCAGAGGTCTCCTTGGCCTTTTTCAGAGCCAGACGCTTCTTCTCATGTTCTTCCAGCCACTCCTTGGGTGACAGCTTGTATAGGAAATCCTTGTAGATCTTGTAATGCTGCAGATTGTCTTCAAATTTGGAGATTTCGCTAGGCCGGGGGAGGGGGAGGGGGAGGTTGGGCTCTGCCTGCTGGGAGGCTCTCCAGCCAGCCAGGATCGCCAGTGCCTCCTGGTCAAGCCAGGATAGGCCCAGGAGCACTGAGCTGCCAGAGACGGGGTGCCTGCCCTGCGGGGTCCACCAGGGGTAAGCCTCCCTCCCTTCTATGAATTTCAAGTTGCGGTCGGCCCGGGGACTCTGTGTCCCGCCCCCACAAAAGGTTGAGGCCGGGGTCCTGGTGGTGTGGTCTTGTAAAGCCACAGCTCTCTCTTGGCCTCAGTCACTTCATCTGCGAAATGGGCAGCAGCATCCCAAAAGGCTTTGAATCCCTGAGATGTTTGATTTTTGGAGGTAAAGTGATGAGATTTTCGTGATTTGGGGCTCCCCTTAGCTACGGGAGAAGTAATGGAGGGAAACCTAGGGACCCTCTGACCTCACCTTTTGATATTCATGATCTGGGTGGTGAGATCTCGGATCTCAGAGATTTTCTCCATCTTGGCTTTGGTCTCCTTCTCAGCCCTGGGGGTGCGATGGGGGCAGGGAGCCCCTTATTGAAGAGGAGCATCCACACTGCTCTCAGACTGGCCAGAAGTGGGACGTGTGGGGGGTCGGGGGCCAGGTTGGGATCAGGGGCCGGGCGGGATCAGGAGTCAGGGACCAAGGGCCAGGTGGGGCCGGGTGGTGTGCACAGGCCCCCCACATTGTGGGAGGCTCAGCAGGCCCCGGGCTGCACTCACACTCTCATCGCCTGCACGGAGCTGCGGTCATTTTCTCTGAGGAACTCATCGAAGAGGGCCGCATCCTTCTCTAGGGCCTTCTCGGCCCGCTGCAGCTGCGCCTCTTCCTTGGATGCCAGCACCTCCAGCCGCTGGATCTCGGACTGCTTCATATCCACGGCATACTGAGGGCCACCAGAGTGGGGGTCAGGCAGCCCATTCACTGGGGACCCGGGGTCCCCCCACAGCGTGCAGCCGCGCCTACCTGGAGGAGGAAGGCCTGCCGCTTCTCTTTGATGTAGTCGTTCATGCTCTCGGTTTCTATGCTCTTTTCTGCAACCAGAGGAGGAAGACATCTGGGGGACGGGGTGGGCAGTGGGAGAGACCCAGGCTGGGGCCAAGAGGGGCACAGAAGAAGGAAGCGTGTGCACTCCAGCGCAGAGCTCCGCTGCGAGCCGGGGCCACAGAGCGGTCTCCAGCCACAGGAGACACGACTCAGCACACGTTCCAGTCTCCAGGGCTGGAGACTGGGTGGGGGTGATCCTTCCATATGTCTGCCTCAAGTAGCTCTTTTCCCATCAGGCATGAGACACCCTTGCCCTGGAAGCTCCTCCCTCCCTCCCTGACCGGCGGCTTGAATAATGGAAGGCCTACTGTCCAGGACATGAATGGGGACAGTGAGAAAAAATGTATGATCTCAAATTGGGGTGTTCTAAGCCCCCAGGGCCCTATTTTGGCAGCAACTAAGTCTGCACTGTCAGAGTCTCAGCCAGGCAGGAGGAAATTCAAGTGGACATCAGCATCCCCTTCCAGGGTACAAGCAGGGGGGGCAGCGAAGTGGGGCCAAGGGCCTTGGGGCCTCTTCCCCTGTCTTTCTGGAGAAGCCCAGCCGTTCCCGAACTCTGGAGTAACCCAGAGCTGTGGGAAGCACCATAGAACCATGTGGCTCTCTGCCCTGTCTCTCAAATCCTCTCAGAAGAACCCACTGTGGAGCCGTTTTAGTTCTAGTCACCAGGTCAAGAGTCCAGCTTGGCCCCTGCCAGACCTGGACACCTTGGAGAAGGCCTGCCCCAAGGTCACCCAGGTGCTCACTGGAAGCCAACACCGAGACACTGATGAGTCTTGTGCCCACACCCGCTGGCCCAGCCGCTCCATCAGACACCATCTGCAGCGCCAGGTCTTGGGAGTCAAGGCAGAAACTTGAAACTTGCTGTGCTGCTCCCCACCCCTCCCCACCCCAACTCTGCACACCAAGGGCAAAGCTCAGGGCTTCCTCCTCCAAAACAAGAAGTCACACAGTCACGTGCCTCAGCAGGGGAGACTGGGGCTTCCCTTATCTTTACGCTCACATCCAGCACACCTGTCCTCCCCCGGCGGCTTCTTTCTGGCTTAATGTTATCATCCCTGGGGGCGGTAGAAAATTATTGTGTATTCAGGATGTCAGATTTCCTACTGGGTGAAAAACTAGTTCTTCTCTGTGTGCTGCCTGAGGACTTTGAATCTCACAACCCCTGCGTGCGTGCGGTTATCAGGCAGGGGCGGGAGTGCAGTGTAAGGGGTGCCCTAGCTCGCCTGGAAAGGCGAAGCCATTAAATGTTACAGCCGAGATCTGGACCCACTGAACCTCCTCCTGGTGCGTGTGTTTACCCCGAGGCCAATGCCTGTGTTTTATACACCGTCCAGCCTGCTTTCCCTGCGCAGCCCTCATCCAGAATGCGTGCAATAGCCGCCTCAGAGCTTTGAGATTTTCTGTCCACCTGAAATGGACCTTTGTGCCCATGTGCAGCAGGGGCCGGGCACAGAAGGACCCTCTTCCCCACCGTAGGGCAAGCACGTAAAAGTACTGCCCGTACATAAAGGGCAAAGAGCCAGCGGGTCTGGGTTGTGATGCCCACTGCCCCCACGGACGCCCCCACGGAGGGCAGGCGGCACCTTTGGTCATGGAGAGCATCCAGGCAGCTCTTTCACGGGAGCTGCTCAGCTGCTCTGCCTCGGCGCGCACCTCTCGCTCCTCCATCTCGTCCTGCAGCTGCAGCTCGCGCCGCAGGCCGGTGAACTTGGCCGACACTTTGGAGGAGTAGGTCATCTTCTGGTGCACCCCCAACTTCCTCTTCTGCTCCCGCTCCTGGGTGGAGTCAGGTGGGGTCAGGTGGGGCCAGCCTCCCAGCCACTCCCTAACCCCCGCAGCCCTCCCCCCTCCTCTGTGCCATCACCTCCTCCTGCACATCCTGGGTGGGGTGTGCACACTCTGGGGAGCAGTGCACTTGGGAGAAGTGCCCGGGAGCTGGGGGTACACATGCATCACATGGAGAAGGCTGGGGAGCTGTGTGCCTGTGAAGCACCCTGGGGTCCTGAGTTCAACTGCCCAGGGGAAGAGAGGGCAGAGGGCAGGAGGGGCCAACTGAGGTGCAGGCAGGCCTCCAGCTGAGGTGCCAGCGGCCCCCTCAGATGAGCATTCCACATCGGTAGTGCAGGGACAGACTCACTAAAAGATGCTTTTCTTCCTTGCTCTGAAATTCACTTATCTGAATATCTGGTGATCAGCTAAGTTCAGGGTCGAGATCTTCTGAGCCACGCTCTGGTCAGTGCTGGCTGCAAGCTGGTCACTGGGGGTCTCCCCCACCCACCTAGTTTTCTCAGCCTGCTTACCTTGGGCCCCAGAGTTCCATCCTGACCCAACCCTTCACTTGGGAGGATGCAGGATGGGGTGGTGAGGGGCTCTTCTTGGAGGCCCTAGTGGGGTCTCTGGTTGCAACTGTGCCCCACCCCTCCTGTGTGCAGACCCTGGGGGTCCACACATCCCTTGCTGGCCTGGCCCCCAGTCTGCCCATTCCAACAGGCCCCACGTGGACCCTGCGTTGGTGGCCCTGCGGTGGTTGGGAAAGAAGGCTACTTAGGGCAGAGTGTCTGTTGCAGGACCCAGGCTGATGGTTCTATCTCATGCTCATGTATATGACAAAGTCTGTAAGATGCCACCTGCAAATACCCCAGGGGTAGAAGGTCCCAGTTTGTAAGCAGTGGCGGCTGCTTGGGGTCAGGGTGAGGCAGTGCTGGGGCAGGAGGGGCTGTGGCGTGGGGCTCTCGGGGAGGCAGGGGTGGTCCTGGAGCAGGGCCAGGCTGGGGGAGGAAATCCAGCCCTACTGGTGGAGAGAAAGGCTCCAGGACAATGAGACAGCGGCCATGACTCCACTCCAGGCCTCCTGTGGCTCTGTGTGAGCCAGAGCCTCTTCTGGGGGTGGTGCGTGGAGGGAGGGGGAGACCCCCATGGTGGCCCAGCCCCCAGTTTGCAGGTCAAAATCAGGGGGTTGTGCATTTCCACAATGTGGCTGTTGGGGTCACCTTGGGAGCCGCTGCTCTAAGGAATTTCAGAGGCCTGAGTCAGTGGACAGTCAGCCCAGGAGGGGACTCAGGATGCTGGCCTTGCCCTGTGTCTGGGCGTGTGTCCCAAAAATGTGTCCTGGAAAGTGCCAGGGAGGCTGCAGTGAGGCTGGCTCTGCTGTGCTGTGCTTCCAGGGAGCGGGCTGTCTCAAGACCAAGTAATGAGTCCTCAGGATGGGGAGAGAGGACAGACTATGTTGGGGTGCAGACAAGCACCAGGGGCCCTGGGACACACATGCCTGTGCCCATGCCTGTGTGTACCTGTGGCCATATCTGTGTATACCTGGCATCCAAGAATCCCAATGAGAGGGGACCACAGGAGAAGTAGGGGCTGCCTGGGGGGAGGTGAGAGGGTCCCTGAGGCCTGAGGTGGGCTTTGGGGGACGGGGGCGTCTCAGGAGGGGATAGCGTGAAGGTGTAGTGGCTGAGGCTGTGGCCTCTGAAACTCCAAGAAGCCCACCCTAACAAAGGTCCAGGAAACAGTGGGGACAAAGTCCCCACTTTATGAGGAAAAGGTAGCGAGCTGGGAGTCAGGCAGAGGCTCAAGTTTACTTTGCAGGAAACGGCATTATTGACTGTTCTAGAGCGAGAAAGGGGCCCGAGGAAAGTGCTCTTCGGAGAAGGGCAATCTGGCTGCTGCTATTGGGGGGGTTGGGGGCGCGGGGGACGGGAGCAGGCCTCAGTCCCGGATACTCACTGCGTGAGTTTTATTCCACTCCTGTTCTCTGATCACGAAGAAATCCAAGTCCCCGGACATGTGGAAAGGATTGGCTGAGGGGTCGGGGACAATCGCAGGCGCTGGGGAGGAAGACGACGCATTGGACAGCCAGCTCGGGCAGCTTCCGGGACAGCACAGGTGGGCAGCAAATGTTCTCCTGGATCTAGCCATGCCTGAAGTCCACCCTTGGGCCTCCCAGCTCCCTAAGCTCACCTTTCTGGTCTAACCTATAGAAGTTGGGCTTCTGTTTCTGGCACCTGACGAGATCTCACGAAGACTCCCTCCTGTGCCTGTGACCCTGTCTTCCCTCATTTAAAAAACCAGGACTCCCCACTCCAGAGAGGAGGGAAGTGATTGTAAGTGGTGGAGCTGCCGGCAGGAGCCTGCTGACGTGAGGCTGAGGCGCCTTCCTGCAGGGGCAGCGGGTGTCCTGAGAGACCAGGCTTTGCCTTTGCAGGAATCTCTATGAAGCCCCGAGGGAAGTCCGAGCTTGGGCGTGTGCTAGGCAAAGGGCCTGGGGCCTGGAGCAGCAGGGCAGAAACTTAGCTGCCATGAACCCCAGTCCAAGAACCCTGCTTGGTTTACATTCCTGCTTTTTCAGGCACCAGTCTCCCAGCAACTCATGGAGAAAAGAGCGTTTCCCTCTGCCCTGTGCCGTGGCGCTGGGTCTGCAGCTGGAGAGGCTTTGCCTTCCACCAACTTGGATGTCAGCTCCTGGCTCCAGAATTACCTTTGTCTTTTTTCCCATGTTTCTCTTGTTTTTCTTCAGCGACTGACGAGCTGTTGTCTATGGGGTCCCGGATGTTTTCTGCAGAGACACGAAAGTGAGGGCCGTGGCCGGAAACACTCAGCCCCAGCCTCGGCCTCCCGCCTGGCCGCCGAGTGCACTGGGCAGAGAGAGAGGAGAAGACGGAGTGAGCAGAGCACAACGGGCTACAGCGGAGGGAGGCCTATGGCTGCTTTGGTGGTGGGAAAACTAGGCTAGCCACACCTGAGGGGAGAAATCCGGAATGGTGAAAAAATAAACAAGGATGTAAAATAATGATACATCACTAGTAACAAAGAACACAAAAGAAACCTAAAAATCTTCTAGCTTCCAGATAATACGTTACAATATAATAAATAAATAAATAGCCCCTTAATCACCAGCTCACAGCTTCCAGCTGTTTCCCTTTCTACTGCTTCTTGGCTGTGGTCAATTTAGATGAGTTGTTTTCCAGTGTCTGCCTCCCTTGCCACAGCACGGGCCGGGGGAGGGCCCTGAACTCTCACACCTGCGCACAGGTAGCTCTTAACACGTGTTTATGAATGAAGAGCAAACCAGGGCTCATTCCTCTGATGTCCAATTCCAGCCAAGACCCCCACCTCTCGTCCTGCTCTCTGGGCATCTCCCTCTGTCAGGCCTCACCCCCTAGGAGCCCACCTAGGCCTTGGGAGGGGGCGGGTGCAGGAGCAGTAGCAGTGGAGACGCAGGCGGCAGCACCAGCGACCCAGCTCCTGTGTGCACCAGGCAGCTGCTGAGCCCGGGCGTTTCTCCCACAGCTCACAGGAAAGACGGGTCGCTCCCGATTCACAGCAGAGGACTCCGAGTCTGAGAGGGGTCCACTCCACCAGGTAGGTGTGACTCCAGTGCCCCGCCACCCTCCCTGTGGGTAGCGCTGGGGTGCAGAGGCCCTGTTTGCACCTGGCCCGGACTCAAAACAGCGTTCCAAGGTCCTCACCTCTTCACCCCCGGGTGCCTGTCTGCCTCGCCCCCAACTTAGTTTCCCCAGCTCCTGCAGCTGAATCTGGAATGTTGGGCTCAGCAATCAGTCTGGCCAGTGGGCCCCACCCAGGACTTCTCCTGCCTGCCCGGAGCAGTGTCTCTGCTCACCCCAAATGCCCTATGTCCGTGCACTTGGCTGCACCTGTCTGGCCTGGTTTCCTCCCAGATGCAAGCACCCCCATCCCAGTTCTGGGGCCCCCTGTTTGCTTGTCACCTCCAAGGAGATGATCCACTCAGTCTCAAAGGTCATGGGCATCCCTAAGTAGCCAAACCCTCTGGTGAATCCATAGAGTTTATACAGCCTTCAGCTGTCTTGTGATGGCCCAGTTATGTTGCATTGTTGTTGTTGTGTGTGTGTTTAGAGTTTATTTATTTGTGAACATTTTGAAGCTCTCTTTTTGGAGAGGGGACCCTATTCTGGGCTTCATTTTTGCAATTTACTCTGGAGCAGAGCAAGAGACAGGCGAGCCCGCGAGTCACAGCGGGACAAGCTCACAGCAGCAGGCGCGGGGGGCAAACCAGATGCCCTGCACCAGCTGAATCAATGCCCTATACCCACACTCCAGGGCTACCCCTCTGCACAAAACACAAAAAGCATAGCTTCCACTTGTGAGTGCGCCATTCATGTGTGTGGCCTGGGGACCTCCTTGCTAGTCCAGGACAGAAGCCCTGACTACAGCAAAGTGGAGAAAGGCCACCTCCAGAGAAGCGCCTTCCCTAAGTGCCATGGGGTAAATGGTGTCCCCCCCCCCCATTAATGTTTTGGAATATTTGATATCCTAATACCCCCAGAACGTGACCCTGTTTGGAGGCAGGGTCCTTGCTGCTATCATGAAGGTGGGGTCACACTGGAGTAGGGGGAGACCAAGTCCAATGTGACATCTGTCCTTATAAAAAGGGAGACAGACAGACACAGGCTGAAGACTGCCAGCAAACCGCCAGAACCAGGAGAAAGTCCTGGAACAGATGCTCTCTCACAGTCCTCAGAAGAAACCAACCCTGCCAACGATTTGCTCTTGAGCTGTGAGGCAGGTGCCTGCAGTTCAGGCCCCAGTGCAGGGTGGCCGCTGTGACAGCAGCCCTGGGAACCCACCGAGTGATCGCCCTCCGGGCCTGATTTGGAACCGCCTTAATCCCTGAGGAAGTCGAGCTCTCCCTGTGCTGGCCCCCAAGGTGTCTTTGACTCTGAGACAGCCCAGCCCAGTACTTACTGTTGTAATTCCTGTTCTTGAAGACCAAAGGCAGCAGTGGCCTGGACATCTGGGCAGAAGAACAAAGGCTTGTTGCAAAGCTTGACCTTGGCTAAAGGAGATTCCAACCTGGGGAGCAACACAGGGCTTGAGCCGGATGGTCCCCCCACCACTGCTCTCCTCGCCTGCCTCCGGGTGGTTGAGGACATGGTGGCCATTGCCAACCATGTGGCCGGCACCTGCAGCTCCCTGCCTCTCCCTTCCCGCATTCCCCCCACTTTCCCCTCCTTGACTTGGTTCTAGCTGCCCTGCCTAATCTGTTCCTTGCAAGATCATGCTGACCTTGGTCTGCTTGCTGACGTTTGCATTTGTGACCACCCCCCTTCACCCTTCAGAGAAGCCTTCCCTTACCAGCCCACCCAAAGTGGTTTCTTTGTCCCCACTCCCATAGGACCTCACTTTATTCTCCTCAGTGCAATTACCCAAGATTTCATTGATCACTTAAGAAAAATCAGTTTATTGACCATCTCCCCCTAGAGTCTAAGCTCCTGCAGAACAGGGGTCTTTTCTGAGCTCAGCGGATGTGCTCATCCTGCCCCTTGGTTACTACCCCCCCCGCATGAGTTTTCATTTTGGAGAGGAAGCAGCAAGGTGTGCAAAGCCCCCCAGCCAGGAGGGGCTGCAGCTGGGATTCCAGCCCCAGATTCCTTGAGGCTAAAGCTCTAGTTCCTGCAGCCACATTCCTGCTGCTGTGCTCAGGGAGATGAATCGCAGACCAGAGAGGCTCTGGTGAGCCCCTCCAAGACCCCTGACACCCCCAGCTGGGCCGGCACTTGCCCAGGGGTCATATAGGCAGATTCCACCAGGCAGATGTGGAGGTTTAGCTACACGGCTAAGTGCTTATAGAGCAAGTATAGCAGCGAGGGAGGAAGGGCTGGGGGTCTTGCAAAGAGGTCTTGAGAGGGGTGCCCGAGGGATTCGCTCCGGACACAGAGCGCACCCCGACCCGCGCGCCCCCGGCCAGGAACCCCAAGTGCACCCACCGTCCCCACGCGCCAGAGATTGCTCGGAAGCTTCCGCGGGGCAGTTCCCAGCTCCAAGCTCGGGGCCTTAGGTTTACGTTGCCAGGGCAACCATTCTCCAAGCGGCAGCGGCCCTGACGTCACAAAGGCCCGGTAGTGTGGATGGGGCGGGTGGACCGCGGGGTCCCAGCGCCCAGAAGCTCGGGGTTTCGCCGTCCCAGTCCCGGGGTGGGGGCTGTTTGAGCTCCAGCCGGCTACAGAACAGCGCCCCGCCCGGGATGGGGCCTGGTGAAGGGCAGTTTCCCTCCTCAGACGTTATTCTGTATTCCTCCGACTCTTTTGCTTCTATTCCTTCTTCATTTATTTGTTCCTCCTGTGCCAGGCGCCGAGGGGGCGGGGGCTGGCACTCGGAATACATGTGGAGCAATAATAGACCTGGCCCTTTCCTGGGGAGTGATGTGCCCTTCTCGAGAGGGTCGATAAAGCGTGATCCTGGGACCTGCCACAGCAGAAACGCGGGAAACCCTCAGAAAAGCAAGTGTTCAGGTTCAGCTCCTGAGTCAAACCCGGGGTTGCAGTAAACCTGGCACGTGCTCCCCATGCTGCCAGAGGTCGGGGAGCCTCTGCTCTAGAGGGTTGTAAGGTCAGGACTGGACACAGTGCAGGTTTTCTAGGATCCCATGCAGACCCGGTAAAGGAGGCGTTCTGGAGCCCTCAGGGGTTTTGCAGGTCTTTTATTGGGGTTCACCAGGCATATGGCAGGCAGGGGTGCTGGGGGGCAAGGAGGCTGGCAGGCCTCCCGGCCCCCAGCAGGTCTTCACTCTATCTGGGCTCTGCGGCCTTCTCTCAGCTACTGCTACTGCTTCTCTTGCTTCTCTCTCAGCTTCTCTTTTGGCTTCTACTGGCATCCCCATGACGCCGCCCTTAAAAAGCCCAGTCTTAGCCCAGGTAAATCCCATCTACCTATGCCCACACCCTACCCCAGGTGCCCGCCATCAGGCATGCATTCAGGACCCCAAGGATCCATCATCTATCCTGATGGCGGGAAGGCAGAAAAGCCTGACATTTTTCCTTACCCTACAAGGGTGAATGAAGACACATGGCAGGGAGAGGGTCTTGAGCTCTACCAGTGAGTGTGGGTGAGGGAGCAGAGGTGATGAAGACCAGGGTCAGCTAAGATCACCCAGACTCTGCAGCTGTTTGGGCACCTGGGCCGACCACAATTTCCCCTCGGTCCCTCTGCCCACGCCTGCTTCCCCAAAGCTCCAGGAGAGATCTGGTCGTGGTCACCAGGTTTCCCCATGCTTCGTGGGGATTTATAGATTGACAAAGACTGCTTGGAGCTGGGGGTACAGTCAGGCTTTTAGGGGGATTCTGGAGGACTCTGGAGCAGGCTACAGGCCAGTGAGAATCCTGTGCCAGTGAGAATCCTGGCTCTGCCGGCAGGTGGGGAGACCAGTTCCACCCAGTCTAGAGGGGCTCCCTGAGGTAGAAAAAGCAGGATTCCCAAATAGGCCCCGGAAGGAGGGTTTAGTGTGTTAAGCTACAGGCATGAGTTGTGCGTGTGTGCATATGTGCATGTGTGGGAGGGTTGGTTCCAGCAGCTAGCTTTAAATACCCTGGACAGACAAGTGGCTTCCCTCCACCCCCAGGATAGAGGCTCCTTCTATTGCTATTGATAGTCCACAATGGTCTACCCCCGTCTGTCTCCGCAGCTTTACCTCCCTACTAATGGGCAGGTGGCCAGACAGTTTTTAGTGGTTCATCTCAAACACCAGGAATTTGAATGACGCTTTTAGGAACTGAGAATTGAGATTTATTCTGGAACCCCCCTCCCTGGCCTAACAGGCTGGACGTTCAAAACCTTCACATAGAGTCAGAACTGGCTGGCCCTGTCCTGTCAAGCATCTTGCAGGAAAATCCGAGGAAATGATAACAAATTCTCCAGGTGGGTGCTGACCAGAGGCAGTTACAGGAAGATCAAGCAAGAGTCAGCTGAGCAGAGTTAAAATCAAGTTCCACTACCCCCAGGTCTCGCCATCTCGTTATATAGGCAACAGCATCAACACCCTGAATTTTTAAGAACCAGACAAGTTGGACCCTTCAAAACCTACAAATGAAAGCAAGAAATCCTTGTCCAAAGTGAGTGCATTGTTTGATCACGGCGCTGTTTGACATAAGAAACAGTCAGTTCCTTCTAAGTTCAACAAACAATCTCACTCAAGCTTGTGACTGGAGAGTAAAATCCGTCAGTTTGTTCCCCGGTTGGAACCTTTACTTTGATCACCCAGTAAACTCTGTATGGAAATATCACTCTCACTGGCATTTTCCTTGCAGTCCACAGAATCTAGAAAATAAGCAATCCAAAGAGAGAAAGCCTACGAGTATACTTTCAATTTGTTGTCAACTGGCAAGTTTATGAAACGATGGTAAACTTTCCATGAATCCCTTTAACGCTGTGAGGTGGGTCCTGTTATTACCCCACCTTCCCGCCAGGAGAGGAAGAAATGTGTCCACAGAGCAGGGAGCACGTGAAGGGGCTTTGCAGGCAGTGGAGTTCCGTCTTTGTGGTTAGCCAGACGCACACGGCCTCGCAGCAGGGATTGTTTTATAACTTGAACCATTATCCAGAACAATGATGTATATACTTTGGGAAGAAGCCCAACAAGTCCAAAGGTTTACTTCATCCTAAGACGAGTTCTCTGGTCATTGTGTGTGTTCTGGTTTCTGCTTTGGCTCACAGTTATTTAGAAGGTAGGAAGAAAATCATCTGGAGAATGTGGCCTGCTTTGGAACTTTTAACCTTAAAGTGTAGCAAGAACTAGAAACACAACTTTCAGATTTGTTGGCTTTTTTTTTTTTTAAGTGGATGTAGAATGTTCCAGCATTATGTTAGTTTCGGGTGCTGGTATATACTGCAAAATCACCACCACCAACCAGATTAGGCTACAACTATCACCACACATAGTTATAAATGTTTTTTCTTGTGATGAAAATGTTTAAGATCTATTCTCTTAGCAACTTTCAAATCCACAATCTAGTTTGATCTACTGTGGTCTCTGGGCTGTGTATTAGATCCTCAGGACTGCTTTATTGCATAACTGGAATTTTATACCTTTTGACCACCTTCACCCGTTTCACCATACCCCGTACCACCCTCTCTCTGCCTCTGGTTGGTAACCACCAACCTGACCTCTGGATCTGTTTGGGGTTTTCTTTAGGACTCTACATACAGAGAGACCAGATGGCATTTGTCTATCTCTAGTTCATTTAGCGTAATCTCTCAAGGTGTGTATGTTGTCACACACGGCAAGATTTCTCCTTTTTAATGACCAAATCTTATCTATAGACATGTATCTATATACAAATTCCCTTTATCCATTCACCCGCCCGTGGGCACTCACCTTGCTTTCATGTCTTAGCTATTGTAAATAATACTGCAGTGAACATGGGGGGGTGCAGATATGTTTTCAAATAATACCCACAAGGGAAATCACAATTGTGAGTAGTTTTTTCAAGGCTCCCCCACACTTTTCCACAGTCACTGTTGTAGTTCATATGCCCCCCCAACAGTGCACAGGGTGTCTTTTCCTCCACCTTCTTGCCAACACCTGTTATTTCTTGATAAGAGCCATTCTAACGGGTAGGAGGTGGTAGCTTACTGTGGTTTTGATTTGCATTTCCCTGATGAATAGTGATATTGAGCACTATTTATTCAAAATTAAAGGCTAATTTGACAAATGAGATGGATTGAGGGAGGGAATAGAGCGCTATGCGGGCAAACAAGTAGTAACGTGCTCATTGTAGAACCTGGGGGAATGGTACGTGGGTGTTCGTTACAAAATTCTTTCAATATTTTTTGAAGTCTGAAATTTTCATAATGAAACATTTCAGGGAAAGCCAGGCACCTTCTTGAAGGGGAGCCTATATTTCTGATTCCATGCTCCCCCCGAGGAAGGGGTGACTAGAGCGGCTGCGTGTCAGCATTCCCTCTCTGTTTCTACTGGTCCCTTTTTCGAGGAATGTCTTTTATTTAGTTGGCAAATTTCTCCTCACTGCTCGAGACTCAGTGCCTGAATTACCTCCCTGGGAAGCGTCCCTGGACAGACCCGTGCTGTGTTTTGCTGGTCTGTCTGCTGACGTTTTCCAGGCCTCCCTGCTTTTGGCAGCTGGCTAGGTCCAAGGTGTAGAAGATTGGGGGGTCGGAGACTTGGGGGACAGGCATCTGTCCCCTCCCTCTGTTTTCCTTGGCTGCCTTGGGCCAGCTTCTTCCACTCTAGCTCTGGCTCCCAAAACCTTGCCCTTAGTCAGAAGATGTTTTCTTTGCTCTGACAGCAAAGCACAAGTCACAAACAAACAAAAAAATAGATTATGTCTCATCAAAATGGAAAATGATACCATCCAGAAAGTGAAAAGAATGGGGGGAAATATTTGCAAGGCATATATCTGATAAGGAACTTGTATCTAGAAGCCATATTGGGCTCCTACACCTCGTTAATAAAAAGGCAAATGATCCAATTGTTTGCAAAAAAGACAGTATTTAAAGAAGATGTGTGTGTGGCCCACAAGCACATGAAAAATATGCTCGGTGTCACTAGGCATGAGATAAAATCTAATCAAAGCCATAGTACGAGATCACTATACTAGAAAAAGACAGAAATCAACCAGTGTTGGTGAGGATGTGGAGAAACTGGAACCCTCAACACTGCTGGTGGGAATGTAAAATGTGCGGCCATTTTGGAAAACAACATGGCAGCACCTCAAAAATTTAAACACAAAGTTAACATGTGACTCAGCAATTCCACTCCTGGGTATATACCCAAGAAAAGTAAAAACACATGATTACACAATTTTGTATGAAAATCTCCACAGCAGTATGATTCATAACAGCTCCAAATGGAAACAACCCACATTTTCTTCTACCGAGAAATAAATAAAATATGGCCTACTCATGCAGTGGAATATTATTTGGCAAGAAAAAAGAAATGAAGTGAATACTAAAATGTGAATGAGCCTCAAAAGCATGGAGCTAGGTGAAATGAGAGGACGGTACAAAAGCCCACATGTTGTTTGATTTCTTTTGCAATGTCCAG